AAACAGAAAACTCGGGAAATGACGAGTTTTTTTATCATGATGCAAACTTTATTTCTAATCTTTCTTTTTGTTTGAAATATTTTATAATAAAAGAGAAGCGGTATCCGTCTGGGGACACTGATTGGAGCCTTATCAAACAAAAACTGATAAAATACTCGCCTTTGTTACGACGAAGGGATTAGTCGCGGGTTTGGAGACGGAAGTAGGACCAATAAAGGTGGAATTTTAAGCTTTGCATCTTTTTTTGACGTAACAATAAATGCTCTACTGTCAATCGTAAGCACATGAGTTGAAGGGACTGATTCCGGACTGGTTTCAAATTTTTAAGACCTGTGGGAAGTTCAAATTATGAATCAAAAAGAGAAAAAAGGTTCAAGAACTTGTAAATTCACTCAAAATGTTGAGAAACGCCTGAAAAAAGATACAGCTCATTTAGAATCTTTACTGGACCGTTTGAGAGAGCACAAAAAAGAAAAGATGAAAAAAAAACATTTGAGCGGTTTTCGAGGGGAAGAGCCATTTTCAGCTTCATTCTGACTTAAACAATACTTCTCCGCTCTGAAATATTTAACAAAGATCCCTGAAAACACTATAAAAACAGAAAAAGAGTTCAACTTGATAATAAAAACAAATAAATAAAGAATTTTCTCAAAAATTCACAATAATTGCGCAAAAGTGCACCACGAATGCGCCAAACAGCACCTCCTGGCGCAAAATTCGTTCTTGAAAGTTCTTTAAAACCAACTGAGAAAGTCACTTTTTTTTTACTACTCTCAGTTTATTTTTATCATTTCAAGATTTAAAAAATTTCGGGAACGAGTAGCTTAGTACTTTTTTAAAAATTAAGGCCCCAAAAAAGTGGAGTTTTTATTTCAAAACTTCATAATTTTCAACCTCCTGACTTGAACTTGCACTTTTAGTTGATTCAGTTGAACTTAACTCATTCGAAAATTTGTTTCCTGGTAGAAATAATCACACAGGAAATCGAGGATATGAGGGTGGCGTGGAAAATATTTAATTAATTTCGGTTCTTTTCAAATGACTTTTTTTCTAGTCTGGAAATCCCCGAGAAGCGCAAACTCTAAGAAGAGCTCCAAGTTTCGAAAGAGCTGGAAAATGACGTAAAAAACAAGACAAAACAGTTTTCCGAGGGAGTTTCCGTAAATACCGCTGAGGGATGTCTAAAAATGGCTCTGAGATTGACTAAGAATAGATTTGGGGGGAGTTCCACGAGGTTCTAATTGAGTTTGTTGTCCACTTTTTTGGGAGGAAGAACGGCGAGATAATCACGTTTCGATTGGAGAGCGAGCCTCTGTGACGAAGGCCGTCTGGGAAAAGTGACGTGGCTTGGAAAAGGATCGGTCTGAAACCTTAAAGGATTTACCGGGGTGGCCCTGTGCAGAAGTTTTACCCGGAAAGATCAAAGAAAACTTTTTAGGAGAGTCCGATTTTTTCGAAAAAGTACCTTCAAGCCGAGGAGATTCAATTGAAACCCAAAAGCTTATTAAAAAAATATTATTTTTTTTAGTTTTTTTCCTTCCAAAAATAATCCTACCGAGTAGGTTCCATTACATTTACTCAAACTCATGAAGAATAAATTTTCCTAAGGTTTCTTGTTTTTTGCGAAAAAAAAAATCGCTAACATGAGCAATACTCATTTTTCCCGTTTCATCTAATTTTTTGCAAAAATCAGAAATAAGATCTTTGCAATGAGAAGCTACTGTTGCTTTTGTGACGTTTTTTCGGTTACGTAGAAAATTATCCTCTAACATGAGCAATATCGTTTCGGCTGAATGAATCTCTTCTGTTGATAATAACATCGCGTTGTGTCGTCATCAGAAGTTGTGATTTTTTTGCCAGGAAAAATAATTTATAGAAAAAAATGGAATTAGACTTGTTCATCGAGACCGCGGCGCTTTTGAGCCATTCCAAATGCGACCATTTGAAGAAAAAAATGAGTAGTTTAATAGAGAATCTTGCACTTTGTTCTTGAAAAAAGACGAGAAAATTTCGACTTGGTAAATTTTTTTTTGGAAATTTTATTGATTTTTCTCAAAAACTCTCCTTATTTGTAGGCCCTTCTAAACGTCCTAGAATAAATAAAAATCGTTAAAAATTGGCTCAAATTGAGTTTTATCCATCTCAGATCAAACTCAAGTAAAATCTCAACCTTTTTGATCACTAATCTTATCATTTTAAGCCAGATATTCTTCTTCTAAAAAGTCCAAAAATAGTGCGATTTGTCCGAAATCTTGCACAACCTGAATCCTGAATAGAGAGCATTTTCAGAAGGGAAAGGGCAAAAAACGAAGGTGCAGAGAAATAAGCTTCCTCTTCCCTGCAAACGGATGCATACCGCATGGTATAGTGAAGAAAAAGTTGACGTAAACATCGAAACTCATGATTTTGGACGACAAATCGACAACAATTTCGATCTTCAGCCGTTCGATGGCGCCGCTACGTGCAGACGATGCATTACGGTGTGCTTTGTGATTTTCTCAGGCGTTTATATTTTTCAAAGTGTTAAAAAAATCTTTACAGGTGATTCAAGATGAATAAATTGGTTTATCACTGGATTCCAAAAATTTAAGAAAAATCAAAAATGTGAAGAAACATGCTTGAAAAAGTTTGATTCTCTTGGAAATTATCCATTAGGAATGGCTCGATGCGTAGTGGCTGCGACGCGGTTTTATCAAACTTGAACCCGACTCGAAACGACTTTCGCAGGATTATATCAAAACAAATTAAAGTCAAAACCGCTTCGCAGCCGTTACGCGTCGAGCCATTCCAAGTGCGATCTGGATTTTTTTTTTCAGCCAAATATCTATTTAGAACCATTACTTTGAAGAAAAAAAACGGTCCTTCAAAAAAGAAATATAAGTTCAAACGCTCAATCGGACTCCATACAAAGATAGAAATAAACAAATATCACAGGAAAAAAATTGATCTTCAGTCTTGTTAAAAAAATATCCCTAATCTGTTTCTTTCCAAAAGCTACACACCATTATTGAAAGAAAAGTATTAAGTAAGATAATCCCATCAAAAAGTTCCGACTTATTAATAGTTATTAATAATCTGTCTATTATCAGACCACGTGTTTTTCGATAAATATAATTGGTCAAATGTGCGCAAGTAGTTTTGGGTCGGGCGCTGCTTAACCTTGCGTCCTCCCATTCCATTTTTTCATTTTGCGCAAGTAGTTTTAGGTCGGGCGCTGCTAACCTTTCGTCCAGCCATTCCAAATGCGGCCAACAACATTCTCTTTTCAACCGCCTACGTCATTTTCTTCATTAAAACCAACAATCCATTGTTTCTAACAATAGAAAAGTAAAAAAAAAAAGAGAAAATTCGCCGAAATCGTCGATTTTCCCAATGTTTTCTTGTTTATTTTCGCCATTATTTACTGACCCATTTCCTGTAAAAAAAAAACACGTGAGTCATTTTTCCTTCGAGGAATGGCCGTTCTTTGGAAAATCGATTCAACTAATTCGATTTGTGTTGATTTCTTTCGGTTTATTTTGGCTAGAAACCGTGACAAATAACTAAAGTGTTGCTCATGTTACAGGAAGTTTTCAGGCTACATTCTATTTCTTTCTGAAAACTGTCTAACTGTCTGCGCTCTCTTTTTCCCTGACCGGTTCGCTGAGAGAAGAGGAGAGCGCAGACAGGCAGAATATTTTATTGCTCATGTTAAAGAAAAAAATTCGAAAATTTCTACGTCAATAATTCACAGGAAAACAAGGATTTATTTTTCAGAAATTTTTTTAATTTTGGTTTTTTTGAAATGGGCAATTTTTTTCGGTCGATCTCGCTACGTATCCCAATTGGCTGCGCACCAAACTTTGAATCCACTACGTATCGTATTCGCTGAGCATCAACTTGCTCTAAAGCTTCAAAAACATTTACTCCAGGTTCCTGGTTCCTTTATTCAAAAAATTTCGAAAGTCGAGAAAATTCACATCCACCGCTACATGATGCAAATCCCGTTACGAAATGTTACCCAAATTCCATCCAATTTTATATTTTTTTCGACGATGAGTTTACTTTTTTGGATAAGTGACAAAAATGACATTTTTTGGATTGGTACATATTGATAATAATGTAGTTCAAGCCGTTTTTGAAGAAATTCCTTGGACTTTCTGAGAAGTTCTCAATAGAGCAATGTTGCTTTTTGATTGGAGGCTATTTTTGAATGATTTCTTTTTTCCAACTTTTCGACTTTTTTCGGTAAAGCACCTTGTTGCTCTAATGAATGCTGTTTAATAAAAACCTCCTTTTGTCAAAAATTTTTCATTCTAGGAGTTTTTTTGTTTTTTTAAAAATTCAACGCATTTTTCGACTCTATAAACGTTATTTTTTTAAAGAAATTTTCCATCCATTAGAAGTACTTCCAAGCAAATAAAAAACTAGAAAATTGCCCTTTTTGATCATTTAAAAAATCCCGTTAGAAACTCTGAATTTTATAAAATTATAATATTTTATCCGTATCTTTTTTATGATTTTTTTTCCACCTTATTTTGCAATTTTCTTCTCGAAAACCAAGTCTGTCATATCCAAGGAGGCCTTATGAGTGAGAAAAAAATTATCTCGGTAATTTTTGAACTTTTTCCACCCAGTTTTTGCAATTTTATCTCGGAATCCAAGCCTGTCACATCCAATCAGGGTCAATCAGACACCTCTCAAGAAACAAATCAGAAAAAAAGTCGTCACACCTCGTTTGGAAAAGCGAAGAACGAACGGTGTAGGCTCCGCCCCCCTCCCCTTTCTGTTATCACTAATCATCGTGCACCCCAGAGAGAGAGACGAGACTCCGCCCCCCGTCAGGAACCCCTCCTCCTCCCGACGCCCCAGCCACACCCCAAGGCGTCCTCCTCCTCCTTCGCGATTGCAAAAAAGTGGGCGGTCGCCGATATATAAAGCGAGGTCGGACACCAGTCAGTTCCGTTGCTTTTCCCACGCTCCTCAACTTTTTCTCTTCTCTTCACCTCACTGAAAGAAGAATGATCCCTGAATTCCCGCTACCGCCGGTCGATGCCGACTTTTACCGGTCTCAGATCGCCAACCTTCCTCCGCTATTCGGAGTCGTCGTCCAGACGCCGATTTATGCCGAACCGACGACCTTCCTCACCAGGATCCAGAATCCTATCGGTTCGTTTTGCATTCTCTTCTTGGGGTTTCCTCTTCTGAGTAAGTCAAGGAGTAAGATCAGTATGGCTATGGCTAGGAGTAAGTCTAAATCGAGTTCGGAACTTCTAGACCTGCTCCTTTCTTCACTTTTTAGTTACTCTAGACCCATTAGAAGCAAGATTTAGTACGACTAGGCTCAAAAGCATCCCCAGAACTTCAATCTTCAGTAAGTCTAGACTAACTAGAAGCAAATTTTAAGCGATTAGAGTAAGTCTATCTAGTCACACTGAAGAACCTTTGATTCCGCAGTAATAACGTCTTCTCTTTTTCAGACTTGTGTCGACCGCTCCGCATCGCCGCTGTACAACCGGCGAAATACCGCGTCCCAGCGACAGCCTCGACAATTTCGTCGCGGTTACAACACCATAACCGTTCCTCTCTGACGTCTCCGAACCTCGGAAGGAATCTTGTCGACGTCGCACGGCACGTCTTCAACACCCTATGATGATCTCAACGTCTTCTTCGTCTCCACATTTAGCCACTTCTTTCTTTTTTCTCCCTCGACTTAATTCTCAACTTGTTGCTGGTCGACCTGATCTCACCACTACTCCAGACGCCTCATACTGATTTTTCAAAACTTTCTCCCGTGATCTCAAAAATCCCCAACCGATAGCTTTCAACCACCAAGAATCCCTTCTTGTCATTCTCACTTTGTTGTTCTTATGGCTAGTAATTTATTTACTTTTTTGTTGGTTTTGTTGATTTTTCTTTTCCTGGTGCAAAGCACGAGCATATACACCGTATATTTAATCACTTTGATTTTCTCACCACCGTAATCTCATCAAATCCAACGTTCTCTCTCTCTCTCGTGTGCCTGCATCTCCATTTCTCTCTCGGTACTTAGTCGCTAAACAAAAACGAGGTCGAAACTTGAAAAATATTTGAAAAATCACTATCTTGAGTATTTTTTTTTGACTTTTTTCTTTGTTGATTGTTGCCTTGAATTCGTAATAAATGCTCTCCAATGTTACTTGGGTTGTTGAGAACACAATGAAAGGATTTTAACACGACTGGCCGCATTTGGAATGGCTCAGCGCCAAAAGAATCCTAAAAGCAAAGCCGTTTTATGGTCGGGCGCACTTTGAGCCATTCTCCACGCGACCAACAATCATTCAAAAACTTTATAAATGAACGCCAAATACCTTAAAAAATTGGAGTTTTCTCTGAAATCATGGTAAAACGCTTCAGAAGGTTTCGAGCCTTCTAAAAGGAAAATTTTTTTTGAAGGAGGTCAAATTTTTTTTTCCCTGCACCCGGCCAAAAACGATTTACCCACTATATCATCAGGAATCAATGAGGGAGAAAATACGGGAATTTTTTTCTTACGTGGTTTTTTTCTGACAAAGTTTACGTTATATCAAATTCAAAACCTTTCTTCCAAGTTTCAGAAAAATTTTGCGTTTCCTCAAGACTTTATTTAGGGACCGCAGGCCAATTTCCAAAGTCAGTGATATAAAGTTGAAACCTATATGAAAAGAAAGCTGATGGCAATCGAGAGCTAACTGCGAAAAACAGAAAAAGAAAAAAATATGAAAAAAATGAAAAAAAGTTATAAGCAAAAAAAGTGGCGAAATCGGGGGAACCATTTTTTTGTGTAGAAACTTTCGTCAGGGTCGCAGGAAAAAGGGGCGTGTTTATAGATGCCGCGCGCTCCTTGCTGTGCTTTAATTCACGCAGGAGACGTTTCGAAAAACATGTTTTTGAGTTTTTTTAGAAGTTTTAAATGAAATATTAGAGTTTTCATATTGAATATTGCTCTTTTTCAATATCAGCCTACTCTTCAAGCACTCACGCTGCTGAAAAAGCGAGTTTTGAAGAAGGTTTCAATGCATTTCGTGAAAAAAAGAAAAATAACCGACAAAAATAGACCTTTGCGAAGGACGAACAGCATTAAACCGAATTGAAAATGTAACAGTCTACTAAGAAATTTACTGAAAAAAACATGTAAATAATCACCAAGTCCTTTTTTTCAGAGCTTTTTTTAAAAAAAAAAAGGGCGAAAGCGTTTTTACTTTTGACTTTCTACTTCTTTTATTTTTCTCTAAAGTTCGTGCGTCTACATGGAGTGTACGTAGACAATTTTTTAGAATTATTTACTTGACATTCCGAAAAAGTTCAAAGAAAGTTGAGTAAAAGCGAAATTTAATACTTTTCTCGCTGCTATAATGGATATAATGATATAGGAAAAAAAGATTTTAATTATGAAATGAGTAAAAAGCAACTATAAAGCCACAATAAAACGAGAAAACTTGAATAGAATACATAAATAGTTAAAAAAACCTTCTTCACGCTTTCGAAAAATTTCGTGGCCTTCGCGGTGTCTGCAGATTTCCAGCGACGCGCAGTTTTAAAAAAATAACTTTCGAGCGTTTAAATTAACCATACTTTTCGGGCCATCCTAGGAATTTTTTTATTTTTTTGCCAGAATATGCGTTTTTTTAGTTGCTTTATGATATTCAAGAATAAAAAAAGTTGCCCAGAAACTTTCAAGAAAAAAACGGGATTTTTTTATCCGTTTTCGGCCACAAATGCGTTTTAAAAAAACTGTCGTCGTACATTCTTATTTCTTATTTTTTTCAGTATTTTCTTTTTATGTAGGATTGTTAAGCATAGCCGATTGTATGTTTCCCCCAATTTTTTCCCAAATCGGTACAAGAAAACTGTTTTAAAATATAAAAAAGAACCAAAACGCAACGAAAATGACGAAGATTTTTGAACAGCGAAGTGGGCGTGGCTCTGCGGTCCCTAACTTTATTAATAAGTTTCTACTAAATTTTCCAGCCACTTTCTTTTTTTTCACTAAATTTCCTAGCCTTTACTTCCCTGATTCAAGCTTTAGATATAATAATTTAAATGAGCGATTTTCTCGTTTCCTCAACCGGTTTCGCTGGAAAACTCTGCCCAAAAAATCAAAAAATGTTTTTTTTGAAAACTGAGCAATAAATAGTCTTTCTCCTTCTGCTCAACATATAATTCAAAAAAGCCCTTATTTCGAAAGATTTTTCGGAAAAATCCGATTTTTGAAGTGCTTTTTAAGCTTGCAGATGTTTTTGGCTCCAAGTTTGGGAGATTAGAAAATCTTGGAAGAGGCTTTTTTGTGTTTCTTTCTTTTCTGAGATGATATTCCGGATTCTAGAAAGTTATGAAATTCCCGTGTTGCGTAGCTCCTTATTAATACGACTAAACGTGAACAAAAAGATGTTCTTATATTTCAAAAAGTCTTAAATTTTGGGACGGAAAGACACATTTCAGAAGAAACTTGGCCTTTTTTTCAAGCCTTTAGCGATGGAGCAAATAAGGTAGCTCATTTAGAGCCTTTTTCCAAAAAGCTTATATTTCAATTTGAGCCTCTTTTTTTCAAAATTCTATTTTCAAGCATTTGAGATAAATTCATAATAAAAAAACTGCTTTCTGAAATTAAATTAAATTTTTTTCAAATTTCGTCGTAAAATAATTTTTTTCCCTTCGCTTTCAGTTTACCTTTGTGTTAATTGAAAACCTTCTCAAAAAAATCCAAATTTTCAACCGAAAAAAATTTTTGTTTTTTTCTGTATTTTTCAAGAAAAAAACTTTATGAAACATCATAAAAATGTCAGAAAACAAGAACTCGTGAACGTAATTTTCTCACAGAATACCCTCCAAATTGTCTGTTTTGATTAGAGACGCACGTTTTCCTTCATGTAACTTTGAATGTTCAGAGATTGAATAAAAGTCGCATCCAAAGGTCCAGTTTCACGGCTCTAAGTGGTTCTCTTTCCCAAAAAACAACGGCACAATTTGGTTCTTCTCTTGATGGTTTGTAGGATAATCAAAAATCTCTCGACATTGTTGTGAAATGGAGAAATTTATGAGAAGTTTTTCGAAGATTTTGAGGAAAGAGACAAGTGAAAGATTAACTGTGCTATTTGGAGTTTTAGGACAAAAATAAAGATTTTTCCAATTTTTGTTTCGTCGGACAGCATTTTTCAAAGTCTAAAGTAGTTTTAGAAATAATAATTTTCACGCGAACGTCAAAAAAATATGATCAGTTATAAAAATTAACAACCTAATCGAAAATCTTTATTGAAACATTTAAAGTCACGGAAATTTCTATGACTCGCAATACTTTTTTTAAAAAAACGGTCTTTCCCTTTGAAATATTTATGAAATGATCCAATCATTTTCAAAAGTTTAAAGAATAAGTTATGAGCCAACAAAAAGAAAAATTATTCACGTAAAAAGCGCAAATCAACAATGAAAGCGCTAGTGAACAACTGTTGGCGCCAATTTTGATCAAATTTCCATTTTCCATGTTTTTTTTGAATATTTTTTTGTGCACGTTCAAATATGAATCGTTTTTTTCAAGTTTTCGAGATTTGAAATTTCCAGCATCACTAACCTTCTAGATTTCACCCATTTTGTTGTCAAATAACCTTAAGCTCAGAATTTTTTTACTTTTTCCAATTTCAAACTGATTTTTTTCCTTATTTTAAAAAAATCATACTTTCCAGAAAAACCAACTACACTGAAAAAGCTTCACGATCTGACGGATATAGTTTGAATATTCTGGCATTTTACCATAGAACAAGAAGATTTGAAGGATTTTTTGGGTTTTCGTAGGATCTTTGTTTTAAGCCTTGTGGGCTGATGGTCAGACTATTTACATTTTTTTTTGTTTTGATAAAAAAGTTTCTTGTCGCAGACAGTGGCCAGACAGTGTTGATATTTCATAGGAGGAACTAGAAAAAAAGTTTGCAAGGAAATAAATAAATTTCTTTGGTGTCGAAGTTGTTTGGTTTCAAATTTTCTGTAGTAATGCTTTTTTAATTTTTTTTTTTGGGAAATTTCCAGTGACCTTTTGAGGGTTCTGACGTCTTAGTGGCCACTATAGTAGTCGAATTAGTGGCTCTTTAGAAGTTTAACTAGTACTATTAAATCGCTAAAACTACTATAGTGGTCACTAAAAGGCAAAATATTGGCTTTTACAGAGCTGGTGACCACTTTAGTGTCCTCTCTAAGTAGTCCTTGAGGAACCTCTTAAGTGGTCTTTTCTCAGATTTTGAGTATTTCATAGTGCCAGTTATGACCGTAAGAAAGGCAGAACTTCTTAATTTAAAAAAATTTTTAAATTTTAAAATTTTAAAAAAATCAAGTCTTTTTTTCCTAGCTGATAAAAAGTTCAAAAAAATCGCGATTATTCTGGAACTTTTTAGCTTTTTTTCTTTTTAATTTTGATCCTTTTCACAGAAAAAAATCAAATTCTGCTTTGATTCTGCCAAAAAAATACTCCAAAAACAAAAAAATGGCGTGTTTTGAAAAATAAATTTTGATTGGAAAAAAAGTCTGACCCAAAACTTTCTTATCCTCACTTTAAGCTTGTTTTTTTCCGGGCTTAAACTCCATTTTTTTCCTATTTTTTTATTTGTAAATACCCAAACTGCTAACCTCAAAAAAATGAGGTGATTGAATAAAAAAAGAAGGTTTTATCGTTTTGAACCCGATTTTTCTTCGCCAATAATCCGCGATTCTCCTGGGAGAATGCACTTTGAACAAAGTAGTTTTTATCCGTTGTAATCTATTCGAGGAAATTTTGGGAGTAGTAAACAAAATTCGTTTTTTGTTTGGTACTCGTCTTGTAGTTTTAGGAATGATATTAGTTTCGGATTCGTACTTTTTGATCAACGGTTTAAAAAAAAGAAAGTTGAGACTTTTGAATAAAATTGAAAAATAAGGGTTCTCAAACCTCAAATTTCGGGACACGACGTCATACTGAAAACTGAAAATTTATAAATTTTTTTTCCGGTTGGATTCATTCTTGAACTTCTTTTTATATATTTTTGAGTGTAGAAAAATCACGGCCGATTCCAAGGCGCAATTAAAATTTGGCGCCAGTCCGCAATGCGCCGTCGCGTGTATGCAGACGTCATTTCTAATGGCGCCATTTTTCTGAATTTTTATTTTTTCGATTTTTTCATTATTACATAACTGTAGTATGATGATGAAGAAAATCCAAAAATTGAAGCTCAAAACGGCGTCGCAAACGAAAATGGCGTATAATAAAGTGTCGTCTGCATACACGCGACGGTGTATTGCGGACTTGAACGGCGCTTTGATTTTCACAAAAAAAAAAAAAAAATTTTTTCATAATTATTTCACCAGTTCGTTTTCCACTCATTTCAACTTTGCGGGTCGGGTCGCCCTGGGTCGCCCGTCGGGATATCTTCTTAAAATTATTTTTTCAAGAGAAAATATCCAAAGATATTCGCATAGTACATTTGTATTCCAGAACAAGATTAACCTTATATTGTTTTTTTCTCTCGAACCAGTACAAACGATGAACTTTTTGCATCGACTCGGATACAATATACTCTCGAGAAAAACAACTTTCTCCGGGATTCCAAGAACTCGTCTAACCATAATAGGAACCTTCCTGCAAATTTTCCTCCAAGTGCACTTAAACCCGTGAGATTTCCTTCCAATTCCATCATTTTGTACTGGGAAATCAGCAAATTTCGAGGATAATATTTCCTTGTTGATGGAAAATACACGAAATTTCCCACGGTGCACTTTGAAACGGCCTTCCAGGTAGACAGGAAGTCGAAAGGTTTTATTATAAATCCGTGCGAATTTCCCTTCGGAAAGTACAAATATTAACTATTTTAACAAAAAAGGAAGTGTGAGAAAGGGGGACTTTTTTTTGAAGAAGTAAAATTTGTAGTTTATTTATTATTTGCAGAAAAAAAGATGAGGGGTGAATCATTGTTGAAAATGGTTGGATTGATGGAAGAAAATGGAGATTTTTTCAGTTTCAGAGACCTTTTGAAGTTTTTTTGAAAAAGTCAATAATCGATAAATTTGTTTGTGAAAGCCCTGTAAAAATGGAAAAACTGTAGAATTTCATATTTTTTGATTTCTTTGCAATTTTCGTCTCAAACTTTAGCTTGAAGTTTTGAAATATCCAAATAAAAACTTCAACAAAAGCCTGGATCTGAACCATTTTGGCTTATAAATCATTTTCGAAACTGATTTTTTCACTCGGAATATAGTCCGTTTTTTGCGACTAGAATGACTTCTCTGTGCCCTCCTCGTCTCTCGGCAACTCTCTCAATTGGACTCACTATTTCACATTTTTCTAACCCCGCCGGTGAGGGAACAGAGAGACGCAGACACTCGAAAACTGTGACTTTCTTTTTTCATAACTTTAAGAGATCAGGTTTTGAAATTTTCCAGTACTAAACTCTGAAAAAAGTTCAAATTTCCCAGCAAAACAATCCTCAGAAACCCGTTATCCACCCCCTGTTGTACCCCCAGTTTTCGAGCTTATCCCCTCGAGAAAAAAAACCAGCTGTGCAAAGCTTGCCCGGAGATCAAAAATGTGCGTCTCTATACCTTTATCGGTCGGTTAGTCAATCCTCCTCCCACATGGCGGGATGATCTCTGCGGATTTTTTAGCTCCAAAGATTTTCCAACGACGCTCTGGTGTTAACATTTAAGCCTTTTTTCAACACCAATGTGCGCAATCGGACCGATCTCCGAGTTGTTTTGACCCTTCTCCATTTGCAGAGCGATTTGGTGGTTGAACGTCTTGAAGATGAAGGAGAATTGATGTTTTTTGTTAGTTTGGTTTTGGTAGGAAAATGAGCAATTAGGGTTCAAAATTGTGCAAAAACTGTGGATTATAGGAAACTCTAGGGGCCACTTAAGAGGTTCTTAAGGACTACTTGAAAAGGACACTAAAGTGGCCACTAGAACCACCTCTATAGGAGCCGCTATTTCGCGTCTTAGTGGCCAATAAAGTAGTTTTTAGTGGTCTAGGAGTACCCCTTGAGTTTTTGAAGATACCATCAATTTTTTGCCACTAACGTGACCATTAATTCGACTACTATAGTGGTCACTAAAACATTATAACCCTAAAGGAGCCACTAAGTTCAAAAGATGAATTTTAGTCCAAGTTATTCAAAGGATCATTGTCTTGGACTAGCACCCCGGAAGTTTCTGAGCGTCTCTAGTGACCACTTTAGCAGCGTCAGAACTCTTAAGTGATCCCTGGAAGTGCTCAGAAACCTCCGGTTTGCGTTACCGAGAAAATGGGTAAAGAAATAGTGTGTAAAAAAGAGAGGTTCAGTGTTTAGCTTTTGATAAATGGACTTTTTATTTGAAAAATAATTTTCAAGTAAATTTTTTTAATTCAAGTTGAGAATAAGTCTATAGAACCTCGCCCATGTTTATCCCTCAGTTTCCACAACTTGAAGCTATCTGGTCGCATTTGGAATGGCTCGGAGCGTCGCGGTCGCGCTGCGTTTCAAGATAAAGCTTTATATTTTTCACTGGAATTAAAAACTTCTGGAAGCATTCTGCAGAAGCTGCAGATTCACCGCGCGTTGAGAAAATCCCAATGCGGCCAACTTTTTTTTTTTTTGAATTTGTGACGATCGTACTTACTGGAAGCTGTTCCATTTTTTTATTTATTTATTTATTTTTTTGGTTTTGTGACGGAAATGACTAACGCATTTTTCAGATAAGGTGCAAAAAAAGTGACCGAAAAATAAGTATTAAAAAGAAGCAATTTTTTTATAGAGTATCTAGTTGATTCATGGCTCGTTTAAGCCACCATTTGAAAATTCAGAGCAAGGTCACGAAAATATTTTGTTTGGTCTAGTTTAAAAACTTAACCTTTACAGTAATCCGAGAGCTTTTGGCGCCTCAAGTCATTGGTGAAAAAGGTTTTTGAAAAAATATGTCAAAAATAAAGATTTTCTGTGAATTTTTCTTATATTGGTCGCACTTGGAATGGGTCGATGCTTTAAATGAAATCAAGACTGCATAAGAACTATTAGGAAGCTGCGCCCGACCATAAAACGGCTTTCGCGCGACAGCATTGAGATTATGAACTTCCAACTCCAACAACAGCGCGACCGCAACGCTCATAGCCATTCTACATGCCAGAAATTTCCGATTTTTAAAATTCGATTTCAAAAACTCAGTGAAAACCTTGAAACTTATCATTTTCTCCACTTTTGAACAAATATTTGTGAGCAACGGAAACGTAAATTTTAATAACATACATTTTAAGAATTTCCTTGAAATATCGTCAAAAACATGCGTGAAAGGGCAATTTTCGGAAGAAAAAAGCCGGCCTATTTCAAGATTTCAGGTGTTTCTCAAGAAAGGTGATGTTCTTTCAAGAGAAGCACACTTTTTGTGTCGCACCAAATTCGCGGGTTAAAACTCGGACAGGTGAATACGTCGGTTTCAGACGTTTGTTGTTTTTTCGAGACGCCTTCTTAAAACATTTGACGTAGCGAATGTATATCTACGTCCACCCACATCAGATCAACCTGGACCCGAAAGTTTTCCGAGTGTTCTTTGCAAGGAGAGGGATTGAAGAGTATTTTGGGGGGTTTTTTGGAAGATGAATCTTGGAAAAAAGGGGTTTCTTGTACAATCAGAAGTTTATTCCGGCACATTTTTTCAATCAAACTTACCAGGGAATGGTCTCCAGTCGCAGTGGGACCCCTGAATGAGACCAAGTTCACTAGATGTAGTTTTTGACGCTGATTCCAAAACTGGTCTCTACATCTGATAAACTTGGTCTTATTCAGGGGTCCCACTATGACCGGAGACCATTTCCTGGTAAGTTAGAGACGTTGGATTTGTGTTTTATTCAAAGAATCTCAATTCATTTCAAGAACGGAGCTTAATTTTGCTCTCTGATCTCAAGGAAGAAAACTTTGAAAATTAAAAAAAAAGTTTCGAGCCCTAAATAGTTCATTTTGCACCAAATCTGAGTTGAACCAAAATGGACTTTTTCAAGGTTTTTTCTTATTATTGTTGACAACAATCTCTAGAGAATACCTCGAGTTTATTTAAACAAGTTATAAATTCATTTTATTTAAAAAAGACTGACACAAAAATTTTTTTGAGTTTGAATTTTTTTAATGAATAAATGTTGAATTTCTGAAAAAAAGCATAGAAAAAAATTGAATGGAAAGATGATCAAAGCGAAATTTACGAAATCTAACCTAACGTCGGGCATTTTTTTGACCTTGAGTTTTGAGGCATCTCTTGAGAATTTGAGAAAGTACGGTTTTTAGAAAATTTCAAGATAAACTGTAACAGAATTAACTTGGAGTTTGAAAAAAACAGCTTCAGGGAGATTTTTTTCGAAAATTTTTTTCTTTTATTTCTCTCGAAAATTCTTATTCCGTTACATTTCATTTTCAAATTGTCCAATAACCGTCCTCCCTCAAACTTTCAAGATATGCCCGAAACTCAAGGTCAAAAAAAAATTGCACCACGTTATGTAAGATTTCGTGAACTTTTCTTCAATCAGCTTTTTATTTAATTTTTCTATACTCCATCAAGTACCACCTCTACGCGGTGATGGGGAGGCAACGTCATCTCATATGGCGGCGAACGGTACACCGGTCACGCAGTTCGCTCTGCTTAGGCTAATAGAACGGGCGGTCCTCCTAGCCCTGGCAAGGCAACGAGGATAACCAGGCCACAAAAACGCTACGACACGTTCAACACCGCTGCCCCAGTCCTCCGCCCGTCGGTCATGCGCCTCTCAGGTATCGGGGGCTGCCTCTGCCGACGAGGGGCGATCTAATCACGGAGTACCAGGATACCAAAGAAACGGAAAACGGACGCGCCACGGTGACTGTCTGCGATTCGGAACCCTCAACTGCCGTACGCTTGCAAACGATACAGCGATCGAACAACTACTAACGGCAAACCGAAAAAGCAAACATCGACATATTGGCGCTCCAGGAAACGAAATCTCGGAAGACCAGCTGCGACAAGACGAAGAACGGAGAGCTTCTCATCCTTGGAGAGAAAGTAAACGGAAAAGAACATCGGAGGGATCGGCTTCCTCATCAACGAGTCTGTCCAGTCAGCTGTCGACTCCTTCGAAATCGTCAACGCCCGGCTCGGCATTCTTCGCCTCGACTTTGGAAATAAAGGAAAGATAGCTCTAATAAACGTATACGCCCCGACTGCCACCGCAAACGAAGAAAATCTCGACGACTTCTACAGGATGCTCGAAGACACGATCAGAAGAGAGAAAGCCTACTACATTTACGTGCTGGGTGATTTCAACGCAATCGTGGGCAAGAGCGACCTTGCCACAGCTCGCCACGGAAAGTACGGCCTCGGATCGCGAAACGAAAACGGCGAGAGACTGATCGACCTTCTCGACGCAAGGAAACTCTACCATGGCAACTCACTTTTTGAGAAACCTGATCAACGACGTTGGACCTGGAAATCCGCGAACGGCGCAACCACCAACGAGATCGACCATATCCTCACGAATCGGAAATGGACTCTTCTTGACGTTGCCGTACTACCGAGCTTCGACATCGGATCAGACCATCGACTAGTCCGCGCAAAAATCCGCATCAACAGCAAGGTCAGGAAACGTGATCTCCACCAACCACCACGTCCAAGAAGACCGGTCTACGACGCAGCCACATTGGAGAAGAACATCTCGGAGTACAAATGGTCACACAACGATGACCCGACGATTGACTACAAGAACCTCTGCGACGGCCTTATAAGATGCGCCGAACCCGCTGCCCGATCGACCTCATCACTTCCTCCTCGAATCGACCAGAAAGCGAAGGAAATGCTAAGGAAACGAGGAGAGATCAAACGCGACCCGGCTTCCACGCACCTTGAACGTCTAACCATCGACAAAGCGTGCAGAATCGCGGTCGAAACATCGCTCGCAAATCGACGCAAAAACGCCCTTCTCCTGACAGCCGAAAAACACCAAAGCATCCGGAAAAAGAAGTTCGAACTAATAGACCTAACGACGGTGATGACGGCTCTAAAAGACAAAAATGGTCACTTGAAAACTTCGCGCAAAGAAATGGAAGACCTCACAGTTGACTACTACACAAGGCTCTTCCAAAGCAGCGTAGCAGTACCAAGATCAGCGACTCCACCAGCAGAGGAAGAACCTCCGATCATCGAAGAAGAAGTTGCTCACGCTATCCGAAGGTTGAAGAATGGAACGGCGGCCGGCCCCGATAACATCTCGACAGAAATCCTCAAATCCGGAGGCGACGCCCTGAACCGCCTGCTCGCCAAACGCTTCTCCACCTATCTGAAAAACAACGAGATCCCGGAGCAATGGAAGGTCTCAAAAACCATCTTGATCCCCAAAAAAGGCGACCTAACCGACCTGAACAACTTCCGACCAATATCACTATTATCGGTCGTCTACAAGTTGTTTACCAAGATCATCGTCAACCGCCTAGAGAAGAAGCTCGACGACTTTCAACCACCGTCACAAGCCGGGTTCCGGCGGAACTTCTGCTGCCTAGACCACATCCACACCTTGACTCAGGTTGTGGAGCGTCATCGAGAATACCACCTCCCCCTGGCATTGGCTTTTGTAGACTACCGGAAAGCCTTTGACAGCGTCGAGATCAACGCCATCCTGAACTCGCTCGTCGCCGCAGGAATCCCCACGAAGTATATCGACCTCATCGAAAAGTGCAACGAGGGAACGTCGACTACAATCCAACTGTTCAATAAAAAACTCACGATCCCCATCGGGAAAGGCGTTCGACAAGGAGACACAATCTCTCCGAAGCTCTTCTCCACAGCCCTAGAAGATGCAATGCGTCAACTCGGCTGGGACACCAACCGAGACTGGGAAGATGGAAACGTTATCAAAGGCATCAACATCGACGGCAAGATCTTAACAAATCTTCGCTTCGCCGACGACATTGTCCTCTTCGCCAACAACACCTCCGACCTGTCATCCATGCTCAACGATCTAGACGCCGTCGGAAAGAAGATCGGACTCCAGATGAACGAGAAGAAAAACGCAGTGGATGAGGAACCGCTTCTGCGACCAAGGCAACGTCACCCTCGAAGGACGAGACCTGCTTGAAGTCAACTCCTACGTATATCTCGGCCGAGAAGTCAACATGACGAACGATTTAAAAACCAGAGATAGCAAGACGCCGACGAGCTGGATGGGCCGCGTTTAACTCCATAAAAAGAAGTTACCAACCAGCTGAAAGACCCAAAACTGCGAGCGCATATCTTCGAAGCATCCGTCATCCCCGCCATCTCCTACGCGACTGAAGTTTGGCCTGACACGAAGAACACCACGACCGCCCTACGAACATCTTACCGCGCATTGGAACGTGCACTCCTCGGTACCACTCGCTTCGAACAGTGGAAAAAAGAACAGACGAGCACAGACCTCCGTCAGCGGTCCCAAATCCAGGACCTCGAAGAGCACATTCAACGCGGGAAGCATCGCTGGGGAGGCCACGTCATTCGCAGACAAGATGACCGCTGGTCGACGAGAACGACCCACTGGATCCCGAGAAACATCAAGCGCCCACCGACCAGATGGACGGACTACTTTCGCAAGAACATCAGTCAACCAGGCCGCCACTGGATGACCGTTGCGCAAGACCGGGCCGCCTGGAGAACGTGTGGTCCACGCTGAGAACATCGCCAGCGAAGATGGACCATCAAAGTATCAAAGTAAGTAAGTAAGTATACCCTTCAGAAATCCAACAAATATTCATCAAGGTACCTCAAACTCAAAAATTTTAGATATCAGCCTTGTTCAAATAAAATGAATTTATAACTCGTTTCGAGAAACTCCAGGTCTTCTTCCACCCTCAAACTTTTTTAATGAACCGAAACATCATTTTATTTACCCAGACCATTTAATTTATACCCTGATGACGCTAAAAATTCCATCCTAACCAGATTAAAGGGATTCTTCCACCCTCAAGTGAAAGATCTATGAATGAACCAGGATTTTTCCCGTTTTTCAGTGAAAAAACAATGGTTTAACCTGCGATCCACGTAATAAAGTCATTAAAAAGATGATTAAAAGATCTTTCCACCCTCGGAAATTTCGAGAATGACCCATAATCCAGGAAAAAAATGATAAGGATAATAAAAATTACTATGGAACAGTAGATTAGGAAGCTTCCCACGCCCTCGAACGTTTCTGATCTGTCTCAATTTTCTGGGAGATCAAAAATTCGGTTTTTTTGATCTGATAATCCTCAAACGTTTCATTGTTCGAAGGCTTATCCATTTATTGAATTGAGAAGAAAGGATAAATATTGCACAAAAGCCTCCTATTGTCCTATGTTTTTGCAGAGAAGTTAGGTTGATGTCAACTCTTTTGTTTCATTTTTATCAGGAAGAAAAAAACACAACATTTCCTTGTCATTGAAATTGAAGATCAAATCTTATTTCTGACGTTTTTTTCAAGAAGTGATTGTGTTCATACACCCTCATGAGATTTATGATTTTTTTTAGATGATTCAATGGGGATTCGGAAAAATCTTTGAAAGTTGAGTTGAAAAAAAGTTTGACAGGGGAAAACCTCCATAAATCTAGAATTTGAAAAATCAAACAAATTTTTTTAAAATTCTCCTATTAGATTACATGTTCCAGAAGGAGGTTTAGTTCACTCCGAAATAGTATTTTTTGAACCTACCCCAAATGAAACAGCAAAACTACGAAATTTAGAATTTTTCGAGTTTCGCACCTGAAAAATACGATTTTTTTTTCTCGTTCATGCCGTGTTCAAAGTGATTCCGCAAAATGCAAAATACTCTTTTTCAAAAATTTTTTTCTTTTGGAAAAAAATTAAAACTGATGCCGTGTTCAGAGGAACAAAAAGAAAACTAAATTTTGGAAAGTTAGAGATAATTTGGCAATTCACGGAAATCACTTTGAACACGGCATCAGTTTAAATTTTTTTTCCAAAAAAACATTTTGAAAAAGATTTTCTTCTAAAAATAAATAAATCTAGCAAAAAGTTCCAAGATAAACCTGAATTTTTGGTCATATAATTCATGACGATTGCCTACATGACAAACTTGAAAATGTATCTTAATTCGTCTCCCTTAAAAAAAAGTGCAGTTTTCCTTTTAATAAATGATGTTTTTTCCTAGATCATTTCCGGAAAATCCAGAACTAGATTGAATTAGTCACGACCCGGTTCTCAGCTCATTTCTTTTTTAATCCCGGTTCAGATCAGGCCAAAAAAGGAAGTCTGGCAGGGTTTCAACTGAATCGAACAATGTGCGAGGAGAAGCTTATAGTTATGAGGAAGTAAAATGAAAAAAATTGAGGATTATTTAGGGTTCATCTACGGGAAAAGCTGGATGAAACGATTGTCAGTGGAAAATGAGGAAAACAGCGTGAAATTAAGAGGATTTGATGAAAAATACGAGCTGTGTACTTTCTGAACTTCGCATAACTTCACATAATCCTTTGTTTCGTCTCTTTTTTTCCGTTTCCGGGTTTTGAATCTCGGAATTCCATGAAATAAGCTCTACTGAGAAAATAATAATTCATAATAAACGATTTGAAATTATTCCAGTCGCATTGAGAATGGCTCAACTCGTTGCAGTTGGACCGAAAGTTTTCAAGTTTGCCCTGGAGACTCAAGTAGGTTCAGGTCGGGTGCACGTTCTTCCCAAGCGTTGAGCCATTCCAAATGCGACCAAAAACGTTTCATTTTGTTGGGAATCTATCTAATATTCGATAGATTTGTTTAAATAAACAAAAATATTGCCTGAAATCTCAACTTTTGAACAACCTTTTTGAAAAAAATTTCAGTCTTTTTTTCAAATTCTTAGGATTTTTTTATTGAAGTTACTAAATAAATTTCCTAAAAAAATCTCATTTTTATCTCCGATTCCAACTATGAAGAAATTTCAGCGTCTCGAAAAAAAGCCAGACTTCGAAATTTCACCGTGGAGCGCACAATCACCTTCTAAAAAAATCTATTTACCCAATTTTTTTCGATGAGAGGCATACATTTTTTTCTAATTGAACAATATATTTAAACAATTTTAAACTCCCGAAATCTCCAAAAAAATTTGATTTAGAATTTTTTTCTTGGTCTCTGAGATCTTTGTCTTAAATCGCATCGAGCTTTTTTTGGAAGAAAAATACCAAAAATCTTCATTCGATGCAAAATTTATAGCATATTCTTCCAATAAACTGCGGAAATCTGGTTTCAGATTGCTACGTAGTGGCTTTTCGGATTATGTCGAACTCGGGAAATCCAAAAAAAAAATTTCAACACCAGGCATCGATTTTTTTTTTCTCTAAGCGTTTTGTAACATCTTACAAAAAATTATCAAAAGAACATTTTTTTCGAAATTTTTGGAAGGGCTTGGAATTTTTTTCAGAAAAATCTACGGTTATCAATTGAAATTTTTTTAAAAAAATCAATTATTTTTTTGTTATTTGAAATTCCATTTATCCACTTACTTTTTGAACATTAGGAACCTAAATATAACTTTCAAAGAAAGAGTATTTTTTTAGAATCAGGATGTTTGGATGAACTTCACGAAAGTTTTCTAAAAAAAGCATTTCCAATTTAAAAAAAGGTATTTTTTTACAAACTTTCTATTATAAAGATCTTTCCGTCTAAAAAAACAGCCAGATAGTGGAATTTAACCGTGGGGCGCAGCTGCAAAAAAAGTCTGGATAAACATTTAAAAATTTACTACGTAGCTGATTAATTTCATATTTAAGGTTCAAAAAAATGTTTGTGTACACTTTAAATAGAATTTTTTTCGGAGAAGGTTTCGAAAAATATCCTTTTTTTATCCGAAACCTTTATTTATAGAGCACCTCTGTTGGTTCAAAATAACCAGGGAGTGAAATTTATCAATAAAGACCAGCTGCATTTTTCTAAAAATTCATTTTTGAACGTCATAAAACATTGTAAAAAGAAACTTGCATGATCCGAATTTAGATTCAAACTCTCAAAAATCACAATTATTAATAAGATTTCAAGCAGACGCCTGGAGAAACTTTTTTGTAGTCGCCAGAGGCTTCTGAACACTAATTACATCGTGGGAGAAAAATCAAAAATTATTTTGTACATACAATTTGTAATAATTCTCCCACGGGCCATTATTGTTCAATGAGTTTTCGTGTGAAACCTCGCTCGAAGGTTATCAAAAGCTCAACTTTTACTTTTCATGGAAATAGGCTAGACATAAACCCGGCTACGAATGCAATGCTAATACATAGTTATACGATAAAATATTTCAAATCCGGTTCCTGAATTTATTTCTTCTCTCAATCAAAGGAATTGAGTGGAACAGACGTGGAATTTCATCCGGTTATCGGATAATTCATTTCGCGAAGTGGGATTCGAATCGAAGTTGAGATATTGTGAGAAAAATTCAAATTGAATAGCTTCACGAAATGCTCGACAGTGAAAAATATGTTCTTAACAGAAAGTTGGAAAAATATTTGTCTTCATTCAGGTAGAGAAATCCAAAATTGGAAGGGTTAATTTGTCTTGGAGAATAAAAAACCAAAAAATAAAATTTCAGTGTTGAAATTCTGATTTTCTCTCCAGTTTTTCGTAACTTTGAAGACCCGAAATGTTAAAATTAAAGTTCTAGGCTCTTTTTTCATTATTTAAAAAATATCGAAACTATCTTCTTTTTTTTCTTACAATGTAGTCCAGAACTTTCAAAAGTACAAACCCAAATAATTCTGAAGATCAGCTCAAACAAGACTTTGTTCTCCGAGTTCTCAAAAAACAATCAGAATACAAATTTCTCAGAGTACAAGTGCTCTCTCGATCCAAAAACCTTTCGGATCTTTGTTCTAACCCCGATTAGAAGGAGTAAGTCTTGACTCAAAACCACTTTTAGATATCGTTATGTGGTCTTTTTTCCGAGCTTAAAACGATGCAAATCCTTTAAAATGCTTCTCTGAAAAAAGAACTTCAAATGTATACCCTGAAAGCGGTTTTGGATTGCTAAAGAGCCGAAAGTTTTTGAAAATCATTTTTCTAGTCGTTTCTTGGAATCATCGTCTTAAATCAAATGGGATTTGGTGGTCTGAAAAGAAAATGCGAGAAATATGGTTCCAAAAACAGAAGTGATCCGATTGGAACTCGCTACGTAGATATTTTTTTTTTGAAAACAACCAAATTATAGAAAAAATACGATAAAAAAGCCGTTTTCATAAAAATGATCTAAACTGGTCCATGGTCAAACATTGGATTATGTACAGCTGGTAAATCAAATATATCATAAAAATGTGTCGTCGACAACCATCAAATCAAATTTAAGAGAGAAGCACACAGTATTTTGTAAAACTTTCCTCTGCTATGAAAATTATCACTTCAAAAAAAAATAATATTCTGAGGCGAAGAGCAGTTTCCAGAGTTTCTCGGGCAATTCAAAAGCTGTTTTTGAACCCTCAATGGGGTTTCAAGGGAAGCTATGACAAGTAAAACAGTGAAAAAGAAAAACAAATCGAAAAAAAATTCAGGCGAAAAGTCGATTTCAACTATTAAAGGCGCAGTGGTCATTGACACGAAATGGTGAAAGTTAGGCGTATTACGGTAGTCGATTATTCAAATATTTTTCTTTTCTTTTTCTTGAATTTTTTATTTTTCGATACGTTTTCGCAATCGAAATGTTTTTTTTTGATCGATTTAAATAATAGTTTTTCCTGCTCGTGAACAAATAATCCAGTCATCCTCTGATTTATACTTCCATTCCTGTTTTTTAGGATAAAAAACTGCAATCCATTTTTTTCAATCACGTGTGACTCGTTAAGCTTTAATTAATAACTGAATAGGTAATTAAAGTAAGCGGGCAAAAATCCAAGTAAACAATATTTTTCTAATGAATATCACACTTTTTTTAAGTGGTGTAATTGTAAAAGTGAAGGTGGGGATTTGGAAAATATTATTTCCTTAACAAATTAATCATTGAATTGAGCTGAACTCATGATTTAATTGAAATGCAAAATTTTCTCAGTTAATTGTTGTTTAATGAGATTTTTTGTTTGTTAATTGATGATCAAACTCCGTGGTTGCTCACCAGAGGTTGTTTACTAGTCGTAACTAGGGCTGAAATTCGGTTTGAGTTCACATTTCGCAATGAAAAGAGGGATTTTTCGTTCAAATAAATGGTGGAATAGATTTTTAAAAGTTACTCTTGGAAATGGAGGGAGAAGTTTAAAATTTTTAAGTTTTTCATGAGATTTTCTTATGGAAACCTATAGCTCGGCTATTTTTGTCATTTTTCGAAAACACTGGACGAATCAGAGAGGGCATAATGGCCTATTTTGAAGGAAATTTCGCGATCCAAGTACTTTTTTTCAAAGTTTTTTTAATAAAATTCTCAGCGAATTTAAAAAAATTCAAAAGCTTTTTTTAAGTATATTGTAGCATTATCTAACCGGATGATCCTATTTTCATATTTTTTTATTTTTTTGCTTGATTCCTAGAAATATGTTGTGTTTTTTTGAAGAATAATTTGCAAAAATCTGTGAATTTTTTTAAAAAAAGGAAGGTTTTTTTAAATGTTCGTTTAGGCCCAAATTGGCTTTTCTATTATCAAAAACGAGTTTTTGTCAGAGGATTATCATTGAATTCGTGAATTTGAGAGATTGAGTACAGAAATTTCCTAAAGGAGTCTGGCCGGCACGTTCGCGAGAAATGGCCTCTTTTAACAGATTACGAGAGTTTTCTTTGATTTGAGGCGTTCCTTTTGTCAAAAACGAAAAGGTTGTGGAACTTGAGACTTTGAAGACCTCAAACTGATGCATTGAGGGGTATTCTGACCATTTTTCAGGGTATTCCCAGCCAAAAGTAAAACGACCTTCCTTGTGAGAACAAAAGTTTCCAAAAAGAAACGGTCGAAAATCAGGGCCAAAGTAAACACTTTTATCAAATCACGAAACGATACGCGATTCGAAAATCGGCAGCGTCTGATCGGTCATTGTGTGTCTACAATGACCAGACATGACGAACGTCTTTTTTTCGTTTCCTGATTGAAGTTTTGTTTTACAAGCTGATTAGAATATCGCGCCATTGCATCGGAATGATTGTCATTCGGTGATTTTAGGGGTTTGAAGGAGAAAATGGAGTTTGAAACAGGGACTGGCGGTTTTTTTTCACAGGGTAATGCATGAAAAATTTGCTTTTATGTTGAAATTTTGAAGAGAATAAGCTTTTAACCCCTGTAAGGAAGTTATTTTGCTCCTATTTTTGAAATTGATCCAAATTTGGCTACAGAAATTCTTCCTAAACCAGACCATACACCTGAAATCTTATATTTTCTATTTTTTCATAAAAGTTGAAATTTTGAAGCTTACTTTTGAGGTCGTCTGGTCTATAAACATTATTTTTAGGAAATCGAAAAATCACAAATTTTTGTGTAAAATACCTGTCTGTTTCCATCCCTATGTCCTTTAAAAAATTGATGAAAACATTATTTCGAAAAAAAAATTCTCTTTTTTCGACCAAATATCAAGTTTTTTTTTTAATTCAGCTATTCATAGTTTGATCCGGTGCATCTATTTGAGTGAAAAAAAAATCCGCTCTACTAGAAATTTTCGTAGCTTATAATCAAAGCTATTGGTTATACCTCAATTAGGAAACAAGAAATAATTGTAGGATTTTCCTTTTTCAAATGGGAAATTCCAAAAGTCTTGAAAGTTCAATGATGTTGAAGCTGATATTTTACGGTTTGGAGGATGAAAAAAATCTTCCTAATATGATTTTTTGATTAATATAAAACTGGATACAAGTACTTTCAAACTTTTACTTGGAAAAGTAGGTCTTTTCGACGTCTTTTCTCAATTTTTTGAAGTCTCCATACAAAAAACTTGATTTTGAACCATTTATCATGACGAAAGGACGAAAAATCTAGCAATATCCACAAGTTTTGGGGCACTGGTCCTTCATGAGCGTCAAGTAGACGGCGTTTTGGCAAAGGTAGGCCGACTTGGGGCAGTCCGACACTCCAGTTGACGGGTTCAGTTTGTCGACGCAGTTGACTTCTGTTTTCGGAATATTTCTTTAGAAATGAGAAAAAACAGAAATCAGTAATTTGATCCTAAAATCACTTCACTGTTACTGATTGATCTTATTCGGGAGCTAACCTTGAATAAAAGATTCCGAAATTTTCAGATCGACAATTGTGAATTTTTTTTTTGCCAAAATTGAAATATTTTAATCCATTTTGTAGAAAAGGGACAACCCAAAATTGTTTGAAATTTGAGAAAATTAAGCAAAGTCAAACATTTTATTCCTAAGCATTTTTTTTCAGTTATTAATCTTCAGAATTAGTTTCGCATGGGTTTTGGCAAGACTTTTGTGAATTTGCCAGTTTTTTAGGCTACAATTTAAGAATTTGGATCCATTTTGTAGTAAAGGAGTTAAAAACTGGGGATTTTTTGATTTTTCAATTTTTCGGCATAAAATTGATAAAAAATTGCGTTTTTCTAAGGCTGATAAGGCTTTTTGAGGTCAAATCGTACACTGGTATGGAAAAGACGCTCTGAACAGCTCGGAAAAGTTTGATTTTACCCGAATCGGACCATTAAAACTGGAGTTTTGAATTTTTAAAATTCTGTTTCAATTTCTTGGCCGAAAGTAAATGAAAATTTGAAGCTGATAAAGCTTCTTAAGGTTATATCTAGTCAAAAAAAGAAAAACTAACGAGGCGGATTAACGGGACTGCCGCCGCCGTTGCCACCGGCACAGCGGTTGCACGTCTTGGGACATTGCTGGAATTCCGAAATTGGTAAAGGTACTTATATGTTTCTCAATTATTATAAAAAGGGAAAAATTGGGTCGGAAAGTGTTACTGCATCTATTGGAACAAAACCAAATTCAGCCAGAGTAAAATCGTGACTCGAAGTGGTCGTTCCCATTCCGAGGCTTCCACATGGAGCACGGTCTCCGGACTCCAGCACAACATCCACTGTGGTCTGAGCTCGTCAAGGCGCAACTGAATGGACTACGCGCAGAAGGACGATGCGAAGGACCGTAAGACCATGCTTTCAACTCATTCGACTACACAGTTGGACTTCTAGTTCGCCAAAGGCGGTTGTTCGTTATAGCTTTTAAAGTCCTTGTTCACCGTCTAGTCGATTATATCTATGACTAGAACAACAAAATAAATGATTTGATTGATTCGAAAAATCCTTGGAAAAAACAGTAACTTTTTGCTTTTAAAACACTCTGACATGGGGCGCATAAAGATGGCCACTACTCTTTCTCTGACCAAAACTATTTCGTTGTTTTCTCGCCGCTAGACAACGACGAAATAGTGTGTGGCAGAGAAAGAGTTGCTGCAATCTTTAAGCGCCCCATGTCAGACAACTAAGTACATGACAATTAGCAATGGAGCGAACTTGTCGCGGCTATTTTTTCCTAACTTTCTCACAACCCAATTTTTTTTTCTTGAGAATCATCGTCCCGTAAAACATCGGCGCGAAAGATACTGTAGCCACGGATTTTTTGATTTTTTTGAAACTGGTAAAACAAAAATAACTAGCGCTATTAAAGGATCATTGTACCGCGTGATAAAACATCGTCGCGAAAGATACTGTAGCTCTCTGGAAGATTTGAGCTCTCCAACCTGAGTCATGAGGTCAAAATAAACGGCGTTGTTGCAATAGGCAGCCATGTGGGGACAGTCGGAGACACCCGTCGACGGGTTGAGGAGATCGACGCAGGCGGCGCCACCCGGCGTCGTTGGCGCCAACGTCGTGGTGGCGGCGCCGGCGACCTGGATGTTGGCGAAGTTGCAGCAAGTCGCGTTGTTCAGGCAGGCCTGTCCGTCCGGGCAAATGTACACCGTGTTGGTGGAGTCGACAGCCAGGGAAAGGCAGGCTGAACCGGAAATCTCTGTTTTTTTGTTTCACGTAAATTTAGAAGCCTGAAACTCGCTACCAGTTCTTTAGGTTCGGATATATCTGATCAAGAAAGGTTTAGAAGGAAGATTCAGGCGTAAAAAGACAAATTTATAGTAAAAATGACTGATATGAGTCGTTTTTGAGTTCATTTTCTCACTTCATAAACGAGATTTTCTCCATTTTTGCATTTTTCAACTTTTAACGAGAAATTTAGCACTTTCGAGACTTTTTCTATTGGCTATTGACTACGTTTAAACTTCAAAAAAATCAAAACATAACTTTTTTTCAAAAAAATATGACAAAAAAATGTTTTTTTGTAATTTTTGAGCCTAAAAAAACGTTTCGAAAAGAAAATTTGGAAATCGATCCAAATCCAAGCTTTTTTTCACTAGCAAGTTAGCTCTGTGCTTATCAACTTTTGATTTTTTTTTATGTTATTTTTGAAAAAAATGGGTTCAGGAGTTATTTATTTTTAATTGATATAAGGTCTTGATTAGGGCCTTTTCTAGAAATTGTGGTTTTCTATGAGGAAAATCTTTTTATATTCTTTTTCAAAGGAAAGACCGGCCAAGAGTTTTTGATTAAAAATAAAGTTTTATTATGACTGTTTTTGATTTCATGGTCCTCTCTGTAGATCTCAAGATTTAAAAAAAATATTAGGAACTCATTGAGACCTTTTTTTGAAACTTCAAGTTTTTAAAGTAGATTGCAAAGTGTCTTACTCGAAAAAACGTCATTATTTTGATTTTTCTAGGAAATTTTCTCTTCTATGAGGACCGCAGTGTCCCAAGGACCTTCATAAAGACCTTTTCTTGAAAATATCGTTTTCTCTAGCACAAAATATCATCAATAAGTTGAAATTTCCAACTTTTCCTAACCAAAAAAAGTAAAAAACTGACGTCCACTCTCAGCCGCGCAGGTTTCGCCAGACGCCGTGGCTCCAGAAGCGATAGAAACGACTAGAATCACCGTCAGAAGCATTTCCAAGCCCTTGCCCAAGTAATAATGCAAAATGGAACTTTCAAGCCTTTTATACTGACCTCGGTTCAACTGGATTACCATTTTGAGGCCGCCAAACTGTTTGAGCAGCTGCTCCCCTGATTTATTCCGTCTTTTTTTAAACTCTTGAAGTTAACTTTTCGTTCCTCATAGGTTCAATGTTGTGAAATACTCTGATAAGCCTCGATTTTTGATTTTTCAGTGTTATTTCAGAAAAATTCATCTTGATAATGAAAACTTTGATAATTTTTTGGGGTCCGGGCTTTATTCAGTGTTTGACGAGTTATCAGCGATTTAAATATATGAAATTTCCGTCTCTGAATAAACGATACTTTAAGGGAAAAGCTGAAAAGAACGAACAAGAGCTTTTTGAAAAGATGCCAACAAGGAAATATGGAACAGAAAAGTTTTTTGTCGAAGATTTTGCTCGAAACGACATAGAAAGGTGAATCTCAACATTTTTTAACCCAAAACTACATCATTTTTTCCAAGAAAAAAATTGGCAAAAATAAATAGCACCAGAAAGGATTCGAACCTGCATAATAGACTTCCCAGCGCGAGGCCGCTAGCCACTACACTACAACGCCTGCTGGCAGCAAGAGTTCGCCGCCGCAAGAAATTCCCTCCTCCCTTCCAATGCATTTTTTGCGGGAAAACTTTAAGGCGTCATAACTCGACTAGAACCAAAAAGGCGCACTTTTTTTTAAACTTTTTTGGATTCAGGGTGCTCGAAAGTACCTATATACAAAGTTTCATCGAGTTCCAATATCTCGACCTTTCCCAAATCAACAGCTTCTTTCGAATTTTCAAAAAAAGGTTCAAAAATTATACTCTCATCATAAATCGACAACAAAGACCTTGCTTCGAAGAACGTCAGATTCGTGATCTTTTCTTTGAAAAACAAACTACAAAAAATGTATTTGTTCCGATGAAAACAAGTCAGACAACGGGTCGACCCGGCGGAGATTTGTAGTGATTTGACTTTTTTCCCAAAAACCACCCGCTTTTCACTACAAAATGACACGATTGTCAAAGGAGCGCACATGACATTTGACAATGACGGCCGTCATTTTGTATCGAGGAAAAAGTTCCGCTTGTCTACCCACCTACACTGGAAAATTTACAATTTTTTGAGGGGTTTTTCAGAAAAGAGTCCATTTATTTTTTCATTAGGGTTGAGAGAAACGAATTGTGAAAAGTGAGATGAATGAAAAAACACGAGAAAATAGGGTTTTCCACCTAGGGGAATTTTAAGTGGCCACTTAAGGGCTTGAAGTTTTGTGACCACTCAAGTGGCCCCTTTAGAAATCCAAGTGGTACTACCAGGTCACTAAAACTACTATAGTGGCCACTAAGACGCGAAGTATCGGCTTCTGAAAGGGTTTTTTTTAGTGGCCACTTAAGTGTCATCTCCAGTCACTTCAGTGGTCTTTTCTCACGATTTATTCAAAATACATTGGAAAATTCGCAATTTTTCGTGGGATTTGTTCAAATCAATCATATAATTTATTGTTTTGGCAAATAAACGTTGATATACGAGAAAATACGGTTCGTAACAAGCCTTTCTAAGAATCGTAGGAAATCTGCAGAAACCTTGGATTCCCACAATTATTATTTCGACAAAACAAGACGCTCAGAACAGCTTTCGACTCTATTTTAATCTTACTTTATTTTTTTCTTATCGTCTTTTTTTCCAAATCTTCTTTGTGGGTACCAAAGATGAATTCTAGAATATTTTGTCGAAAAAAATATGAGAAATGAATCATTTTTGCAAGTAAAATTGTGTATCATGAGAAACTTTGACTGATTAAAAAAATGATAATAATTGGATAAAAATATTAAACTTGAAAAAAACCTAAATGGAGCCGAATTTTCAGATCTATCACTGCCAAAAACCACTGAGGAAAAAAAGCTCCGTATCCACAAATTCGCTGAGCATCAACTTATGAGAAACTGGGAGTAAAATAGATTATAAAAAGGTATAGGAGACTCATAACAGTAAACATAAGAGAAAGAGAACTTTTTCTCAGGCTCCGTATCCACAAATTCGCTGAGCATCAATTTATGAGAAACTGGGAGAAAAGTATAGTGAAAAAAAAGGAACGGCAGGATGGTCCCTAGAGAGGCTACTCTAGGGGTTTTGGTTAGTGGCCACTCTAGAGTAGTTTATAGTTATGAACTCCATGAGAAGATGCATTTTTATGCGAAAAAATTAGCGTTTTTTGAAAAAATGTGTAACTTTTCAGGAACGCCGGAGTGGTCCCTAGAGGGCTTTGATAGTCCCCTCTAGGGACCACTTAACCTTTCTCTATTTGGCTTGTTAAAGTGGCCACTCTAGGGGAGCATTTGTCGCTTGTAGAACATGAGTTTCATCAAATAGGTCCTACTTACTTTTTTGAAAAAATTTAAAAAATCCCTATAGAGACAACTTCAGCTTTAGGTACATAGGAGTCTGACCCTAAACCCTAGAGGGACCACCTGAATTTTTTTATCCCTACAGGAAGCCCTATTTTGCCCTCTATAGGTACCATTTTACTCCCTAACCCCTCCAGAGACCACTCTGGCGTTCTCAAGTATTTTTTTTACTCAAACGAAGTTCCAAATTACACTTTTTTGAACAGTTTCTATGCATTTGTGTGAGCCGGATAGTTGCTCTCGAAGGTGTTCATCGAAAATACAGTTGCTCCTGAAATTTCTCTGTGAACCTGAGGAAATTTGATTCGGACCAACTCTTTTTGTGAAAGATGGAAGTGACGTAGTTCCTGTAGGGCGGATGGACGACGACCATCGCGATGGAGGCCAATAAACCGTGGGACGTGGAGAACAGGGTGCAAATGTTGTTGGTGGCTGGGAAAATGGTTAAAATGAGCTCGTGTCAGAACACTTTACTCATACTTTACTCACTTTATATCATAGTATTTGCACATTCAAAAGTCTTGGAAAAGTTCTAGTGGTCACTTTAGGGTTTTGACTTTTAAGCGGCCACTAAAGTGAACAAATTAGTGACTCGCTAAAATTTCAGTAATCTAGGTGGTCCTAGGCCATGGAAAACTACTAAAGTGGCCACTGTGGAAAAATAGTGGCTTCTATAGTGATGGTTTCAGTGGGCTCTCTAGGGTTTTGACGTTTAGTGGCCACTAAAGTAGAACAAAATGGTCTTGACTGGCCAAAATTTCAAAACTCTAGATGATATTACTAGGCCTCTAAAACCACTAAAGTGGCCACTGGGGAAAAAATAGTGGCTTCTATAGTGATGGTTTCAGTGTTCTCTCTAGGGTTTTGACGTTTAGTGGCCACTAAAATAGACAAATTAGTGACCACTTGACTGGCTAAAATTTTTAGAACTCTAGGTGCTATTACTAGGCCACAAAAACTACTAAAGTGGCCACTAAGGCGCTTCTATAGAAGTGGTTTTAGTGGCCACTTTAGTGTCCTCTCCAAGTATTCGAGAAATCTCTTAAGTGGCCAATAGAGTTATTTTCAGGTTATTCTTACTTTTATATAATCAAATTTTTCAAAATTTGCAACGATTTTTCCTCAACGCCAAACAAAAGATTCTCGTAGATTAAATATTCCTTGAAAAAATGTATACCTTGATTATAATCTCCATACAGCATGACACTGTAGGGAAGTAATATGGCAACATTTGGGATGGCTACCTGAAATTCCTCGATTCTCGGGAAAGAAAAGGGTTTTTGGGAAAATTCTAGGTAACGCTTTTCGGACAACTTTGAGCTCTCTATCGGTCACTTAAGTGGTGTTATCTTCTTTTAAGTGATCCCTCGGATCAGAATTCAACATTGCTTCGTGCTCTACAGTCTGTTCAGATTCGAAAAGCCAAAGCTCCGCCCCTCATTACGCGATAAACCCATCAGAGCGCGAGCCATCTACAGAGCTTTTATTATGACGTCATCGTACTCAAAATTCGAAATAATTCATTTCGAATAAGAATTTTCGAAAAATTCGCCCATATTGCTTTCAACAAGATTTTTCGTGGGATAGCGTTGAAAAATTTTTTTTAAAATTCAAACACGAAATTTCTTTTTTCATAGCCACGCCATACACGATTGGCTTGAGCCATCGAAAAAAAGGTCCTGACACGAAATAGAAGAGAGAGTGTCTGATGGTTGGAGAGCACAGACATGCCACGTTCCTTAAAAGGAAGGTCATTTTACTTTATAGTTAGGACTTTCCTGAAAAATGGCCAGACTCCTTGATGTACCAGGTGATGATTTTTGAAAGTCTCAACCTTCAAAACTTCCTAGTTTTCGAAAAAAGGACACCTCAAATTCAAAGAAAACTGAAAATCTGTGAGAATAGGCCAATTTTGAGCCCTTATTTCTAGGAAATAGGAGAACTTCCAGAATCTTCTTCTGGTACATCAAGGAGCCTTCTAGCCAATCTTCACAAAATTCCCAACTAAAAAGTCAAAACACCTTCTTTGTATAGTCAATGTTTCCCGACTTCAAAGTCGAGGGGGGCGGGGCAGGGGGCGGGACGCGTAGCGTGTGCGCTAGCGGTTCTTGGCACGTGTTCAATTCAACCGCCATCTACTCTTTGAAAAGCGCGTTTTTCGCTTTTTTTTTTCATTTCTTTTTCAATTTTTTTATGTTCATGTGTGCATCAAAAAATAGTAAAAAACATTGAAAAAGAGCGGTTGCCGAGCTTTTCAAATAGTCGGCGGCAAATGAATTGAACTCGGGCCAAAAAACGGGTATGCACACGCTACGCGTCTCGCCCCTTTCCCCGCCTCCTTCGCATTTCAAGTCGGGAAACATTGACTATAAGCGTCCCTGAACCTGTATGCTGAGAGCGGCCATAAAGTAGAGCTGCTTCTTGCTGGTCGCCACGGACGTCAGAGGCTTCCTGGTGCGGATCACGTAGAACGAGTGGGCGACGAAGAACAGTCCGAGGACGGTCAGATAGGCGGCGGCGATCCCGAAATAATGATGCGAGGATCCGATCCGGGACTCGGTCATCATCACGACGTCTTCCGTGTAGAGACCCGGCGGGATGCACCCGAGCTTCTGAATTGAACGAAAAAGAGTTTGAGCTGGGTACTACGACAAGAGCGGGTTTTCTTTTCTCGAGGAGTACTGTATGTGAAAGTCTGCGTTCGGCGTGTGCGTGTTTGCACATTTTTAGTTGTCCTTTCCATTTCTTTCTATTTTTATCTGAATATTTTTAGTTTTTGTCTCATACCGAGTCAGAATAAATAGTTGATTTAATTCAAACTTTCACTATAGTTCATTTAATTCAATATCAACAAAATTTAGAACAAGCGAAGTCGGTACTACTGAAAATGTGCAAACACGCGCGCGCCAAATGCGGACTTTCGTATACAGTAATCTTCGGAATAAAAAAATTATCCTTGTAGTACCATCTTGAGCTGAACTTTCGTGAAATCACCGTGAAATTAATCAATCAAGGGCTGTTTTTATATGATTCATCCTCTTAAAAACATTTTTTCTCTTAAAACACAAAAGTTAGAAACTTTAAGTTTCAATTGAAAAATTTAAAAAAATGGAAAAATCCCTTTGAAGATCGAAACTCTGCCTTTTATTGTAATTTCTTTTTGAAAAATTTTTTTTAATACACTAACAGCGTCAAACTTCAGTTGAAAAATTTTTAAAAAATTGGTAAACCTTCAGAAAAAAAGTTGACTAGGAACTGACCACCAAAAAAAGTACTTTTTTTAAAGAAATATTAAAAAAACAAATTAAGCTAAAAAGAACGAAGTAAAAAGCTGAAAATATTAAAATTTTATAAACTCCGATATTTTCGACTCATCCCGGCTAGAAAATCAGGGCCGCATTTGGAATGGTTTGAAGCTTTGCCGTTAGAATCGAGTCTAACAGCAAAGCTACTCTATAATTAAATTGTTTCTTCAATGTTCCTCGATGCCTAAGCGCGCAAGCCGTTTTGAGTCGGGGACCCCTCGAAAAAACCGCCTTGCTGAGCCATTTTACGTGCGGTCATGAGCTTCCAAGTCACAGATAATTCAAACTATCTCGTCAAATTCTTCTATTGGAAATGACAAGGGATTTTTCTTCAGTTTTCTTTCAGATCAGAAGAAAAATTTCTCACCCTGACGAGCTCAAATTTGAGCGTAAAGTCATCTTTCTGCTTGAGGACATGAATGGGAGCAAGGTAGCTGGCGAAGAACAGATAGTGAACAAAAATCAGGGTTATTCTGATGTTGTCGTTGAGTTTCCCAAAATGATCACTAGGCAGGATCGCCTGGTGTCGCATGAAGAACAGGGAGAGTGATGAGACCGATAGAACTGAAAATATTATCGTCGGATCTTAAAAATGAACTTATTTTCGGTAGTCTTTAAAAGAAAATCTTGAAAATCTGGCAGGAAGTTTCGAAAAAATAGCCGCGACACAGCTGGATCTAATGCGCCCCATTGATATTTTTCAAAAAAGAGAGGGAAATCAAATCGAGATAAAATGAAATTCAATGACAAATGGCCAAGGGATGATAGAACTGAAAAAATTCTCGTTTTATCTTAAAAAATGAACTCATTTTCGGCTTTTTGTTCAGATAGTTTTTGAATGAAATTTTTCAGAAAATCCTGAAGTTTTGAAAAAATAGCCGCGATAGATCTGGAGCTCTTGCGCCCTAATGCTAATTTCCCAAAAAAGAGAAAAATCTGGCTATTCCTAAAAATAAAAACTTATTTACGACTTTTTTTCTTAAATGAGTCTTTGAGAGAAAAACTTTAAAAAAATTCCACAACTTTTTTTCAAAAAAATAGCCACTATAGACTTGGAGCTCTTGCGCCCCAATGCTAATCTCCCCCAAAAAAAGAGAATCTGGCTATTTATAAAAAAATTTCTAAACTTATTGTACCTATTTTTATTCAGTGAGGGTCAAAAGAGAAATTTTGAAAATCTGGCAGGAGCTTCTGAAAAAACAGGCGCGATAGAGCTCGAACTATTGCGCCCCAATGCTAATCTCCCAAAAAAAAAAATCTGAGTATTTATTCAAGAAAAGAACATCTTAAAATGGAATTTATTTGCGACTTTTTTTCTTCAGTGAAAGTTCAGAAAAGAAATTTCGAAAATTTGACAGAAAGTTATAAGAAAAAAATAGCCGCCGGAGAGCTCGAACTAATGCGCCCCAATGCTAATTTCGAAAAAAAGGAAGGAATTTCGAGGAATTGAATTTTTTGTTCAAAGCATTGTCCGAAAATTTAGTCTATCACTGAATTTTTTTTTGAATTTCGATTAAATTATTCCTCATAATTTTTACTACCTTTTTCAAAATCCTTTCCAAGACTTTTATCACGTTTTCAACGAACTTGTTTATTTCCGTTTCCTAATCGAAAAAAGGCCAATTTTCATCCGAAAACTTCCGTAATGAAAAAAACATACAATTTGATGTCATTTCCTCGAAAAATGTTGCGTTCTTATTAGTTGATGTGACCGGAAATGCACGCTACAAAAAACTTTGACCTTTTTTGGTGAGCAAAAACTTTTGGAAAAACAGTGGAGGAGTTTTTTTTAGCTTTTACTCTTAGGAGCGCCAGATTGGTCCCTATAGAAGCAACCTTAGGGATTCTTGAAGGTGTCCCTTTAGGGACCACCGTACCTTCTTCTGCAGTGGGCTCTAAAGCTTGTAAAACTGGTCAAAGCATAACAAAAAATAAAAGACTCTTATAGGGGCCCATTTTCTGTCCCCTATAAGGATGTTCGTCCCTAATCCCTCGAGGGACCACTTAAGCTTCAAGAGCCTAAAGTTGAGAGCCTAAACCCCTATAGGGACCAATTTTTTCCCCCTTAAGGGCTGTTTTTCCCCTAACCCCTACGGGCCCCCTGGCGTCCCTCAGTTGGATCAATTAATTAAAACTTTAAAAAACCTGAATTTTACCTCTAATTCCCTATATGATCACCTATCATTTAACAAAATCATTTTCAAGAATAAAAAGGGACATTAAAGGTTAATTGATGAATACTCGGTTAATCGTCTACAGTTTTACGAAATTATTTCCTGGGAAAGCGAAAGATTAATCAACAAACTTCATTTATTGTTTTAGCAGGAATAAAAAAGCATTTTGCACTATTCAATTGGCAAAATATGGAAAAAAGGTCCTGCCACGAAAAACAAGTTCTTACAGTAATCTATTACACTTTTGTGAAAAATTAGCAGTAAACTATGTTTTTTTCTATCAAAACGAGATTATGATGATGAAGTTTTTCCTTTTTTCAAGATGAATTCGATTTTTTATTGTTATACCCAGTTGGCAAAATTAAGGGTCTTGACCCGAAAAAAAAGGACTTACAGTAACCCACCAATTTTTTGTGACGAACTTCTTAAAAATGAGGCTGCGATATCGAAGCTTTCTTTTTTTTTCTTGGCACAAGAATATTATAGTTATTCATAGTAAAGGTCCTGTGACGAAAAATACAGTAACCTATTCGATTTTCGTGGAAAAATAGCGGCTGATTATATAGACAAACGCGATTTTTTCGACTCACTTGATTTGAGTAAGGGTCTTGACGCGAAAAACAAGGTCGTACAGTAACCTAGTGAACTTTTGTGACTAACTTGCGGTCTTTCACAATGTCCGTAAAATTCTTAAGATCTCAAGATAAAAAATGTTTTTTTTTGATAGTCCCTACGAACCAACCTCCAAGAGAGCCATTCAAAAAATAGAACTGATAAATTGAAGGGACCCGGAACCAATGAAGAACCCCAGCAGGGAATCCGGCAACGGCCGGAAGGTACATCACCGGAGTCGAGAGGCAGGAAAAGGCGATGTCGTTGTTCAAAGTCCTGGAACATTGAATAACCTGAACTTCTTTCGAAAAGTATGGCCAAGGGACGTTGATTACTGTTTTTGAATGGAGGACTCCTCTATAAATTTTGAATTTGAACAAAGATTAAGAAACCCCCTCGAAATACCTTTTCATAACTTCTTAGCTAGGCGAAAACTGACCAAAACTGCTGAAGGAAGAGCAGCCACTTGAAATTGCCCATTTGAGGCGGCGAGGCGACGCGAATTATCCAAAACGCGGCAACCGAAGCCGAAAATAGAACGATAGACGTCCAATTCATGGCGGCCAGGTATCCCTGAATAATTAGATCATTTTTGAAGAAACCTCGGACTTTTTCCGAGAAATCGAAAATTGCTGCAAAAGGTTCATTTTGGCCCGAAATGTTGCCCCGAAAGATTTATTTTTGGTAAAAGTTGCTTCAAAGGGTTCATTCTGGTTCAAAAAGTTCCAATTGTTGGTTCTAAAATTTGCTTCAGAGGGTCTGTTTTGGTTCAAAAAGCAACTTCAAAGGTTTCATTATGGTTCAAAAAAAGTGCTTCAAAATGATTCATCTCGGTTTCAAAAAGGTACTTCAAAGGGTCCATTTTGGTTCCAAAAAGGTACTTCAAAGGGTTCATTATGGTTCTAAAAAGGTGCTCAGAACAGTTCATTTTGGTTCCAAAAAGGTCGAAATTTCGTTTCAAAACCCTCACCTTGAGTTCCGAAACGGGATAGCAGTAGTCGTACTTCACAGACATCACCTCAGCCATTTCCGACGGATAAAATGAGAAAAAGGCCGGGTATTTATCCACTAATTTACTTGTGAGGTCATCAATGACCTTCGTCACATGAGGAGACTGATTACGGTAGTCAATTAATTATCAATTATCATTTCTTCATCTTTAATTGATATAAGGGAAGCTAGGGGAGGTGCAAACAAGGTCTTATTCTCAAGAAATCAAGAACCAATTTTTCTAATTCATGCTTCTAAAGGAATTTAAGGTACAAAATCTATTTTCTGACCCCGCCCTGCGCCTTTAAACTTCCTAGTTGGTTCATATACAAGTAAATTTCCAACAAAGTCTATTTTAGATAAGTCGAAAACCATTTTTCTATAATGAAGATTTTAAACATTATTTTGAAAGTCAAAAATATATATAATACCTCCCTGGAGAAGCTCAAATGTGTAAGACCCATTTTCTGACACCGCTTTGCGCCTTTAAACTATCTAGATAATCCATATTCGACTATTTTCCCGAAAATATATGAAAACCTTTCTCTATGAGAATAAGCAGAAGAATTTTCAAAAAAGCCCGAAAAATCCCAAAAATGAACTTTTCTCAAGGGAGCGCAAAAGAGCCTAAAAAACCGCCTCGTTGTTTCAGAGTTGAACTTTGGCCAATTTTCGTTTTTGTTGCAAAAAAGGGCTTTTTGCACTTTCAGTCATCATTTTTGGAACCTAATTGAAAGGTCTTTCAAGAATTTTCAACCCAAAAATTATTTTGAACAAATTTTATACCCATTTCTCTGAAATTAAACCATTAGAAAAGAACAACAGAAACCGAATTGCATTTATAGTCGATCCTTCCCGACTTGGAAGGCGAAATGGGTAGACGCGCTGCGTATGCGACGCGGCTCTTGGTGGGGAACTTGAGGTCAAACTCTATAATGAAAAAAAGTTAGAGAAATGTTTTTTTTTAAATATTTTTCTATACTTTTATTCATTCAAATAGTTCTTTAAAAATCCATCAACATTAAAAGTTATGGAAAAACTGTCAGAAAACGATAAAAATGGTTTTGCTTCGAGTTTCCCGCCATGAAGCCGCGTCGCATACGCAACGCCTTACCCTTGTCAATCTATCCATTTCGCCTTTCAAGTCGGGAAGGATTGACTATAGCAAAAACAGCACACGAATAAAACGAACATTGTACAGTGTACTACTCACTATTAACATACACATTCAATATAGACATGAAGACATGTTTTCCGGGGATAAATCACTGAAATTTGACAGGAACAAACAAAAAAATTATTTAAGACGAGGAAATTCATCGAGATCGTTGATATGACCACGGCAAGTAACGCAACTTCGGCAAACGGTCAGCCATTTGACGATACACTGAAAGCTTTGTCAGTCGATTTTTCGAAATATTAAAGCTAGCTCCGCCCCTTACCGTACCTTTTCGCGTCGATGACCTTTTGATAGTGCTTCTTTTCTGACCTTTTTCGATCCAAGAGCTCGAAAAACAGTCGAAAAATGCAGCGTTAATAAAGGATCATTGCCTCGCGTTTTAAAACATCGACGCGAAAAGTACAGTAACCACAGAGGTGGAGTTAGCTCCTTGGCATTCAACAGATTATACTGTGGCAGAGACCACGGAGCCCTTTTTGGCGGGAAAATGAAACTTTAAAGGCATAAATGAGGTTCAAAATAAAAAAATTCCGTTTTATAGAGCTTTTTTTAATCCGTGTTAAAGTTCTATTGAAAATTAATAGTCGAAAAAAAAATTTAAAGAAGGATAAAAAAAATTTTGAATTTTCGCCAAAAGTGCATCTTGCGGTAAAGTTGCTTTATGGATAAAACGAATCGCCATTTTTTTTTTGGTTTTTCGCTGATCTCTCTAAAGCTCAAGTGGTCTCTACAGGGGCCTATTAATTTCTCTTTCTGATTTGTAAGTTAGAAAGACGAATTTTCAATAAAAAGCCGATAAATTTGTCCCTATAGTGGTCCCAAAATAAAAAACCCTAAAGGGGTCCCTCTGTAATTTTTCAGGCGAACTTGATCGATTAGACATTTTTTTCATATTTTTCATCCAAAAACGCTGATTTTTTGAATTTTACGCCTGTAAATGCTTCTTTTAAGGGATTTAATAAAAATGAACGACTAGCAGCTCCCTAGAGTGACCACTTCTGCAAGCTTTACTGACCCAAATAGGGGAGATAAGGTTCCTGGACCCTCAAGTGTCCCTACGCCCCTCTAGGGACCTCTTCCTTCTCACCTCATGATGAGTGAACTGGCAGCAGTGTTCGCACTGGAAAACCCGGGATCCTTTCAAAGATTCGAAGCAAATCGCGCAATCCTCGTTCCTCTCAACGTTCTGAGAGACGAAAATACTTCTTTCTCCCTCATTTTTCACAAATACCAAAGGTTTCTTCTCCTCGATGGGTTTCCATTTGGTGGGACCCTTGGTTTTCAGGGGCTTTTTATTCTCGACCAGGTTCTTGACCGGCGGCGGTTTCAGGGGCTTTTCCTCATTGGAGCCTGAAAAGTTGGGATAAAATGGACATTTTTGCCTATAGTCCATTCACAATGACTTGAAATAGAGATATGCTTCTCTAACACTCTCCTCTTTTTCTGTTGTCTCTAGCTTTCGCTGAATTTGTAGGAGTCAAAATCAAGGTCTATTTCCCTAATTCTCTCTGTTTTCTGTAGAACCTTGACATTGACAAATATTTTGAGAGTCAGTGAAATCTATTTCTCTAACTCTCTCTACTTTCCCTTATCTCTCGTTTCAGACTCAAAAGTCGGGTACAGCTTCTTAACTTAAAAAAGATTGGAGCCATTTTTTGACTGCCGGTCTTCGCTTTCCGTTTCCTCATGCTATTTTCATTTTTTTAAACCCTATCGGTGAGAGAAAAGAGACGCAGACAAGTCAGACTGTTTCGAGCCCTTGCGAATGAAGTATGAAATAAATTTCACTTGAAAAGTGATTATAGATGCGCATGACGTCATCTTCGCTGATTGTCGGGAATTCAGGCAATTTTTCAAGCTCGGCGTCGAACTGAAAGAGGGAAAATGAGCTTGGCTGCATGTAGAATGGCTCGGAAATTAACGGTTGCAAAGCGGTTTCATTTGCACCCGACGATTTGCGGTTTTCGCGCAGCTCTATTCTATCTACTGATGTCTCTCGCTTCTGACAAGCTCATGAGAATCGGGCGCACTAAAAAGCTCTTTCTGTAACCCTCTTCTCGTTTTATGTAGTGTCTACTCTTCGGAGAAGTTATGAAAATCAAAATGAGGCTCTGTTTCTCTAATTCTCTTCGTTCTCCTCTATCTATAGCTCCTATAAAAAACTCCTATAAGTCGGGCGCAGTTAAAAGCTCATTGTCTAACCTTCTCCTCGTTTTCTGTTGTCTCTACTCTTCGGAGAAGTCATCAAAGTCAAAATGAGACTCTACTTCTCTAATTCTCTTCGTTTTCCATTATCTATCACTCCAAATAAACTCCTATAAGTCGGGCGCAGAAAAAAGCTTTTTCTCTAACGCTCTCTACATTTTCCCTCGTCCCTCGCTTTTGCTGTCAAAAGCTGTTAAAAGTCCGGCGCAGAAGAAAGTCTCAGATTTAGCAGCCTAAAACGCTTCCAGTAGCCTTAAAAATCATTACAGAGCAAATAGGACTGTTTAAAAAAGAGAAAAATGGCAGAAAACTGAACCGGAATCGAAAACGAGGCGACGTTTCGTCGACAGACTTCGGCCACCGCTTCAATATCACAGCACATCAGTTGGAGTCTCCATTTCACGGCATTATTCTCGCTTTTCAGACTGAAAAAACCCCTTTCTAATTTCTGAAAAGTTTTGTGAAACCAAAAATTTGAAAATGATCTGCAAAAAATTACCAACGCATTGTTGCCCATTCACAACTTACTTTTGGGCTTCTCTCTATAGTTTTTCTATAATATTATTATCATTTTTGATCCAGAAAATCTTGTTTTTTTTTTTCATAACAGAAGCAAAAGTCTTAAAAACGTCTTTTGAGAAGTTTTGCGAAGAAAAGTCCGAAAGTAAGATTTTCAAAAAAAGCAATCCATCATGGTCCATTCACCACTAACTGTTGGGCTTCTTTTCTGGATTTCTCTTATTTTTTTGAACTCGAAAAACACTAATTATTCCTTAAAAACCAACTTTCATGAATTTTTCTCGGATTCTCAACAGAGCACACTTTCTTTTAACTTATTTCATTTTTTTGAAAAATTTTTTTCAGATGTTTTAAAGTGTTTTTTTATGAACTTTTTAACCATCTTATAACCAATCAAAAAAATTCAGAAAAATCAGTCTATTTTCCTCTTTTTAGATAATGTTCACGCCAAAAAGCATTCACTTTTCGATGAAAACCAATTTTCATGACTTTTTTTCAAATTCTCAATAGAGCACCCTTTCTCCAACCTAATCCATTTTTTTACAATTTTTTTAAAAACAGCGTATTTTTTTCAAGTGTTTCTATGAGCTTTTTTTTACCATCTCATAATCAATTTCAAATTTTCGAGGCTGTCCTCGGCGACTTTCAACGTTTGGCGAGAGCGTTCCAGTTCCTGGAAACTTCAAAATTTTATCATTTTTCACGGTTGGAAAACCTTTTTCTTCAGATCGAGCTTCTTCTTCTCATCGGGACTTTCCGCTGGAACATCTGGTTCAACTTTCTTGCGGCTCTAAATTCGGAAAAATAATTCAATTTTCCGAAAAACTCGGACCAATTCGGAGAATTTCTGGAGAATGGCCCGGGAACGAGATCCAATTTGATCGATATCGCCTTTTACCGTATCCAGCAATGAGAATACGTCTTTTGGAATATAGGGGAAGTTTTGACTGGAAAAAAAAATAGAAGGTGATATGAAAATTCAAAACAAAAACCAAGGTCTCAAAGAGGCTAGTGTCAAAAAGTATAATAGAAAAAGGTATCTTAACCCTAATTTCATCAATTTTTTTAAAGGTCTAACCGTTGGTTTTCATCTAATTTACTACCAAATGAAAAGAAAGAGCACTGAACTTTTGGAAAAAAAAATTCAAAATTTCCATTTCAGGCTTTAAGAACTTCTAAATCCTATCTAGATATCTCTGAAACAGCTCAAGAAAAAAAAAATTCCCATTCTAGGCCTCAAATAATCAAAAAATTACTTCGAAATTGCTGAAAAATTCAGAAATTCCATCTCAAGCACTAGAAATTCAAATTTCTCTCAAAAAATAGTTCAAACATCCCATTTCAAAATCTTCAAAGCCTTTGAAAACCTTCAAAAAAGCTCAAAACTCGGAAATTTTTACCGTGAGCTTCAAAAAAATCCACAAACCTTTTAAAACGTTTCAAATCGTGAAAAAATAACCCATTTTTCTATAAAAACCGAATTTCTTCAAGCTAACGAGGAGAACAATTTTATTGATTATAAAAGGTTTTCAGGTTTGAAAACTGTTTTTTTTTTAAAAAAATGATAAAACCTCATATTCACCTCAATCTAATGAAAGAAAGTCTGTAAGCCTTTTTTTAAGCCAATCTAAAAAAATCCTCTAATGACCGAAACCTTTCCTAAAATTCTTAAATAATCATACTTCTCATTGAAACGACGGTACGACATCGTGGCCATATCAATGATATCCTTGGAAAACTTGACGAATTCGCGTTTCAACTGGAAAAAAATCTACGTTAAAAAATAATTTCTATTTTCGAGGACCTTCTCAATAGCCCGATCTTTCGTCTCACACTCGGCCGTCCTGAAAAATATAACTTTTTGTGTGAAAGCTAAAGAAACGTGACAAACTTATTTTTCAATTCATCCTCGAGCTTTTGGCATTTTTCTATCACTTCATAGTTTTGCGATTGAACGTCGTAAAGTCTAAAATAAAACTCGATAATTCAAGTCTAAAAAATCGATAATACAACGGATTACGAGATGAAGTTGAAACTTTGAAAGAAAAAAATATCTAAAAAAAGTTTTTTTCGAAAAAAATTTGTTGAATTTCATATCTATGATCAAAGGGCGATGAAGTGCATAATACTAAAGAGACCACTATATAGAAATATAACACTTTTAAGTTTTTTTCTTACCTCTGGATAATTTCATATTGTTCTCTTTGGTTCATCGGTTGGCTTTCGGGTTCCTCTCCATCACTGAAAAGGCTCAATTTTTTAAACTTTATACGCCTTATATAAATCAACTGTAATTCGCGTGGAATGACTCTAGTACAAAATGGAAACTTCAGCACTCGGCCAGAACCGATTTGCGCGCAACTGCATCGATAAGCATGCGAGCAAGCTATTTTGACAACTGTTACGCACCCGCGACGCCTTTGAGCTATTCCAACTGCTGGTTCGACAGTCGCATTGCAATCGCGACGCCTTTGAGCCATTCCAAGTGCTGGTTTGACAGCAGCAACGCAACCGCGACGCATACAAGCCATTCCAAATGCCGGTTCGTCAACCGCAACGCAGCCGCGACACCTTTGAGCCATTCCAAATGCGAACTCGGCAACGGCGACGCTTTTCGATTCCTTCCAAGAGTAGATTTGACTACGGGTTTGATCACCGCAATGCAGCTGCAAGGCCTTCAAGCCATTCAGAATGCTAGTTCGTCAACCGCAACGCGGCCGCGACGCCTTCAAGCCATTCCAAATCCGGATTTGACAACCGCAACGCAACCGCGACGCCTTCAAGTCATTCCAAGCGCTGTTTCGTCAGCTGTAACGCAACCGCGACGCCGTTAAGCCATTCCACATGCGGAATCGGCAACCGCAACGCAGCCTCAACGCCTACAAGTCTTTCCAAATGCTGGTTCGACAGCCGCAACGCAACCGCGACGCCTTTCAACCATTCCAAATTCTGGTTGGTGAACCGCAACGCAACCGCGACGCCTTCAAGCCATTCCAATTGCGACCCTTACCTGTATAGCTCCTCTTCTTCATCCGATTGCTCGCTGACTTCGCTACTGGAGCTACATTTTCTTCTTTGACTCCTTAATTTCATTAATTCAATTATCGCACCTTGAAACTGTCTGACGCACCTGCGCTCTCTCATCTCTCTCGCTTCAAAAAAAAAAAATGAAGTGGAGAGAGAAAAAAGGGTACAGGGAGATCAGAGAACTTTGAAATTTATCATGGCAAAGAACTACAAGTTCTAATGTTGATGGGCAGCCAAAATCTTAGCTCACTTTGATACGGAGCGAAAAAAAAAGTTCCTAATTTCTTCCAGAAAAAAAAACCAGTAAATTGTATAAAAAAAGTCTAGGTTACGGTACGGTAGAACTTATGAACCTCTCATTTTCACACACGATTTCCCTTTTCAAAAAACCCTTAGAATTCTTCAAAAACTGGCACGAAGCCGCAGTAAATCGACCATAGTTCATTCATTGATGACTAGAAGAAATTTGAGCAAAATAATTGCAAAATGGAGAGATTCAGACGTATCTACAGTCTTTTTCGAGCCCAGTATCTTTTTTTTACCTTTCAAGATTTTCTTCCTCCTCTTCCTCCGTTTGCGTGGCCATTTCTTGCTTCTCAGGACTGAAAAATCAATTTTTCCTTAGAAACTAAACAAAATTTACATTTTTTCGTCAGCAGTTTGAACGCCGAAATTCTGGTACAATCTCAAGGTTTCCAGCTTCAGTTCTGACCTGAAAAGGCATAATCTTAGAAGCCCCTGAGTGGTCCTGGAGGGGCAACTTTGAGGGCACACCTTAACTTTCTTTACAGAGGGCACTAGAGCTTGCAAAAGTGGCCACTCTAGGGGCGCCTTTTAGTAGTCTCTAGACGTCTTTTTTAACTTCCAAATCCGAACAAAAAATTTTAAGATCTCTATAGGGCCCACTCAAGCTTTTGGAGCTTAGATACTAAACCCTGAACTTTCATAGGAACCACCTTAATCTTATCCCTCTAGGAAGCACTATTTTGTCCCCTATGGGGGCTGTATTTCCCCTGACCCCTCTAGTGACCACTTTACCTCCGCTTATAAGGGGGCTCCAGAGCTTGCAAAAGTAGCCACTCTAGGGGAGCCTAGTAGCGGTACCTACACATTTTTTAAACTATCGAAGCAGTACAAAAATTCAAAAGATCACTATAGGGACCACTTAAGATTTTGGAGCTCCAAAACGAGGCCTTAAACTCCTATAGGGAGCGCTATTTTGTCGCCTGACCCCTCTAGGGACCACTCTAGCGTTTCATCAGTTCGAAACTTACCTTTTCTCGAGTTTTTCGACAATAATCGGATATGGCGCGTCTGTTTGAGTGGCGGAGCTGAAAAATTGAAATATATTTTCGAATAATAAACTTTCCAAAATGCAATTTACACTTTCTCGCGTTTTTCATCCGTTTGAGTTGCCATTTCTTGGTTCGGCTCAGCACTAAAAACAGAAATTTAATAGTTCCTGATTTTCTGATAAATAAATTTAACTCTGCCGCCTGGATTTTTTTTTGAAATAGTCAATTCATTCTATGCTGTACCAAATTGAGAGCCAAATCTTGATAAAAATTGCAAACTTCTCAAATTTTCAATACAAAAAAGACCTAAAATTTGACGAAAACCCTTAAAACAACCTATTTTGACAGAAGTATTTCTCGAAAAATAGTGAATTATCCAAGTTGAGACTTGCAGAACTTTTTTTTGTACATCAATGAATGATCTGGCCAAGTTTCAGAGTCGATTTTTGTCAAATTTCAATTTTTCTCATTTTTTTTCGAGGAAAAAAACTTTTTAAAAAATCGTAGAATGGCTCATTTTGAGACCCTTTTTTTCTAAAAATAGGGAATTTCGGAGTTTCAGATTTTCAGGACTTTCATCTCTCACATCGAGGAGAAAATTGGCCGAAAATAAATTTTTTTTTTCCAAGAAAAAGCACCCAAATTTCGAAGAAAAGGGTTAAAATTGACCATTTCAAGACCCTATTTCTGGAAAAACGGGAATTTCGCAGGTTTAGACCTTCAGGGCTTTCACCTGGTACATCAAGGAGTATTCTGACCAAGTTTCACAAAAATCCAGACCCAAAAGCCCTTCTTTTAGGGACAATTTCAAACCCGTACACCGTTTGAGATCCTTCTTCCACTACTGCAACTGGTTTTCTCGTTTGGGTGGCTGTTTCTTGGGTCGAAATGACTTTGTTCAGTTTCAATTGATCACTGAAAACAAGAAAATAAAATTTTTTAACTTTCAACGTGCCAGAGTGGTCCCTAGAGTGGTCTTTAGAGGGGCAACCTTGAGGGCTGTTCTAGGTTACCTTCTATGAAACACCTAACGTCACCTATAGTGGCACTGAAGCTTGCAGAAGTGGCCACTCTAGGGCTTTTAGATAGTAGCCACTAAAAAGGGGCCTCTAGTGAGTCCTGTACGTCTTTTTAGCTTTCAAGTCAGAAAAAAAAAGATCAAAAAACTCTATAGGTATTACTTGAACTTAAAAGGCTCATAAATCAGTCCCTAAGCTTCTTCTGGAACCACCTAATTTTACCCCTAAAGGGAGAACCATTTTTCTTATAGGGACTACTTTTCGCCCAACCCATCCAGGGACCACTCTGGCGTTACTAAATATGGAATATCTCAACTTTTCGAAAAAAAACTTGCGCCCGACCTAAAACGGCTTGGAAAGTGTTGAAAACTCTTTGAGCCATTCCAAATGCGGCCAACAATGAAAAAAAAACCCTTCAAACCTCAAAATCATCTCTGTAACCCTCTGCAGGACCTCAGGATCGACTGTTTCTTCTACGCTGAAAAAATTAAATTTCATTTTCATCTTTGAACTATCTAACGTGTCTGGGCTCTCTTCTCTCTCATCGGATTCGTCATAGACACAAGAGAGCGCAGAGAAAACAGACTTTTTTGGCGGGAAAAACAAATTCAAACCCATTATGTTTTCTGATAGTCTGTCTATAATACTTTTAAGATTGTTTATTGCTTCTTGACTCCACTGAAAAAGTAATTTCATATAAATCGCTTTATTAATGAAAAAATAACTTATTCACCACTTTTTAATCTAAAAATTGGTCCTGACACGTTAAAGAAGAAATAGCGCTTAATTCGCGGAGAGCGCAGGTAGGCCACGCCCCTTTACGTCCCAAGATGGCCCAGAATCGACTATATAAAAGCTCGAGTATGAATTTCTTTTTTTCCTGCCAAAAAAACCGGAAAAAAATTCAAGTTTTCTGAAATTTACATCGTTTCCAAGAGGAGAGCCGTCTTCTTCTTCGATTTCCGGTACTCTTTCAACATTTCCAACGTACTTACCTCCCTAGAAAATTCGTTTTTTTTTAATAATCATTTAAAAAAAGTCACATCGCTTCAAAAAATGCTGATCGTCTATCCATTTCGACAATGCGTTCATCGATTTTCGTCTCTTTTTTCATGTCTTCCAACCTGAAATTTACGTTTCTCATCAATTTTTGACTTATTGGGAAAATTTTTAGTGGCCACTATAGAGATTCTCTGCTTAGTGGCCACTTAAGTAGTTTTTCATCCAGTATTTTTTCCAGTAACTCTGATGAATCGAAAAAAAAACAGATTGGACCAGTTATGTTGATTCTTTGACCTCTACAGTGGCCACTAATTTTTAACCCCTTAAGTGCTCACTAATTTGACTACTGAAGTGGCCACTAAAACGTCAAATCCCTTTAGTGGCCACTAAAAATTTTCACAGTAGGGACGTCAGAGTGGTTCCTGTAGGGGTTAGAAGCAAAACGGCCTACATAGGGGCTGAAAAAGGGCTCGCTATAGGGGATCAAGTTTGACCTTAAAGCCCTTTTAAAATCTCAAGTGGTCCCTAAAGTGATTTTTCTATTTTTTTTTGTTATGATTATGAAATTAGAAAGACGTATTCGATAAAAGTTGATCATTTTGCCCCTAGAGTGGTCCCCAAAATAACAAAACCCTATAGAGGCCCCTCTGAAATTCTTTAGGACTTTTTTTAAACAAAACTTGATCGACTAATCCTTTTTTCATTCGAAAAAGCTAATTTATTGAACTTTTCGCATGAGTCCCTCACCATAATTGACTGGAATTTCCCCTAAAGGGGCCTCTTAAAAAAGCCACAAAAAAGTTAAAGTGCACCCTAGAGGGGACCCTTAAGATTGTCCTTATAAGGACTCCTTCTGATTTCTTTCTATTCAAATTTCAATGACGTCATTTAAAAACGCTCTATGAATGGCTCGCTCTCTGATTGGTTAATCGCGCCATAAGGGGCGGAGCTTGGCGTTCAAAATCTCAATAAATTCCTACCATTTTTCCTTTGCTTTCGTTTCTTCGGCGAGCCTTTGATAAAAGCATTTTCTCTCCATGACCCTTTCGGAGCTGAAAATTTGAGTATTCTCCGTTAAAATTCCCGTTTCCTTACCTCGGAATGTTCTCAGACGCCATCGACAGGACTTCGGGATCTTCTACTCTAAAATTAATCTTATAGAAACAACCGAAATAGTTGGGGAGTGTTCTCTATAGGGATTGTAACATCTCTACGCTCTGCCTATGAATTGCCCTGAAGCTTTGGTCTTTGCCCTATAGAGGTCACTGAAATTTTGACCTTTAGAGGGGCCTTAAAAATGCCCCTACAGTGGTTCTTGAAACAACAAAACCCTTTAGAGATTCCTACCTTTTCCCTATAGGGACCCCTAAAGCGTTTTGTTTTTTTATGGATTCAGAAAGCACTATAGTCTGTTCAGATTCTTAATGTCAAGTGCAATGACGTCATTCAAAAACACTCTGTGGATGGCTCGCTCTCTAATTGGTTTATCGCATCATTAGGGGCGGAGCTCCCCTTAAACAACAGAACCCTATAGGGACACCTCTATAATCCCTCGAAAAAAATAAATGAAAAAAGTGGCTAGTATGAGCAAGCTCGTAAAATTTTTAAAATTCATTTTTTATAGACGATTCACGGCCAGCTTGGGAAGCGAAAAAGCGTGGCCTGTCTGCACTCTCCACCAACCAGGCAATGTCTCGTCTCTTTTCGTGGCAGGACCCTTTTCTCGATGGCTCAAGCCAGCCGTGAATCAGCTATAGTCTGTTCAGATTTTGAATGTCAAATCGTCGCTCAAGTCCCGCCCATAATGGTACGATAAACCAATCAGAGAGCCAGCCATCCACAGAGCATTTTCGAATGACGTCATTGCACTTGACATTAAAAATCTGAACAGACTATATAGGTTCTTTTTTTTCCGAAATGTGCTCTAGCTGTAAATTATCGTTATTCTCACTGATTTTATCGGAAAAAATTGGAAAATCGACTGAAATTTGGCCTAAAATTCAGCCAAAACAAGACAAGAAAACCCTCTAGGGGCCACTCTGGAGTTCCTCGATATATTTTCCGGCCAATTTTCACTTTTTTTTATGGAATATTGACCTGCATCGACGTCAAATTAAGTCTTTTTAGTGATCATTAAAGACGAAATGCTCCCCTAGAGTGACCACTTCTATTTTCTATTGGGACAAGCGGTCTCGAAACGGAAAAAAAGCCGTGTTTTTCACATTTTTTCTAGAAAAAAAAGGACAATCAGACCAAAATTCATGAATATTCAGAGTTAGAAGCACTTCAAAACTACGCTCAGCATTTCCAGAATTTTCAGCAAAATCTACGATTTTCGCCGTTTCCTTTGAAACCCACATCGATCTCATCGCTGCTATCAACTCTTGCGTTCCCGTGGCAAAGTCTTCGCTTGACATTTTCTCATCAAGAGCGTCTTGAGCACTGAAAAAAGGGTAATTTTCCTCTCTCTTCGCAACGCCAGAGTGGTCCCTAGAGGAGTATCGAAGGGTTCCCTCCAGGGACCATTTTCTTTTTCTATAGGGGACACTTAGGACTTCAAAAGTGGCCACACTAGGGGAAGCATGCCTCGAGGGATCACTAGCATGTTCTACTGGAGTAGCCACTAACTAGATCCCCTACAGCGGTCACTTTTGGAAGCTTTAATACCTCTGTAGAAGGAGGTAAGGTGGGTTCGAGACGGAAACCTTCAAGAGCTGCTATAGCTTATTCACGGCTAGCTTGGGACGCAAAAAGGCGTGGCCTGTCTGCGCTCTCCACTAACCAGGCACTGTCTCTCTTTTAATCGTGGTAGGACCCCTTCAAAGGGGAGTGGCCTGTTTGGGCATCGTGTCAGGACCCTTTTTTCATGTCTTAAGACAGCCGTGAATCAGCTTTAAATTGCCTCTCTAGGGAACTCTCTGGGGTTTATTTAATTCAGAAATACTTGCTGAGGGATAACTTTCTGACTCAAGTGAAAAAAAAATGAATTATTTCTAAGTTAACTTTGAATGCATTCTTTTTCATTAAATTTATTCGATTTTCAAACTTACATCGTTCCAAAAACTGCGATCGGTTTTATAGAACCATGATCCGGATAATTTTCTCCTTCGGAGAAGTTTTCGATACTGAAAAGAATGAAATTATATCATTTTTCCAAAGATCCACCTTGAAATCATCTCGGAACTGAGCGTAAAATTCTCCTCGCTGAAATTGAAAAATTCCCTTTTTTAATCATCTGGAGAAATTTCTAGTGGCCACTTAAGGTTTTTGACGTTTAAGGGCCCCCTATTGTGGTCGGAATAGTGGCCACTCAAGTGACTAAAAATCAGTGGCCTTTTGACAAGTCTAAATGGTCCCTAGACCGCTAAAATCACTATAGTGGCCACTAAGACGCAAAATAATGGATCCTATAAAGATGGTTTAGTGGCCACTTTAGTGACTTTTCCAAGTAGCCCTTGAGTGACCTCTTAAGCAGCCACTAGGCTTTTTCCCGGATATTTGAAAAAATATACATGTTTTCCAATTCTGATGCAGATTCTCTCCTATCAGGCTCCTTATTGAACTGTACAAGATCGATATTATCATCTCCAGAGCTGAAAAATTAAAAATATTTCTTTTTTTCAATCAAAATGAATCGGATGATTACGATTTTTTTCAGACGCCTCGAAAGCTCGGTACCTTCCGGCAACGACGCTTGCAACGCACTAAAAAAATCAATTTTTTTCTAAATCGTTTCTCTCATAAAAACAAAAATAGTTTGTTCAAAAAGCCCTTACTGAGATGCTAATAAACTCAAAAAAACAAAAATAAAAAAATAACAAAAAAAAGATCTTCCTCTCGAGACCATTGTGGAATCCTTTAAAAAATTTTTTTCCAAAGAATTTTTTTGAATTTATTTTTTTCATAAATAAAAAAATTTTTTTAAAACGAGCTATTTGAGAAGTTAAGTGGAGAGGTCTCTAGGCAAAGGTACCGTAAGAAAACACTAAAAACAGCTCTCGTCTTGAGGCATTTATGAAATTAACCGATGCTCCTTTAAACATTTCGCACATAATAATCATTTAAAGGAGAAAAAAAGGTTTCTAAGCAAAGATAAACCCAAAAAACTTTAAAAAAAGAGGTTCTCGCCTCGATACCTTTTTGAAAAGAATCCCATGCTCCTTTAAAATATTACTGACAAGAAATTTTGAACAGGTTAGGGATAATGCTGGGTTTTTAAACAAGAAAATCCGTTATCTAGAGAGAATTACGCAAAAAAAGAAAAAAAGGTTCTTTGCCTCGAGACATTTATGCAAAAATCCCAATGCTCCTTTAAAATATTCCCAACAAGAATTTTTGAACAGGTTATGGATTTTTTGAGGAAAAGGTCTCTAGGCGAAAAAACAGCCCAAAAAAATATTCACAAAAAAACGGCGTTTCTTGAATTTGAACTTTGAAAAAAATTCAACAAAAAAACTATAGAAAAAAATGATCAATTTTTTTCATGAAAGGCGAGGTAGGCAGATTCGAAAAAAACACTTCAAAAAAACGTGGCTCGCGTTTGAATTCAAGTTTGCCGCCAGATAGCCGCGTCGCACACGCAACGCGTCTACTCGGGAAGAATTAGCTATAACAAACTCTTCAAGATCGCTCGAAAACGTCCAATTCTCCTTATTTTCCTGGTCCGATCGCGCTTGTTCAACACTAAAAAAAATAGCTTCAACTAGTTTTTTTTCTTTTTTTCTCACCTGGCAACGCAACTTTCTGATTCCAATTCAAGGCTTTTTTGAAGATCGTCCACCGTATTGTCAACGCTGAAGAAACGAAATCCGATCAAAATCAATATTTCATAAAAATTTGTGGATTTGAATAAAAAAACGTTTTTAGACTTTTTCTTGAGAATTAGTACTGACCTTTAACATGAAAAAAGGAAAAAAATGAAAAATTTATACAGGTTCTCTTCCGAAAAAAAGGCAACTTTTGAACATTTACTGGTTTTTGTCTTTGAGGCATCGAAATTTAAATAAAAGCCCAATTTTTCGCATTTTGGTTGGTTTATAACGACTAAAAGAAATCAAAATTCGTTTTTACTTCACAAATTTCAAGTTTTAAGCTTAATAACTTGTCTAAAATCCAACATAAATCGAAAAAAAAAATCCTTACTTTGGAATCCAGACATTTCGAAATACTGGAATTTCGGCAAATTCTCAAAAAAAAAAATGAATTTCAACCTGTTTCGTGGCTTACTTCATTCACACTGTACCTTGCTTCAAAAAGAAAAGCTTGAAATTTATTTTCTATATCCTCAATTTACAGGCAAACTTGAATTCAAACACAGAATCAAAAGTATTCACATCGTTTTCGGGTCTTCGACGGTAGATTTCCCGGTTTTCGGTGGCTCAGCCATTTTGTTAACCTGGAAATGAATCGTTTTTCCGTAAAATGAATCAAAAATGAACCTTTCTGAAGAATCGGCCATCGGACCGGATTTGGAATTTGAATCGAGGCTTGATCGGCTCGATATTGGCAAAGTGGGTCAAATGCGCGTTGGGACCTTCCATCAACTAAAAAGAAACTTTAACTTTATTCGAAGCATCTTTTTTTTTTAATGGCGTCGAAGTGTTCCCAAACGGGCGGCAGCTGTGTTCAGTAGGCGTCGCTTATTGCAACAGCGGCACGGTTAAATGCAATAGGGGCGTGGGGATGAGAGTCAAGTTTTGTAGTTTTAGTAGTTGGGAAAAGACTGCTAAATGATGTTTTTTGTAGGTTTTCGCAAATTTTGGAAGGGTTTTGATATTTATTGATAGTCAAAAAGTTCATTTCAATGAAAAAAGAGACGAAATATCTCCGAAAATGTCGCTTTCGAGGGAAATTCGTCAAATCAAATTTCGAAGGGGGAATTGAGAGAAATCTCAAAACCCTTCTCTTAAGTAAGTCTGTTCGCGACTTTGAAAACTAATTAAATGTTCGGGAAAGTTATTACGATGAACATCATTTTTATATGGAAACTTTGTGATGTTGGCACGCGCCGCACCGCGTCGCGTTGGAAGGAACTCGCGTCGCCATTTATTCACGACCTTTTTTTTTTTTGCCTGCCCTCGCCCGTTTAGGAACACTGTGCCTGCGTTGAACGCACAAGTCAAAATTTCCTTACCGTATTCTGACAAAACTGGTCCCGTTTCTGATTATCGTGAAAATATCCGGCGACATCGAAAAACTCTTTCAATGGACGTATCGCTTGGGGTAAATTCGTCGCGATTTCTCTGAAAATGGTAAATTGGAAGTTTTTTTTCAAATTAAAAGTCGAACTTTTGAAAATTCTGTTAGGTTTATATGAGTAGAATTTTTTTCACAGGATTTTTTTCACAAAAATCTTTCCTCTAGAAATTTTAAAAAAACGAGTGTTTTTTTCCATTAAGTCAAATTTCGGAATATTCTGTCAGCATAATAGGGAATTTTTTTAACGAAAAATGTTAGCTTTTTAAAAAGAAAAAAATTATTAAATTTTATTGTTCGAAACCTATGTGTGAGTTTATTTTAAGCACACAAGCCTTTCTTGCCTCAAAATAACGCTAACACGGTTTTTCGTCTCAAGACCCCTGCTAAAATTCGGCTATGCGCCTTTAAAATCAAAAAATATATTACCTCAAAAACCAGAAAAAAAAACTTTAAGCGTATTCTATAAAAATAACGCGAAAAAAACATTAACATGCAAAAAACCAAGATAAAAACTATTTTTCGCCTCAAGGCCCTCGTAAATTTCAGCTATGCGTCTTTAAACTGCCAAAAAAAAATTGATATTTTCCTAAAATCCGAGGAAATTGAGCATAATCTGCAAGAAACGACACAAAATTCGAAAAAACAAAAACAGAAAATAAACTCCAAAAAAGGCTCGATTCTCGCCGCGAACTCGTCAATCTCCTTCAATATTCTGGCCTCATCTGTCGGTTTTTTGAAAAAATCTTCGGTCAAGGGGATTGCGGGTGTTGTTGGAACTTCTCCAGTCTGAAAGAAACATGTTGCAACTTTATCGAACACAAGAATATCAACCAATTTGGGGAAATTGTCGAATTCGATTTGTTCGGCCAGCGCCTCTGCGTACGCCTCGTCGCTCAGGACGTCTCCAAGTCTCAAAAAATCAATTTATTTCGAAAAAACTAGAAAAATTCACTCGGAATTCGTGAAAAATCCCAAACTTCCGAGGACTTTCTGATTGTGAAGGTCGCTTCGATAGGAATCGCCGGTGGAGATCTGAAATTGACGTTTTTTGAAAAAAAAAAATCAATTGATTTTAGGTTTACCGAATTGTCCATCTGATTGGAAAAGACTTGTTCGCCTTCTTGAAGCTTCTCTGAATAATCTCCGGCGTCCAGGTAAAAGCACCTAGAAATAAGGTTTCTCTTTAAGTTCATTTTTTTAAAGAAGAAAAAACGAACTCTGATTGAGGGACATTTGTATCGAAAGATCCTCTATTGAAGGTCGACATCTTTTCAGAGTCCTACAAATTTAAAAAAAATCAATCGGGAATAAACGAATAACTGAACGAACCGTTTTCAATGGCTCATGGGAACCTTCGCCTTTCAAAAGCGGCTTACTATCAGGAAAATCAGGTCGTGAGCTGAAAATAGAAATTGAAAATAATACAACAAAATACTTTTTTTAAAAATATTCCGCAAAATAGTTGGAAAAAAAAATGATTTATTCTTTTTTTGGAAGAAAAGATAAAGAGAAACCCCGTTCTGCGCCGGCTTTCTTCCAAAAAACCGTATACCAAATTTGACCAACTTCGCTTCAAGACCTCTGTTTTTTTTTTGCAGTTTTGTAGAGCGGAAGCGCGAAAAGCTGTTTTTACGGTAAATGTTTTTCTTCTCTTCTTTTAAAATGTAACTGTCTCGCGCGGAACTTTGAAAAAATTGAAAAATGAGTTACAAACACTTTCGCCTTTGAAAGAACATTACACAAAATCTTCTGTTTGACCCCTCGGTTAAAAAAAAACTGCACGCGCGGTTCAAATTCACAAAAACCCATATAGCCTATTCCGCGCCAGCTTGTCACGTTTTTCTTTCCGCCAAAAAGACCGTACACCAAATTAGATCAAATTTCTGCTTTTATAACGGCAAGAAACAAAGGTCTTGAAGCGAAGTTGGTTAAATTTGACCTGGTCCTTCTGGCGGAAAGAAAAACGTGACAAGCTGGCGCGGAATGGCCTACATGACATTTACTCCAAAATCGCTCCGAGTGACGTAGCGGTGGAGATCAAAAACAAAAAACTTTCGAGAAGATTTTAAAAAGAATGACAATGAAAAAGCACACGCGCCCTGTTGGAACGACGAGAGATCACATAAAACGTGGAGGTATCTAGGCGCCAGACACATTTTTTTTACTTTTTTAAATTGATTTTTTTTGCGAATACAAAGCTCTGTTCCATTCAGGGAAAAAATTCTCAACAAGTAAAAAATGAATAGATTTCTTGCAGGAGATCACATTTCAATTCTTCGACTTTTTCTTTTAATAAAATATCATTCTTTATAATATTCTTTTTTCTATATAGAAATAAGAAAAATGAGATTCCACACATTTCGGAGTGTTTCGAAGCGGATTCTTCAGCATCTTTTTCCGGATTCACATGAACATCGACGACTTGACCCGGCAAACCGCCATGGGGCAGCTAAAAAAAGTTCTATTTTATCTGGTTTTTTTAATCAACTCGCAGTTTTTTTAATGTTTTCTGAGCAATCAGGAGGACAAATATCGGACATCTGGTTATTTTTAAAGACTTTTCGTGAAATTTTTTTCATTTTTATAAGACTGGGTTGATTTTTAACTGAATGGGATTCACGTGAAATTCGAAGTTTTCTCTGACTCTCTGAAATTTAGTTATCTTTTCCACTCTTTTCTGGCTAATTTGAATATAGCGGAAGAATTTCTAACATGAAGCATATTTATATCGAATCAAAAATATCAGATTTTCGATTTTAACGGTTTTTTTGAAGAATTATGGACCTAAATTCACATTGAAATCTTTGTTCTACACAATCTTTTTTTATTATTTCTGAAGTTTATTTTAAACTTACCGGGTCCGCCTTTGTCTCATTCACAGGATCAAGATCTGTATCAAAAAGCTTAATTTTCCCCTCAAAGGATTAAAAAACCGTTTGAAGACTCCTGTCTCGACTTTTTCGGATGCCTTTTCTTCTTGGGCTTCTTTTGGCCGAGTTTTCTCGTCTCTGGATCAACTTCTTTCGAGAGAATTTGCTGGAAAGCTTCTTTTTCTCAGGAAAAAAAGAAATTTAACTTTTCCATCACTCTCCTCCTTTTCCATGATAAAACACCATTGAATATATCGATCGCAAAACTCGGATGGACATTTCCAATCCTAAAATGGACTAGAAATATGATTTTTCAAGGTTTTTCTTGGAGGAAATATGAAAAAAACAGGCTTCTTCTGCGTTTAAATCTTCCAATTTCTGGATTCCAAGAGATTTCACGAAACATTTTTTTCGTGGAGAATCAATTCACACGGAGGCTTTCCAAAGCAAACGGCCTGAAAAAGTCGCTTTTTATTTTTTTCGAAAAAAAGAATAAAACCTTCACAAAAACCGGCTTTCGAAATATTTTCTTTCAAACAAGAAGCACATTTTGTGGGATTCTCTTTTTCTGAAAAAAATGAGAAAAAAATCGAATTTCAGCTTGATAAATGCACTTTTTCTTGCACAGATTCTGTTGGTTTTGACGGAAGCCTGAATATTTTTTTATTTTTTTATTTTTTTTGATTGAAAAAAACTTACGAATATGAATAACCAAGCTTATCCAGATTTTCCTTGTATCGCTTTGGATCCTTGATAACTGAAAAATTATTCGATATTTTCCCACAAGAAATTTAGCAACGTCGGAGGGGTCGCTATAGGGGTTAACGGAGAGAAAAGTCTCTATAAAGAAAAAATTGGTCCGTCTAGGGTAAAATTTAGGTGGCCCCTATAGGGAACACTCTGGTTTTCCTGAAATGTCAAACTTTTATTGAATTGGGGTTCTTTGAAAGCTCATAATTTTTTTTTCTACAAATTTACTAAAAAAAAAGTGCGCCCGACTTTGAAGCGACTTTCCGAGAAAACTTGGGAGGATAGGTAAAATTTCTAAAAGTAAAAAATCTACAAAAACGTTAATTAGAACTTGCTCAACTACATTTCAAAAAAAAAAAATTCGATAAGAGTAGTTTTCAATTTCTTCCGAGTAACTAAAAAATTTTTTTCCACTTTTTCTCTGACCATTTTTTTTGACTTGAGCACTACCCAGCCCAAAATTTTGGACCAGATTCACAAGTTGAACCTTTAAAATTTTCGAGTAACTTCAAGTAAACTTCAAATTTCCACTACAAGCCTTCTTTTCCTCATTGAAACTTCAATTTTTACTTGTCAATTCTCCCAATTTCAAACTGACTCGTTGGATCTTCTAACAGTTCGCTCAGGGAAAGCATAACATCAGACGGAAGGACGTATTTGTGATGAAAAGTCGGCGGAAAATCGTCGGCCAGTTTTCTGAGCTTCTCCAAGCTCCAGCCGTAGATGTTGGCCATGTGTTTCAGGGCGAACTCTCTTGAGCTCTGGATATTTCGGCAGAATTCAAAGTCTTGTTTCTGGAATAATTTCCGAGGATTTCATGAGGCAAAGACGGTAAATATTATTTTTCTCAGACCTACGAACCCTCCCGGAACGCATCCCTTCGATGCGCAAAGCCTTTCCCCGTCATGCGCCTTTAATTAGTCTGAAACTCCCGTTTTAAAGGGACATACTCAGAGACAGGCAAAGCGCATCAAAGGGTACCCTTGAGTATAGCGGAAGGGTTTCGTGATCCGAGCTACAAAACCCTTGTGGGAGGTTCCCTTCGATGCGCTCGGCCTGATTTTGCGTATGCGCCTTTAATTAACCTACAGTTCCAGTTTTAAAGTTTTAAACATGCACAGAGACGATCCGCGCGCATTGAAGGGAAGTTTAAAGGATGTTAAGCTTAAAACTCTCTTTTATTAAAGGCGCATACACAAAAACAGACCGGGGAAGGGTACTGTAGCTCGGAAGGAAACAAAAATCGTTACAAGCTGGCGCGGAATGGGCTATACCGATTTACGGCTAGCTTGGGACGCTAAAGGGTGTGGCCTGTCTGCGCTCTCCACTAACAAGGCACTATTTCTTTTCATATCGTGTCAGGACCCTTTTTTCAATGGCTAGATCCAGCCGTGAATCGGCTATAAAAGGACAGAAAACAAGAGAGAAGCGAACAGTTTCGACTTCGATCGTGACGTAGAAGAGCATATTCCCGGCGAAGGCAAGGGGAACAGTCGGTCCGGCGTTATCAATGATGCAGTAGGCGATGTCTCGGACGAGTAACTGCGGGATCTCCGAGACTTTTGGCGTCAGACTGACGGCGAAAAGCTTCGAATCGACGGCCAATTCGCCATTTTTTCTGCGTTGCACTGGGAAATCGAGCGACTTGAAGATGGAAATGTACAGCTCAATCTGAATTTTTTTTCTGTTTAGAAAAATTCAAAAAGGTGAAGTTCGGAAATTTTTTCAAACATGGCTTGTAGCATAGTTGCCTGAGTGAAAATTCAAAGCAAATCGATATTTTAAAACACCAATCTGTTGAGATTTTTAATTTCAAGCGGCCCCCCCGTAGTTACAATATCTTTACGCGTCGAAATTTTGTGACGATGGTCCTTTAATAGCGCTACTTTTTTTGATCTTACTCTATCGAAAGACTTAAAAAAATTCAACGCTATTAAAGGATCATAGTCAGTTGTGATAAAACATGAATATACTGTAGCCAAAGAATTTTTTGACTTTTGGCTAAAAGATAAAAAAAATTAGCGCTATTAAAGGAGCATTGTCACGCGCATGAAACATCGACGGGGAGGGTACTAAAGGCACAGAAATTTTGATTCTTCCCCGATCTTTTGAGTGAAAAAAATTTTTTTTTTTCAATTCGGCTATTAAAGGATCATCGTCAGGCGCGATAAAAAAAATTCGACGCGAAAAATACTGTAGCCACAGAAGGCACAGTTAGCCGCTTGACATTCATAATTCGAGCAGACTTTCGGACCGGAATGATTGGAAAAATTCGCGAAATTCCAAAACTGGCCCTTCCAACTTTTCTTTTTGAAACTGACATCTTTATACGGATCCTTGTATTTTTCGAGAAGTTCATCGAACGAAATCTCGATTCCATCCACCCTTCCCACAAGCGTCTTCGTCGTCCGATTGTACTCCAAAAATTGGCCTCTAGGACCAACCTCAAGTTTTAAAAGGTTTTATTCATTTTTCGAATCCAAACAAGCTAACAGGGATGATCGGATCCCTCGGAATCCGCTCAGCATTCGCTCGCCCAGCAGTTCTGTGCCACCTCCATTCAAGCAAATGAACTTGCACAGCCATATATTTCAGCTCTTCGAAACAAAACCAAGCTGGAAAAAGCTCACAGATCAGAATTTTAAAAAATTAATTTCGTTCAGAAGGTTTTTGAAAGATCATAAAGGTCGCGGGGTGAATGTTTTAAATCTTTTTCAGACTTCTGCGTCTTTAAAACACCTAAGCAAGCGCCCTGTTCAAAGCTGTTTCGAAATTGCGCGTTATTCTTATGAAATATTTCGCAAAAAGGGAAAAAATTAGAATTTCGAGAGCCTTTATCATGGGTCCCAAAACGATAATTCGCGATTTGAAAACTTTTACGCGCGATCTTCCGTTGGAAAAAAAAAAATGCTTGATTCATTCAAAAATGGCAATTTCGCGTGTAAAAGTCGCTATCTCGTTGTAGGACACGATTTTTCTCACCAAAATTCCAATTTTGCATATAGTCTGTTCAAATTTTTAATGTCAAGTGCAATGACGTCATTGAAAATCACTCTGTGGATGGCTCGCTCTCTGATTGACTTATCGCACCATTAGGGGCGGAGCTTGAGCGACGACTTGACATTCAAAATCTGAACAGACTATATTTCGCAGAATGATTTTGAACGGATTTTGAAAATACTGCGAACACAGCAAAGAATTTACAAACAGAAAATGATCTCCCACTGTGAAAAAGTGGAGTTTTCCCTCGGTAATTATTGAAAATAAGTTGAGCAGTTGCTTCGCTAACTCTTACAGTCGGGTCAAGTTCTTCAGCGGCTTCCCACTTGACCTATAATCAATAAAGTGTGAAAATTTTACATAATTTGATATCAAATTGATCAATTTTTATTTCTGGAGAAAATTTCACCTGAGCGTGGCCCGCACAAACGGCCATGACCGAAGTCACTGTATATGGAGTCCAGAAGAGCTCGATATTATCGAGGAATTTCAGGTCAGCTGGCGGCCAAAGGAACATCTATAAAATTCTAAAAATGTATGGTAGTTTATTCAGCGCTGACTGAAGCAAATTTTCAATTACTTTCTTCAAAAAAGGCTTTTTCGTATAAATATAAGATTTAAAAAAAATTCCTTTACAAGTTTTAATTCAATTGGTTATTTAAGAAAATCCTTTATGCAGTAATTCAGCTCCAATTTTTTCCAACGAGAATTTCTATTTCGCGTATTTCGCAAAATAATTTTACACGGATTCGTCGAACAGAACACGAGAATTTCACGGTGTTTTTTTTATTACGCTAGGTCAAGACTTTTCGTAAATAATGATGCTTAGAGTGTAAGCACACCGAGACGCCCTATCGCATACTCAAAATACTTTTTTTCAATTTTAGAATTTGCGATTTCAGGATAATAGCTCCTGAAATGTTCGAAATTTGTCATTTTGAAGAATATGATGTGAAAAAACATTCACTTACGTTAAAAAAACATTTAGGAACGATTTCGAAAAAGGGAAAAACTCTAAATTACTGATTACAAAAATAAAAAAACAAAAAAATATTATGAAAAATGAATCAGCTCCCATTGAATAAGCATTTATAAATACGAAAAAAATATTGAAATGAGGAAAAATTCGAGGAGCAAATGAAAAAAACATTTTATATACCTCGAAAACCTAGTTTCAGAAAAAAACATATAATGGATAGAAAGCAGAAATTTTAGAAAGAAAAACCTCGTATGGCGAAATTTTTTTGTTTAAATCTGAAAAAAACCATCAAAAAAACTAGAAAAAAATATATAATTTAGATGATGCATATATCAAAATCATTAAACTGCATCAGCAAATTCAATTTGGCTCTAATTTACGCGAAACCGGTTTTTAAACTACGTCAAAGGAACTAGATAATAACTTTTTATTATTAACTGATTAAATTAAAAAAACTATAGTTTCCGAAATAGAGCGATTATTTTTCATGTCGCGAAACAGATTTCAAAAATTTTTGAAAAAAATTAGGACTTTTTAGAAAAAAATCTTCAGCTCTTTTGAGAAAAAAAGTTAAAGATCTGAAACCGGTTTAGAAAAAAATGCGCAATTTAAAGCTCCACAAGATGTACCCATAGAGAGGCGGATCACATAAATGCAAGAAATAGAAAAAAGTAAAAAACCAATGAAAAAAGTGAAGAAATTCAATTTTTGCATCAGAAACGATGAGAAGGGCGCAATAATGCGCCACGGATAATATGCCGCTGGGACCCAAAATTTCGCATTTTTTTTTCATTGCGCGGAACACCGTGATTTCGAAATCCCTGAAATTACTTTGAACACTCCCGCGCAATCGGAAAAAAATACGTTATCCTAATCTCACGGTGTTTGCGCCGGATAAAACTACAGTAACATTTTTGTTCGGGATCTTTTCTACGAATTAATTTTGGCTTTCCGAAATCTTCGTTTCCTTTCCAATTCACTGTTCACCGATCATATCTATATTTTTCTGAAATCACTTTCAATTCAAGAAAAAAAAAATTGAAAAAAGTTTACAAATTTGTCAATAATAAAAAATAAATAAGTACTTTTCGTCGGTAGCGATTTCGATGTACCGTAAACGTGCGACGAAACCTTTATTCGGATCAAAATAAAGATGTTATACAAACGATAAGTGCAAAATAGAGTTGGATGGATGATTAATAAGATTAAAAGATCAAACTGATAAGAAATGAAAATGTCGGCTCGCGCAGAAAGTTTATAATTGATTCACGGTTGGCTTGAGCCCTTGAAAAAAGGGTCCTGTCACGATGAAAAGAGAGAGTGCTTGGCTGATGGAGAGCGCAGACAGGCCACGCCCATTCGAGTTTTAAACCAGCTGTGAATCGCTCAATCATGGAAACCTTGAAACTTTCAAAAGTTTGAAAAAAGAAAAAACCAAAAGATTAATCTTCAAATACTTTTTTAAAGGCATAGGGGCAGTAAAAAACGGTGTTTCAGTTCAAAGCAGTACTTTGTAGAGCTTTTCATTGCGAATCGAACGGTGAACTTGGAAACGTACAGAAATTCCTAGTTTTGGAGAAAAAATAATTCAAAGCCGGAGAGAGGAATGCTTGAGTTCCCGCGAAAAGGGCGCTTTGCAGTAAAGTTGCTCTATCGACAACAGGCTTCGCCAACTTCCGGATTTTCGCTTTTTTCTACGTTTCTTTCAATTTTTAATTTTTTCTGTTGTCACCAAAGTTCTTTTCGTCACAAAAACTTTCTATTCATGTATAATTTGCAAACTTTGATCGCAAAAAAGCTTTTCTGGTGAAAAATGATGATTTTTCACAGGTTTCGATTGGGATAGCGATTATTTGTGTTTTCTTTATTATCAATGTGTTTTTTCTGTTTCCTAATCGATTTTTCAGAAAAGAAACCCTTAATTTGAAGCAGATAGCCGGTTATTTCTCACAAAATGCAAGTCTAATGAGACGTCCGCAACATCGCGTGCACCGCTACTGTAAACATTTGTCTGTATACCGATCCAAAGCATTTTTCAAAATTAAAGGCGGGAAAGTAAAATCGCGTTTTTCTTCTAAAGTTGTCACATCTGTAATTTTTTTGAGTACACCATTCGATTCGCAAAGAAAAACTGTATAAGATACTGCTTTCACCTGAAACCCCATTTTTTACTGCCCCTATGCCTTTAAGATTTCCATGAGCCCAATATATTCACAAGAACAAAATATATTCAAAAACTACACAAAAAAATAAATATATTAGACAAGTTATTCCGGTTAATTTCAATCGAAATATAATGCATAATAACAACATTCAAACTTTTTTTCGAAGAGATCAATAATGAGTAGAATATTCAAAAGCAAAAACTGTTGTAACCGCCTCGTTGAACTCGAGATCCAAGCCAAGTCCTGAAGAAACGAATTTATATACTTTCCCACAGGGAGGTAAATCCACTTTGGGTTGGGAATTTTCTGAAAATTGGCTAGGATTCTTCTTGATGTACCAGAACAAGATTCTCAAAGTCTCAACCTTCAAAATTACCTAGTTCTCAAGAAAGGACCCCTCAAAGTCAAAGAAAACTAAAAATTCGTAAAAATATGCCATTTTGAGGCCTTTTTCTGGAAAACTAGAAAGTTTTTCAGGTTTAAACTTTCAGAATCTACTTTTGGTACATCTGAGAGTGTTCTGATCGATTTCCAGAAAAATCCCAACCGTTGCGTAAAATCCCTTTCCTTGTTAGTGGTACTTTTAGTCGTTCTATTCAATTTCAACTTCAAAAAATTCATAACTCGGATCAATATGCTCAGAATCGGGCGGGATAAACTGGACCGGGCAACTGGGCGTGCCCTCTTTCAAATAGGACAATGAAAAGCCCCAAAGCAATCACTTCTTTTTCTCTATTTCTTATAGGGCAACGATAAAGCCTAGCGAGACCTTCTCGATCGATATTTCTCTATTTACAGTCATTCTATTCAAGTTCAAGTTCAAAATTCCTAACTTGGGTCAATATTATCCCTTTCTGGTGAAAAAAACAAACGCACAATCATCTAGTTCCATTTGTTCTTGATCAGAATCGGATGGATTCCCATAACCGATAAGTCTCCAGTTCGGGAATACATCCTCGTGAACCTGAAAATCACATTTTCATTCTAGCCAGAGAGTCGGCAACCAATAAAGTACAGCCGATAAAGAAGGTTCGATGAACTGAAAATCGACTTTTTTCTAACGCCAGGAAGTCTGAAAAAATCAAGCAAATTCGAAATCCGGCATTTTCAAAACTTGTATTTCTTTTATTTTTCTCCCCTTATTCCAACAGAAAATGGCCTTTTTAATCATATTAGTAGAAAAGGGGTCAAAAATCCTTTAATGTGGTCTAAAAAATCTGAATCTTGTAGTGGGACACATGGGAGCATATCTACATTTGGAAAAAAAAGAGATTTTCTCGAGTCTCGGTAACGCAAACCGGATGTTTCTAAGCATTCCTAGGGATCACTTAAGAATGCTGACGCTGCTAAAGTGGTCACTAAAAATGCCTCGACATCCCCTTAAGTGATCACTGGGGGTGCTTCAACCATATCAGAGATGGACGGAACTTTATTTTCAAATTGAGGTTTTTGAAAAAAAAAAATTATAACCGGTTCAAGGTTAGCTTGGAACGCAAAGGGGCGTGGCCTGTCTGCGCTCTCCACCAACCATACATTGTCTCTTCTTTTATCGTGCCAGGACCCTTAAGTGGTCACTGGCAGTGCTTTCAACATCTCTCAATATTTCGAAGCCAGCTGTATATTTTTAAGATATCGAAAAACTCTAAATTCTGTCCCTCTCTGCTCCGAATCATCAGAACTTTCTTTATCGGCTATCTTTCGTTGCTATCCATTTTCTGACCCTTCTGAAGAATCTGCCGTCGCGTCTCTCGTGAAATAGGAAATGCTGGCGGATGAGTGGGTACTGGGAGAATTCAATGAAGTACTTGTAAGGGCCGTTCTCGATCTCAAAATGACACATTTATAGGTTTCTATAGTGTGTTCAGACGGTCACGTTTTAAAAGTATAGTCAATGTTTCCCGAATTAAAAAGCGAGGGAGGCGGGACGCGTAGCGTGTGCGTACGCGGTTCTTGGCACGAGTTCAATTTAACCGCCAGCGACTATTTGGAGAGCTCGTTTATCGCTCTTTTCAGTTCTCTTGAAGTTATTTCTTGATTTTTTTCATGTGCGCATTGAAAAATAGTAGAACAAATAAAGAAAGAGCGGTTGCCGAGTTTTTTTAAATAGTCAGCGGCAATTGAATTGAACTCGTGCCAAGAACCGCGTCTCGCCCCCTGCCCCGCCTCCCTCGCTGTAAAAATTGGAAGCTTTTGAAGCTTCTTGGTTCATTGTTGGTGAAACCTACAGTGTGCGTCATAAGCATACATGGATAATTCGAAGAAAAAGTCTCTATACTTATGACGCGCCCTGTATTTTCAGACTCCTTACAATACACCGACAGAACTGCGAGTGTTCATCATCTTTCAGATAATAGGAGATGATGTTCATGAAGAACTCCACTGGACGACTGCCGTTAGAGAAACATCCCGTAATTGGACTGAAAATGAAAGAAATATTTCATTGAATTTCGAGTACCTATAAAATTGAGGTTCATAAAGTTTTTCACTTCTTCTTCAATCTCATACATTCTAATTCTTCAGTTAAAACTTTTTTTAAAAGAGTGATTTTTTTGATAAGGATCCTTTTACTACATAAGAATGCATTTTTTTTTCTAAATCCGTTATTTTTCCATAAGAAACCTGTTGAAATTATGATGATGGAGCAAGAAAAACTACTGGAAATTCCTGGTTTTACCGTCTTTTTCCGTCATAAAATTTCTATTATATACTTTTGACTAGTGAAAAATAACTAGAATGAAAAAATTAAAATTTTGCGACAAAAATCACTCAAAAAAATGAATTAGAAGTTTTTTTAAGTTCCAATAATTCCATCATGGCAATTTCAAAAGCTTTCCATCCAAAAAAAATGGCAAAAATAAATTCCCCCGAAAGGTGTCGAACTCGAACCGCTGGCCTCGCGTTCAGGAACGCTAGCCACTTTACCAAGCCGTTCCCCCCGACAAAAGATCTTTCCGCAAGTAATATCAGTACACGCATTTCTTTTTGGTGCTATCACTCGGCCAAAAAAGCGGAAAAAAACGTGATTTTCTTTTTTTTTTGGATTCAACGGACCTCGAAGCACATGTGAGCAGAATATCTTGAAATTTTGATTTTTTTTTTCTCACAATATTTGTTCCCTATTGAAACCCCTAAACACCAAAAAGCATATTTTGAAAACTGAAAAAAAAAACGAACTACAAGTAAGGGAGGACCCTTTTCGCGAAAATCATGACTTCTTTCATTATGTCTTCATCGTTGTCTGGTATTTCGAATTTGAGTTCCGGATCCGGATTATAAATCATAGCCGATAGCGCACCGCCTTCTTGTCTGAAAAAAACTCGATTATCGATGAAAAACGAATTTTCCCTTTTTTCATATTCTAAGAACCTTTCCGGCTTTTTCCGGCTTTTTCCTGTTTTTTTATAAAATTTTATTTTCATTTCTATAATGTCTCAAGCCTCTCTGCGCCCTCCTCGTCTCTCGGCGACCCTCTCAAATTGGCGTGCTATTTTCACTTTACTCCGACCGTGCCGGTGAGGGAAAAGAGAGACGCAGACACTCGAAAACGAAGTATATAGTCTAATCACGGCTAGCTCTCTACAAACCAGGTACTGTCTCTTTTTATCGTGTCAGGACCTTTTCAAAGGGGCGTGGCCTGTCTGCGCTCTCCACCGACCAGATAATATCTCTTTTTTTTTTATCGTGTCGGGACCCTTATTTGGATGCTCAAGCCAGTTGTAAATTCAGCTATAATCGTGTTTTTAGCCCGCGTTAAAAGCTATTTTAATGAGCGAAAAAACTTCAAGTGTTCTCTTTAGGGCTGCTAAGTGTCCTTGAGTGACATCTTCAATTTACTTTCACCTTTTTTCTCAAATTTCTCAACGTATCTTAAGACGAGATTTTTAGAAGTAAATTTTGGAAAAAAAAGTCTGAAAATTGCTTGAGAAAATTGGTATAGTCTATTCAGGTTTTGAAAGACAGGACTTCACTCAAGCTCCGCCCCTCATAGAGAGATAAACCAATCAGAGAGCGAGCCATACAAAAAGCGTTTTCGAATGACGTCATAATCGGTTCAAATTTTGGCTGTCAATTAGAATGACGTCATCCAAAAACGCTCTGTAGGTGGCTCGCTCTCTGATTGGTTTTTCGCGTCATTAGGGGCGGAGCTTGATCGGCGACTCGAAATTAATATCTGGACACACATCGCAAAAATGCGTAACATCGTTACATCGCAAAATAGCTCAAAAAACTAGGAAAGCGATAAAAAATTTTTACAAAAGTCTTTTAGACGATTATTCAGTACGAATCCTCAAAAAATGGCTCACTTCTGCCTCTCGGCGGCTTCCTCAGCTGCCTCCTCTAGCACAAAGTCTATGTAAGCAACGCTTCGAAACTAAATCTTCCATTGAATTTCCATAATTCTCATCGACTCACCTCCATGCCTTTACCTAATTCTCGCCTTTCTAACGTCTCCTGAATTGATAAATTATTTTTTTTTCTGGGAAAAAAATTTCTGAAAATCAGCTTTGAACCGGGGCGACCCGGGCACGCAAAGTTGAAAATAAGCAAAAAGGTATTTTTTATTCGCCGCGGTTTGAAATTTTCTGCTTGTCTGCGTCTCTCTGTTCCCTCATTGAGCAAGTCAGGAGGAATGAAAATAGCACGTCGAAATGAGAGGGTCTCCGAGAGACGAGAAGGGCGCAGAGAAAAACAGCAGTTCCAAGTCGGCGATGTAGAAAAATTACGTAAAAAAAACTATAGGTAAAATGGCTCAGTTGAACACTTCGGGCCGCCCCGGGTCGACCCGTCTCATAAGCAGTTCCAAGAAAACCCCTTTTCTCAAAAACTTCTTCTGATCAAGTTCTTTTTAAAAAAATAAAAAAATAAAAATAAACATCATAATCCGGGACATCATATCTCGTAGGAGTGGGACAAAAAAACGCGGACGTTCGTGTGGGATTCGATCTTCATAGTGTTCAAAGCGCTGAAAAACAAAGATTTCTTGATTTTTTTCAACTAATAAGGTTTATAAAATGTATTAATTACCGTCTATCTCACGGCAAATCCAAAGGTACTCAGAAAAGTTCGACAGATATGACGTTTTTGGTGCATACACCATCGACGCCAATTCCCATGACGGCCGTTTTTTTTTAATTTCAAAATGCAAAAAAGCGTGAAAGTGGAAAATTAATGACTTTTCATGGAATCAGAGCCGGAAAAAAAGGAATGATTCGAGTTTTTTCAAGAAAAAACATCAATTTTTCGAAGCGATACCAAACATATTTTAGAAGAATGAAAGATTTTATTCCTTGAGAATTTAGTTTAGAAATAACCTTTCAAACATTCTTATTCATAAAAAATTACCAAAACATTATGATGTTTGGATTCGCTGTGATAAATTTGTTGAAATTTAAAAAAACCAAAAAAATAAATAAATTATGATTCAAAAAAAGTACAAACCTCTCTTACTTCAGGCAGAGAATGCATTTTAGTCAAAGCAACTCTTTTAACTTCGAGATCCAAACCTGAAAAAATAAAACTCCGATTTCGGATAGTGAACTGGGAAAACCTCCAAGGGAACATCTTTTTCGGGACAATCTGTTTTTACCATTTTTTTCAGGCTGGTTATCTGTCGGCATCTTCAGACCCAGAAAAGAAAGGACACAATTTAAAAAAAAAACGGCGCGACAGTTCGAAGCATTCAGAGTAATTAGTAAGACGTAAATTAGCTTTATTCAAACCCTCGAGTGGCTGATTTTAGTGATAAAAAATCTTTTAAATCGTCTATACGAAAGAAAAAAGTTTCTCGATAATCTCCGGCTCGAAAAAAAAAAACAAAAATGCCGTGTTCAAATTAATTTCGATAGATTCAAAATTATCTTTTTACCTTCCAAAAACTTTCGTTTTATTATTCACTTTTTGAGGGTGTTTAATATACCAGCGAAATTATTTTGAACGAGCATACGAATAAAAATATAACTGTTTTAAAAACCTAAAGTAGAATAATGAACTGATGCGCACGAAACTTTGGCTCAATTTAAAATAGTGGGTCAAAAATGAAAAAAAAAATTACGGTAGGCTGATTTATACAGCTTTTTGCGGCGATTGTTCCTACAGTAAGAATTAATTTCTGTCGTTTTTAAATATGTATTTTTTTAAATCTATTCTGGAATTCTAGAGGGCGCAGAGTTTTGTTGTGAAAGAACAGTGAATGCGCCATTCGTCTCGAAATTATTTTAATCTACTATCAAAGTTTTAATTTTTTTTAACATCCAGCCTGTATTTCTAAGCATGTTATTTACTTACCTGGCTGTTTATAAAGGGCCTTTGAAGTTCATAAAAATCATAAAAAAATACGGGAAAAAAAGGTACCGCGCATGATTCAAACATGTAGCAAAATATAATAAAGACATTTGAGTTGAGATTTATTTGAGTTAACTTACGATTCACAAGAAACTTGAATTCGAACATGAGAAAAAACAACAGTTTACATAATAATTGTTCAATTAAATCATCAAAGTGTTGAGGTAGAGCAGTTGTAGAAATGGCCTTGTATTCAGAACACGATATTATATTAAATAGGAAGCTCGAAAAAATTCCGATTTTTGAAAACGATGAAATGATTAACTGTTAGTTGAATCTTTTGAGTGTGTTTTTCGGTTAGAGAGCTTGGTTCAAAGGGCCAGTCTTCGTTGTGTTGACCTGAAAAATTGCTAATAATTCCGCGTCAAGTTCAATTATCCACCTTCGTGAAGAACCGGCCGTCGGACTTGATTTGAAATTTGAAGCGAGACTTGACGGATTTATTCTTGGTGAAGTGGGTGAAATAGGCGACAGAGCCTTGTAACAGCTGAAAGAAATAATGGATTTTTTTTTTTGAATAACATGAACATTTAAGAATTTAGAATAAGTCGATTTATTGAAAATTTCCGATCTGAACTTTAATTCAGACTTATAAAAACAAGTGTTTTTAGTGTAAAGCTTGACTTATGGTAAAAACGAATCATTTTTCTTTATTTTATTGTACTTTTTGTTCCTCATTTTCCTACTGTTTGAATCAGAATGTCTATCATGAAAGTTTCCTACTCTAACAAAAGTTGTGGTGCACCCCGCGTCGGACTCTCGTTGCACCCCGCAGTGTAACCAGGGGTGCACCCTGTTTAGCTTCAAATGCCTATTAAGGTACTTTTTCCATACAGGATTTCGAAGTGGTTTGTTTTCCAATATCACAATTTTGTACCGTTTCATCCTAGGTAGTTACGATAGCTCAAAAAAAAACTTCTTATTTCCGACCGGTTGCCCCAGGGGTTCACCCCATTCAGTTCCAACGCGGGGTGCAGCGCAAACATCAACCAAAAGTTCACTTTTTTCGGGGTTCACTGCGGGGTAAACCCTCATTTTTGTTAGAGTATTAGAACAGAGCTGTGTTTTGGCCATTAGAATCAGCCGTTATAAATATTAGATTACGGTAAGCAAATTGTGTGAATATCTATCCCTCGGTGCCTTTTACGAACTTAAAACGATTTTTTTTTCCAAGAAACACCGATTTTTAAAGAATTTGAAGCACATATTTAGAACTCTTTAAAATATGGAATTAATATTTCGAAGTATATTATTCGCCAATTTTCTTCCCATTTGCAACTTTTTGAATTTATTTCATCAATTAGTCCCCTCACCTCTTCACAACAAAATCGATTGAGCTGATCCCTTTCGAGAAAAGATTCTGCGACGCCGAGGAACTCTGCCAACGGACGGACTCCGACAGACAAACTTTTTGTGATTTTGCTGAAAAGCCATGTTTTTATTTTGAACAACATGCGCTCTACTATCAAATCCTAAGACCTACGGACACCAAGAAGGTGGATTTTTTTTCAATTTGAAGACAGAAACATCTTTTAAATCGAATCTCCCTTCGAAAATCAGGATCAGAAACAGCACATTTTTCAAAAATAAGTCCAAACAAACTCCAAAAAAGGCTCGATTCTCGCCGCGAAATCGTCAATCTCCTTAAATATCGCCGCTTCATCCGTTGGTTTTTTAAAGAAATTTCGATTCAAGGCTTGGAAATTGTCCCTTTGGGCAGATAACGAATCAACCTCGGAATTCCTATCTCTGAAATCAAATCCTCATTAAAAATTTGAAAAACTCGATTTTTCTCTCAACCTATTCATCATTTTCAAAACTTTATCATGATAAGATGGCGTTTCACAAATTTCATCGTCAAGAGTATATTTTAAAAATTCGAAAAAACTTTGAAAAATTATTTTTTTTCGAAACGGTTTTTCTTAAAAAAAGCATAAACTTTACAAACACTTCACTTTTGACGAAAAAATTTTTTGAAGCTTATTCTTAGCAGAAATCCATAAAAAAACTGTAGTAAAAAAATTTCCATAGATCAAAAAAACTTTATATTTTTTTTCTATGAAGAAAAATTAATGTTTCTTATTTTTTTCGCAATATCCCTAAAAAAATTTGCCTATTCGGAAAAATTGTTAGAAAAAAAGATAATTTTTTTCATCGAGAAGAACCTGTGGGATGAAGACGCCGATGCAGCTTCATACGCTTCCCCGCAAAAGAGAAGAAAAATCCATGTAGGGAGTACCTCGGAGCTGAAAAAACTCCCTTCCAATATACTCCATGGAAGTCGAAAAAACCTTTTTTATTCCGTTCCGGATGAACTCATCCGAGCAATATGGAGAGGAGTTATCCACCTGAAATGAGAAAATTAGGGTGAATTTTTGGATAAATTATCGGAAATAAAGGATCAAAAATCAGGTTAAAAAAATGCCGAAACATTTCTATGGGTTGATTGAAAAAAAGGACTTTTTGGCGGGCATCTCGAGCTAAATTCAAAAAAATTTAGAAAAAAAGATAAGTTTTTTTATTATTTTTTTATAGCCTGTGTACCGCGACTTGGAATTTCACCAAACGACATTCCGCTGTGCCGCTGCGCGCCTTTGCAAACCTTGATCGCGCTATTAATTTTTTTTTTCTCTCTTTTATTAAGGTACTCTGTTTTCATGTCATCCCACAGCAATAACAAACAATTGAAAGCGTGGCCTAGATTCGAAAGACGCTTTGCGACCGCACGCAGCGGAACAGCGGAATGTCGTTCCGTGAAATTTCAAGTCGTGGTACACAGACTATGTGATTGAGTAACTGTGGAGAAATCTTCTATAGGCCATTCCGCGCCAGCTTGTCACGGTTTTCTTTCCGCCAAAAGGCCAGGTCAAATTTAACCAACTTTCGCTTCAAGACCTTTGTTTCTTGCCGTTATAAAAGCAGAAGTTTTATCTAATTTGGTATACGGTCTTTTTTGCGGAAAGAAAAACGTGACAAGCTGGCGCGGAATAGGCTATAACAGTGTGACCGGGGCGCCCCGATCTGATCAGCAGCTCTATCAAGAAATGGGAAAATGGTGACTCATGTTTGACCTCGAGTTTCTTGCCAAAAGCCGCGTCGCACACGCAACGCCTCATCTTTAAAATCGGGAAAACTTTATTTCGGCAGTTTTTTGAATTGATACTTGTTCTCAAAGTAAAATAAAAGGAAAATAAACTTCATCCATTCGCATGAGGTCAAAATCTCCAGGCGCAGGTACATCCATTGCCTAAATTTAAAAAAATTAAGGAAGCTTCAAAAATTCTGAAACCGAAAAAAATTATATTTTTTTTGAGAAAGAAAGTTGATTCAATTTTTTTCAAAAAAACAATGTTTTTTTAAGGATCCATAGAAACCAGGTTTGTGCGCGGGCCGGCCCGTAAGCATATTAGACCGCCGGCGTTTTCTGAGACCGACCAGGCCCTAGCGAGGCCCTAACCAGAAACGGCCTGCCCCGCTCCCAAAGAGCATAGTTTTCTCATTTATCACACTTTTTTATGACAAAAATCTTTTTTCCGGTCCATTTTTCCAGTGAAAACTGACGAGCGAATATAATTTTTCGGTGAAAATTTTGTCCGGAGCCTGGCTCAAAAGCCTCAAGAACTGACACAAGAAAAACACACGAACTTACAATTCGCCTTACAGCGGCAAAGTAGTCGGGACCGAAAAATAAGAAGGAGCATCAGAAACGAAACCTTTTTTCTGAAATTCCCCTTCAAATTGAAATTATAATTTTACATGTGAATTATACACTTTCTTAATCATGATAAAAAAATCTTACTGAATCTTTTCTTAATCATCATCTAATAAAAAAAGTTTTGTTTTCAAGCGAAAATATGAGTGAAAAAAATAGAGATACAAGAAGATTTATAAATTAGGGAATTTCGAACCTCTAGCCAAGCGTTGCGCATTGCTTCCTTTGTCCCTTAAATAAGCGCGAATTTCGGGTTCAGCTTCTGGAAAAAAATATATATTTTCAATTCAAATAAACTGAGGACACCCGCAGCAGAAAGAATTCGGATGGGCTCTCGATTCGGTTGATTATTTTCCTTAGAATTGTCATCTCTTGAGTCAGCCATCTCCAAAAATTGCCGGATAAGGTTCTGAAACAAGGGAATTTTCAAAAAATTTAAGAAAATCGTTAAAAAAAAAACTTATCCACGAAAAAAAATGAGAAAAGTAGCGAAAGGACTGCGCAAAAAATACAAAATGGTCAGTGGAAAAATTCAGAATGTCAAAAGATTATGGCAGATTCACGGCTGAGTCATCATTAAGAGGTTCCCGACACGATAATAAAAGAGATAGTGGCTGGTTGATGGAGAGCGCAGACAGGCCACGCCCCCCTTAGAGTCCGAAGTCAGCCGTGAGTCGGTTATACAGAAACGGGCGTCAAAATCTCTTTTTTTCAAAACACAGCCTATCCTAATGCTTACACAGAAAGTTTAAAAGGAAAAGGTACTAGGATTTGATGAAACCATTGAAAAAAAAGGTTCACCAACCCGGCTGTTTATAAAGGCCTTTGAAGGTCAAAAAATCATTAGAATAAGGACCTTTAAAATGAATTATTCGGAAAAAAATATGAGTTAAAAAAACGAGATAGACTGACATGATTCAAACATGTATAAATCTCAAACAAAAAAATAAGGTGTTAATTAAATTTTTATTTGGATTATTCACAAGAAACTTGAATTCAAACATGAAAAAAATATCAACAAAATTAACAAGATTATGCAATTTCAAAACAAAAAAAAAATCAGTTGTGAGTTGCGGCTGAGCCTTCAGGAAACATCGGACGGTCTGAAGTTTTTCAAATTTATGTTCGAAAACAGAAAAAAACGAACGTGTAAATATAGCCGACGGAACGAATCAATTCCTGGTATTTATTTGCATCGTCTTTAACTGAAAAAAATCATTTATTTTTGTTAAAGGTACATGGCCAGGTGTTTTGAGACTCTGAAGTCACTTTTGCTTAGAAATTTTCATTTTTTGAAAAAAGTCCGGGCAGTTTTACAAAAAGTTGCTAACCATGATTTACTGACCAACAAAAAAAAATTCATAACTAAAAATGAAATAAAATTCTATCCTAATAGGAAGCGAACTCAATGAAAAAAACTTCAAATCGCGAAAAACAGGAAAATGAAAAATATATGCAGGAAAAAATCAATTTTCTGTAAAAGCAGGAATTTTTGTAAAATGTTGAGTAAATATGTAATGAAAAAGCTCTAAAAAATGACATCAAATTTTTTTGTTTTTTTCTGGAGACATGCTTTTATTACTCAAAATATTCTTGATCACACTATAGTCTATTCGGATTTTGAATGGCAAATCCTTTCTCAGGCTCCGCCTCTATCAAAATCAGACGAGAAAAGCATAAAAAAATAAATTGATAGGTTCGAAAAAAGTTTTTTTTTCCAACTAACTCGACGGATCATCGACAATGTCGATCAAGGCATCCATGGCGCTGAAGGGGAAGACGTATTTATGGTGATAACAGGGCGGAAAATCCTTGGCGAGTTCCTTGACTTTGGCCAAACTGCGGTTGAGGAGGCAGGCGACGTCCTGCAGAGCGCGCCCCCGCGAGCTTGTCAGTTGGCGGAAGAACGTGAAATCTTGCTTCTGAAAGCAAGTTTGTTCATCATTTTCCTGCCAAAAACTCTAGTGGTCACTTAAGAGGTTCCTCAAGGACTACGTGGAGAGGACATTAAAGTGGTCTCTAGAACAAACTCTATAGAAGCCATTTTTTGTGTCTTAGTGGTTTTTAGTGGACTGGTAGTACTACTTGGGCTTTTAAAGAGGACTCGAAGTTTCAGCCACTTAAGTGGCCACTGAAACTTCAAACGTCTTAAGAGGCCACTAAAAGTTTTCCTAGGTTTTTGAAAAGAGGAGGGTAGCAAAAATGTTGAATATGTGAATTGATAGTGATCAAATAATAGATCACGTGAGAGATATCCCAACTAAGAGTATAAAAGAAGTCGGGAACTCAGATCATCATCACTCGTACCGCCCCCGTTTCGCCTCCAGCCTCGCCGTCGCTTCAAGCCTCGGACTGACGACTTCTCGCCTCTCCTCAACTTCATCTTTTTACCACACCTAGTTAATAAAACTATTGTGGGGTACTCTTCTTTCTTTTATTTAGTTAGTCCGCTTACTGATCGCCACTTTAATGTATCTTGTGCGTTATCAGAAAGAAGAGTACCCCACAATAGTTTTATTAACTAGGTGTGGTAAAAAGATGAAGTTGAGGAGAGGCGAGAAGTCGTCAGTCCGAGGCTTGAAGCGACGGCGAGGCTGGAGGCGAAACGGGGGCGGTACGAGTGATGATGATCTGAGTTCCCGACTTCTTTTATACTCTTAGTTGGGATATCTCTCACGTGATCTATTATTTGATCACTATCAATTCACATATTCAACAATTAGTCTTGGAGAAAGAAATGAAAATTTCCGGCTTGATCCATTTTTAGGTCTATCAAACTTTTATGTAAGCTTATTATGAGAGTTTGAAAAAAGCTTTTTCAGAAATTATCACATACCACATAGACTTCTAAAGAGGCCACTAAAACGTCAAAACTCTTAAGTGGCTACTAAAATATTTCGCAGTAATGTTAGAAATGAGTCACGAAAGAGCCAAAGTGTAACAAACAAATTACGAGATCTGAGTCATGGAATATTCGAAGCGGAAAGGCGCGAGAGAAATGTGAAGTTGAAGAGACGCAGAGCATGTTTTTTTCCCTTTGCGGTTTTCAGGAGCATTCAAAGAATCTCCAGCTCATTTTTTTGAGTTTTCAAGGTAGGAATTTTTTTTCTTGTTTTGAAATATGCAAAATCAGGGTACTAAAAACCGAATATTCCGGATTTTCATGACCTTTTTTGGCAGAAGTTATTTTTGGAAGTCAGAACGGTTTTGATCGAATGAAATTTGGTGGAAATAAAAAATAGAAGAGTTGAAAATTAATTATTCTAGAAATGGTTCCAATTATCAACCGTTTACCTAAAATGAACGCTTCTGAATAGTGAAAAGAAAAGCAAAACGAGGGGCGAAAATAGAAGAGAGCAGCAGGAAATAGAAGAAAAGCACGAGAAACTCTCCTTCTCTGGGCTCTTTCCCAAGTCATCAGCTTCATTTATTTCAGCTTCACACTATTCTGTAACCCTTGGCAACAGGAAAATTAAAAAATCATTTCTATCAATTTCAAGTCTATTCGATAAGTTTTTCGTGTTTAAGAAAAATGCAAAAAAGGTTTCTCCTTCACAGGAATCGAACCCTACGAAAAATGGTCGATATGGTTATCAGTCTGAGCATCTAACCACTGCGCCAGCCCACCTCGGTGAGAGAGGGCTGTTCAGGCGCGTACAGGACTCTTCCTGTATTCATCCGACAAGCTTTTTCTTAGAAGCCCAGTGTTTTCTTATGGAAAATTCTCACATTTCAGCCGGTTATTTTTCTCCTCATTTTAAATAGTCAAAAAAGCGGCAAATATTACTGTTTCAGCCTCGATTGTCATGTAGAAGAGCATATTTCCGGCGAAAGCCAGCGGGAGGGTCGGCCCGGCGTTGGCCCGCACACACTTGAGCAGCTCGTCAATGAACATTGGCGGCATTTCGGAGATTCTCGACGAGAAATTATTGATGAAATCCCTGGTTAGGATCGTCATTTTGCCGTTTTCAGTATTCACTGGGACGTGTGCCGTTTTGAAGATGGCCGCGTAAAGTTCAATCTGCAAAATCCAATGTTGAACGTCTTCGTGATTATTTACTTGACGAGAAAAGGAAAAAAAAAGTAAAAAAAAAAAATTTTTCTCCATTTTTCATAGAGCGCATTTAAACCAAGTACCGTACGCCGCTTTGAAAAGATTATATCCTAACTCACGTCTTTGAACGGATTTTTATATTTTTCGAGGAGTTGTCTGAAAGAAATCTCGACTGAATCCACAGTTCCGCAAAGCTTCTTCGTTCGCGGATTGTAATTCAAAAATTGGCCCCTTTCACTTGGCGCGCCGGGCTCGGCCTAAAAATTAAGATATACCCTTTATGTGAAAGGAAAACTGACTTTCGTGAAAAATCGGCCGTCGGATTTTATTTCAAACTTCAGTCGAGACTTGACACATTTGATGTTGGCAAAGTGGGTGAAGTACTGGTCGGAGCCTTGCAGAAGCTGAATAATAATATAAATTGAAGGCTATACTTCACGGCGTTTTTTTGACAACGCCCACTTTTTCTCTGTGAAGTGGCGTGTGTCTTGTGCATGCACAGCGCCGTTTTCGCGCAGAAAATTGGGTTCATTTATGCACTAAGAATAACTGCCGAGATAAACGCGAGACGCTGGCGGTACATTGACGAGCTCGCAAACATCTCGCTTTTTTTCTCGCGCCGGTCTCGCATTTTTCTGGGCGCCAGCTCGCACTTTTCTAGGCGCGAGCTCGCATTTCTCTCGCAATTTGAAAATTTCCGAAATGCAAGATAAATGCGAGATGGCGCCGAGAAAAATGCGAGGTCGCGCCGAGAGAAATGCGGGATCGCGCCTAGAAAAAAGCGACATTTTTGCGAGTTAGTCAATGTACCGCCATCGAGCTCGCGTTTATCTCGTCAGTTATTCTTAGTGTGCCGTGTTCATTTTGATTCCGCGAAATGCAAACTGATTGACTCTCCAAAATTTAGTGATCTTTTCTTTTCTCTAACGGGTATTTTGCATTTCGCGGAATCAAATTGAATACGGCATTAGAGAAATTTCGATTCGTCTTAAAGACCTTTGGCAATACGGCGGGCTGCGCCTTTAGTATGCCCTGTTATTTATGCCGTGTTCAAAGTGATTCCGCGAAATTCAAAATAGCCGTCAGAGAAAGAGAAAGATAACTAAATTTTGGAGGGTCAGAGAGCATTTCGCATTTCGCGGAAATTACTTTGAACACGGCATGAATACGGCATTAGAGAAATTTCGATTCGTCTTAAAGACCTTTGGCAATACGGCGGGCTGCGCCTTTAATATGCCCTGTTATTTACGTTTTTCGAGCCAAAATATCTATCTTTCACATGACGTCACGTGGGAATGGCGAATATTTGGGCTCCGCCCACCGTGTTTTGGTTTCTCTTTTTCTTTCATTAACAGAAACGCCGTGACTTATAATGAGTCAAGAAATTAAAGTTTTAAATGTCCGAAATTTCTGAAAAATGCCGGGGAAATTTTTAAAGTCCTCTTTAGGGTTTTGACGTTCTAGCGGCCACTATAGTAGTCAAATTAGTGGCCACTTAAGGGGTTGAAAAATAGTGGCCACTTAAGGGGCTATAAATTAGGGGAATATTTAGATGTCGAAATGGAGGTACTGGAAGACTATAAGGTTTAGTAGCAATCGATATCAAACTCTTTTTTTTTTTTCAACTTCTTACCGTATCGCGGCAAAAATGATTGCGCTTGTTGTTTTCGTAAAAGTGTCCGATGATCTTGAAAAAGAATTCCAACGGTTCGACGCCTTTAGAGGCACAAAACGCGACATCACTGGAAATAATAGAATTTTTTTTTTTTTGAAAAAAGCTTCCATTCAAATTTAAAGACTTTATACCGTAACTCGAAAATTTTCTACAATAACCTATGTTCTCATGTACTGTCAAAATTTTGAAAATTGTAATGCCTATCGATTGATATACAACTCGCGTAGGAAAAGCTCAAAAATAATTAGATTCGCAGGCACCGTAACCGGGCTACATTAAGCGGGAATGGCTAAAAAAAACTTCCCGCGTTTTTGATGACGGGCTTTTGCACTGGATGAAGTTCCTTCAAAAATTTAAGAAAAAAGTTTCTTGTATCCTTTTTTGGGAATTACAGCGAAATAGGTTCAAAAAAATTATTGATTTTTTTCGGAAAAAAATCATGGTCATTCATGAAACAAACTCCAAAAAAAGGGTCGATTCTCGCTGCAAACTCGTAAATCTCCTCCAAAATTTCGGCAACGTCCGTTGGTTCTTCGAAGGAATATCGAGTAGAGGTAATTTTATTTTTCATTATTTCCAATCTGAAATCCGTTTGTTAAATTTCCAAAAGAAAAGATTCATTAATTTTTCGAACTTCAGGAATTTTAAAGTCACTAAAAATCAAAAAACGAAATTTTGTTTTGTTTTTGTAGCCGTGATTTGGCGATTTCAAAAGTGACACGAAATTGGAATTTCGGGAGTCGTTATTCAGTGCTCAGATTGCGCGAAATTCAAAATTGCCGTTAGAGAAAGGAAAAGATAATTAAATTTTGGAGAGTCTGCGGAAATTTGAACTCGGCATTAGAAAAAAATTTGGTTCTTGAACGATATCTAATTTTAAATTTTGGTAAAAAGAATGTTCAAATGGTTTCAAAACTTTGAATTCGCGCTTAAAGTTCTTCGTTAAATGTCAGCTTCTTTTATATTTTTTTGATTTTTTTATTCCCAGTTCATTAAAAACATGTCTCTTCTTTAATCTGCATGGAGATCATTCCGAGAAAAACCCTCACATTTCGTTCAGACTTTGTTTTGAGTCTAGTTGAGCTCTGGGAGTATAGGACAAAAGCGCCGATTCCAAGAGCGCCGTTCAAATTTAGCGCCAGTCCGCAATGCGCCGTCGCGTGTATGCGCCGTGTATGCAGACGCCGCTTTCTTTTGCGCCGAGTCCGTTTGCGCCGAATCGTTTTGCGCTGTTATTTCAAACTTCTATTTTTTCGCTCTTTTTATATTAATTTTTAATAATTGTTTACTACACATTCATATACGACTCGAATGATTTTCGCGCCATCCGTTAATGATGAGTTTTAGGTCTACTTTGGTCCAGGTAAAATATTTTTTCCCCTTTTTTCTTTTCAAAGTAAAAATAAAAAAGCAAATATGCTTTTCTGATTTCGAAAAATACAGAAAACGAAAGGAAAAGAGAATGGATAAAAATTATTGCTTTAAACGACATACTGAGTGATTTTTTTGTGGTTGCAAATTTTCTGCGTTAGGTAAGGCAAAGTTTCAATTCTAGCAGACGTGAAACAGCAGAAAAATCGTTTTTTTCGTAACGTTAAACTCATTTTTCTTGAAACAATAGTTCGAGTTTTTTTCGAAAATGCGGCAGAAAAAGTCCATATTAACAGATGGCGCGAAAAATCATTCGAGTCGTATATGAATGTGTAGTAAACAATTATAAAAAAATTAATATAAAAAAAGAGCGAAAAAAATAGAAGTTTGAAATAACAGCGCAAAACGATTCGGCGCAAACGGACTCGGCGCAAAAAGAAAGCGGCGTCTGCATACACGGCGCATACACGCGACGGCGCATTGCGGACTAGCGCTCAATTTGAACGGCGCTCTTGGAATCGGCGCTTTTGTCCTACACTCAGCTCTGGACATCTGATTGGCCGCGGCATGAAAATCGAGGAAGCCGGTAGGTCCAGCCTGAACGATTTTTATTATTGGCTGATAGAAAATATCGATTGAATACCCGCATACAGGTCCTTATGTACTCGTTCTCTTTCCAGTCTTCAGGCCAGTCATCTTCCTGAATTTGATATAGTCATCCTTGGCGATTCGTAAAGAGAATTTTAATCTTATCTAAATTTCGGGTGCGTCCGTATTAGGCCCGAGCTTTCAAGGCTAATAGGCAAGTCGGAAAGGATGGAAAAAAAGCTTCATAGAAATGTTCCTTTCAGGGTGAAAAAAGGTTCTGTTTTTGCTGCCTTTTTGCGCCATTTCATGGGCTGCTATGCACCATTTTTGCTGTCTCTCCCTTTTCTAGAATTTCCTGAGATCTCAGAAAAAAGGCTTGATAAAGGGACTCTTTTTGCTGCCTTTCTGCACCCTTTTTGCTCCCTTTCTGCAGCCTTTTTGCAGCCTTTTTTCTGCCTTTCTGCACCCTTTTTTGAGTCTCTCCCTTCTAGCGGCCAATATCCACGATTCAGACTTTGCCCGAGTATACAAATAGCTCGACATTATGGGGTCTTCACGATCCATTTTGAGAGGTACCTTTGTAGACGCATTATGGTACCCTCTCGATTCGCCTGTATAACACATCAAAGCCTTGCGCGATTATAGAGGGCTCAGAAACTTCCTAATTTGACTAGAAAACGAATAATTTAATGAGTTTTTTCCGCACTGAACGCAATATAAAAAAATATTTGAAAATTTACGAATATTCACCTTTTCGGCGGCATTCACTCTTGGAACGTTAATCGGAACGTTCAAATAAACGGAGGACACACGAAAGTCCTTGAAACTATTAAAAAACGAGCAAGGATACTACAAGTATAAAAAAAAAATGATAAAACACATTTGAAAAATGCAAAAATAAAGAAAGCCAAACCCCGGCGCGTCACCGGCCAGTTAATGATATGGTCGTCTTCTCCGGTTTTTATACCGAGCAACTGACTCCGCCCCCCCGTGCCATATCCGACAGTACTTTTTTTCGCGTCGATAATCTATCCAACGATCCTTCAATGGCTATATCTCCTTATCTTTTTTCATCTGACAGCTTGGGAAAAGTCAAAAAATGCAGTGTTATTATAGTCTGTGTGCCAAGACTTGGAATTTCACCGAACGACATTCCGTTCTTCCGCTGCGTCGCCTAGCGTCTTTGCGAGCTCAGCCTCGTTTTCAATTGGTTCTCCTTACGGATAGATGGGCTGTTCCACTAGGAACACGTGCTGGTCGAGTTCTTAGTTAAAATAAAAAATTAAAGGCGCGGCAGAGCACGCAGCGGAACAGCGGAATGTCGTTCGATGAAATTCCAAGTCGTGGTACACAGACTATATAAGGAGCATCGCGTGATGGAACATCGGTACTGTAGCCACGGAATCTTTGACTTTTTTCAAGCTTTTGTGTCAAAAATAAAATGTAAAGCAATTAAAGGATCATCCTTACGCGCGATAAAGATCCGACGCAAAAGATACGGTAGCCCCGGAGGCGGAGTAAGCGTCCAACAGACTATACGGAAACGAAAAAGCCCGTTTTTCTATCATTCTAGGTGGTTAAGGTAGCTCGAAGAAACTTTTTTTTTTCAACCGGTTTCCCTAGTGTTCTAAAATTTGACCGTTCAGTTTTCAAACGGTTATAATATTTCATTCTTCTGATCGTTCGTTTGACCGACCAGTTCCTGAAATTTACTAAACGGACCGACCATTTGAAGAGTGACATTTGGTCGAAAAATGATCAACGATTTTTGAAATGACTCGCATGGTGATGCGGGCGGCCCCGCCGCGGAGTCTCTGCCGTATCGAACCCGTATGAGCACAGCTGGTAGAACGTTTGGTAATTTTCAGCCCATCTGAGGCACCGCTTCAGCACAGCTGGGTTTTTTTAAGACCCGTTGTTCTTCCGTTTCAGAAGAACCGAGACTCAAATGGCCTCATACACCCGGGTTTAAAACGGGTCCACCCGTTAAGGCACCTGGCCACCATGCGAGGACATTTCAAACGGTCAAAAAATGACTGAAAATTTTCGAAATGACATTTCGAACGGTCAAAAACCAAACTGTCACTCTGAAGTGACATATTGATTTTTTGAAACTCCAACTCTTCGACCAATCACAATTTATTCTGACATGTTGAAAAAATATTGGTCGAACGGTCAATTTTCGAAACTATAAGGGTACCGCAAGGTGCACCGAAACATCAAATGAAAGGTTCATTTATTTCGGGGATTGAACCATCATTTTTGTATAGCCCGCTCAAGTCTTGCTTGGGACAGCGAACGGGCAGTTTAACTTGCGCGGCAACGGTATAGCCAATTCCGCGCCAGCTTGTCACGTTTTTCTCTCCGTCAAAAAGACCGTATACCAAATTAGATCAAGTTTCTGCTTTTATAACGGCAAGAAAAAAAGGATTTGAAGCGAAAGTTGGTTAAATATGGCCTGGCCTTTTGGCGGAAAGAAAACCGTGACAAGCTGGCGCGGAATGGCCTATAGAAGATTTCTCCACAGTTACTCAATCACATAGTCTGTGTACCACGACTTGAAATTTCACGGAACGACATTCCGCTGTTTCGCTGCGTGCGGTCGCGAAGCGTTTTTCGAATCTAGGTCACGAGTACCTTAATAAAAGAAAAAAATAATTGCGCGATCAAGGTTTGCAAAGGCGCGCAGCGGCACATCGGAATGTCGTGCTGGCTGCTTTTCTTACATGGTAACAGGTGAGCTTCAGCTTGTCTTTGAGCATCCTTTCCATCAAACTTTGACTAATTTTCATATCTTTCGCCATCTTTCGGATGCTCCGAAGTGGATATCTTCTGATTCTCTCCTTCACAGCTTTGATCCGATCTGGAGTGACGACTGTTGCTTTTCTTCTTCTCCCACATCTATCCAAGAACGTGCCGAGCTTTTTGAAACGAGAAATTGAGTCATAGACGGTTCTACTTGGGACTCCGAGCTTTTTAATGATGTCAACCGGAGCGACTCTTGCTTTGAAAAGGTGCATAATCGAAGAGCGATGTGGATTTGGTGGTGCCATTTACCGAAAACAGAACCGATTGATCTGAATTTTGGCAGAATGGTAAAAAACATACAGTTAATCAAAATTTTAAGTAATACGCGGCCAGAATTGCGTCAATCGCCTTGCTATATCGCGTCAAACTTTTGTGCGGGTAATTTTGAGCCACCCTGTAGATCATTGTGGCCATACATGCGCCTTTAATAAGAGACTCATTTGATTAGTTATTCTGTTTCTATTGTATTTATTTTTGATTGTTTTTAGATTATCTTAAAATCGACGAATAAGAAGAGAAAAAAAAAATGAGCCATAAAATGAAGCTTTTATAAAAGGCACATAACTATTCGCCATCATCTACCTTGGCCGCGAAAATCAGACCGCCCGTTCGCTGTCCCAAGCCGTGAACGGGCTATAAGCTGAAAGTTATGGTGAAGACATGAACCCTGGTGAGAACAGCTTTTAACTTTTGCTCTACAAAACTCTTCGAAAGACTGCTAAAAAGGTCTCGAAGCGAAGTTTATTCTAACTTGGTCTATTTTGCCGGAAAATGCGAAAAGTCGCGATGTGGCCTAAAATAAATGTTTTGATACTTGTCGCCTCTTACAGTATCATTTTGGGACGAGGTCGATGAACCACGGAGATTACCTTGTCCGACAGGCGTCACGCGCCTTTCGGACGATTGCGACGAGCGTTCAGAGCAATGTCGGCGGATCCAAGAGGATTATGATGTATATGATCTTCCAAGGGCAAGTAGTGTTGCGCTAGCCGGAACACCCAAAACAACTGTTTTTATTGCATCATACAGTCAAGGTTTTTTTTTGCCGCAACATCGTCAAAGTATCGCCGCCACCCCTCTTAAATTTGAGACTAAAACTTTTTTTGTTTCATTTTTGACTTATATGATGAAATATATCAAACGAAAAAAAGAAAACATTTTCAAAAAGCGATATAGCGCAAGAAGTTTGCGATATCGCTCGTCTCTTCGCAGTCTAAAAATTGGGTTTCCCAAAAAAATGAAACCGAAGAAAAGCTACCGTAACCACAACTGTCTTTGGAATTTTCGCTTCGAGACGCTCCAAATAAAAACTGCAAAAAAGAGGTCCCAAAGCGGAATTTGGCACACTTTTTTCTTAGAAACCCATACGAAATGTCCAGAAAACATACATTTTTCAAAAAAATTACTTTCACATGTGATCCACGGTGATCCATCAATTTTTGATTGATTTTTCTAGCTGATAGGTCAAAAAAAAGATGAAAAAATGTAGCACTATTGAAGGATCATCGTCGCGCGTGATAATTGATGGACTCACTCGACAATGGTCTCAAAAAAAAGTCTAGAGCTCATTTTTGAGTGAAAGGTGTCAAACGTTTCTCGGAATCTCCTTTTTTTCCGTCTTATTTCTAAAAAAAAGGACAAGAAAAAATGAGCCTATGTTGTATTTTTTTCAAAAGCTCCTCTTTAACACATGTTCTCTGAGAAAATCGACTATTTTTCAAGAAACCCATAGGAAATGTCTAGAAATAATTTGAAAATAAAAGACACCTTGACATGATTCGAACATGTATAAGAAAAAAGAACAGAAGAAATATTACTTCAATTTATTTCAGTTCTTTTCAATGCACAAGAAACTTCAAAGTTACATGAAACGATATAATTTAACAGTGTAAACATTGAATATTGAAACAACATTAAAAGGAAAAATATATTAATGATGATTAAATTATTAAACGAACAAGAAGTGATATCATCGTTGAAAATAAGGTACAAGAAACGAATTGAATTCAAAAAATTATATTTTTTCGTGATTATGCAGAAAGGGAATTATTGATTTTTACCTCCTGGAAGACTGAGGATATGAAAGCTCGGATGAGTCTGAAAATTCGATTTCAACTTCAAAAAAAGGGTCGATCGTTCAACCTTGACGATGAACCTGCCTGCGGGGGTTATTTCGAATTTGAATCGAGTTTTGATGGGTGCCCAAGTGCCGATGTATCGTAAGTACACTTCAGGACCTTGCAGAAGCTTTAAAAAAACCGAATTTTCTAACTGGACAAAAATACATCCTACATTTATCAAAAACATTAGAAAGGTACAAGTTTTTTCGCCCTGACAAGGGCGACCATTTTTCAAAGAGATCTCCTTCTAGACCTTCTTAGGAACTCCGGAGTGGTCCCTATAGGGGCAACCTTAGAGACATTGCAATATCTTCTCTAGGGATCACTTTACCAACCCCTATAGGGGCTACAAAGCTCGTAAAAGAGGCCCCTAAAGGGGTCATGCTAGTGTTATGAATTTTAGGAGGAAAAGCGTTTCCATGGGAAAAAAATTAAAAAATTGATTATTTTTGAAAGAAAAGCATGAAAATAGGATAAAATGATCAAATTTATCTTTTAAATTTATAAAATGAACTAGTACTGAAGACCCCTATAGGGACCACTTGCTTTTTAGAAGCTGTGGTCAGATCCCACACCTCTCTAGGGACCACTTTTCGACCCATTATATGTAGGGGGCGCAAAGCCCCGCCCCTTCACGCCACCAAAATGACGATTTTTTTGTTGCAAAAACGGTTTTGAGGCGTTTATACTAGCTAAAGTCCCTCTTTAAAAATGAACTGTTTCTGTTAACCTATGTAATCGACAACGCTCTACAAGACTCAATATTTTTTTAAAAACTATGTATTTTTTTCAAAAATTAAGCGAAAAAAAGTAAGATTTAACACGAAAAAAACTGACAAGTTTCACAAAATCGTCGCGTTTCAGAAAACCAAGTGAGGAACGCTTCTGAATTTTGAGTATGTTATACATTAACACTTTCTTTATTTTTTTGAGTGAAAATGAAAAAAATCTACCGACGCGAAAAAAATATTAAAAGCTTGTAAAGTGACAGCAAACTTTGAAGCTGAAATGCGAAAAAAATTTTTCAGCGACATGGTATACTTTTTATTTGATTTAAAAAAACTAACAAAGTGTCCAAAAAAATAAAAAAATTCAAAATGAAAAATAATTATTGGGACAGCGAATCAAATTATATTTGAGTTTTTTTCCAAAAACCTCCTTTTTTTCGTCTGCCTCGTTGACGCATGAGAGAATAGGATCGCGTCTATATTTTTTTGATTATGTTATTAAGCGTTCAAAAACTCTATCAATGAAAAAAATTATGAAAAAAATCGATCGACGCGAAAAAAATAACGGCTTTGAAAAACCTCGAAAAAAATGGCAATTTTTTTGAAATTTCGGAAGATTTCGTGCAAGTGTCCGTAGCAGTGTTTGCGTCAAACACACCGATGCGCCCATTTTAAATGTCGCAGGAGCCGTTTTTTTCGGAGTCAAATTGCACTTTTTTTCCTGTTTTATTTCGATATAACATCATTTTTTTCATTTTTTTCTTATTTTCCAAATCGAATGATAATAAATTTTTTTCTGAGTAGAAAAAAAGAAAAAAATAAGCTGAAAAAAATCCCTTTTGACCTTTTTTTCTAGGTAGTTTTTTTGATATTGTATTAAAAAAACTTCTTATGAGGATTGTACAAAAGATTCATCCAAAAACATGAGGCTCAAGTTCGGACAACCTCTCAGAACAGAAAAACCGATTTGAAAAACGGTCCAGAAATGCGCAAAAAAACATTTAAAAAAAGAAAGCGTGCGGCAGCGGGTAAACCGTGAGATTTCGCCTCCAGTTGAACGCCGAGCGCGCTCGTTTTTTGGCCATAACTTTTTTCTTAGTGGAGCTTTTTTCAAAAACTAAACGGATTATGAAAATGGACAGTCTCCTCTATCGAACAATGTGAAAAACATATTTTTTGAATCGTTCTGAAGAAACGGCTTGCGGTCCCTAATTATATGGGCTCTTTTTCCTTATTAGCCCCTATAGCGACCACTCTGGAATTCCTGAGTCCCGTGTAAATTAATTTTGCAGTAAGGTTGCTCTGAGGTGAAGTCGCCACTATTGCCGATTAAATTTTTTTCTTTTTCTTAATTTTGAATTTTTTTTCAAAAATCAAACGGAAAAGCGTTAAAATAATCTAAAACATCCTAATAAATATATTTTTGCATTTGATTTATTAAAAACCTTGAAGAAATGTGACAAAAGTTAGAATCAAGAAGCTATTCAACAATTTGTTCAAAGGTTTTCGAAATACAGATATTTTTTCCCTTCCACTCGGATTTTGGATTCCTCACCGATTCAATACATTCTCTATCGCTCTCATCCATATCGACATAAAGTCCGATAGCTTGAAAAAAAGATGCCAATGGACGCCGTTCGGAGGTGAACAATCTCTCAATCCTCCTAAAAATTCTCTTCATAGCCGTGTTAAAAGTAATCCCGCCAAGTTCTAAATTGTCTCTGACTTTCCAAAATTTGAATATCTATTCCTCTCTGACGACTATAGTCTTTTCAGATTTTGAAAGTCCGGAATTCGCTCAAGCTCCGCCCCCAACGACCCGATGAACCAATCACAAAGCGAGCCATCCACAGAGCGTTTTCGGATGACGTCATTGGGCTTAAAATTTAAAATCTGAACAGAATATACAATGACGTCATTCGAAAACGCTCTGTGGTTGGCTCGCTCTCTGATTGATTCATAGGGTCGTTAGGGGCGGAGCTTGAGCGAGGAGTTGAGATTCAAAATTTGTACAGACTATATTTCGCTTTTTTCGGAATCCCTTTGAACTGGGCTTAAGAATGAATGAGAAAATCGGCAGCTTCTAAATGTGATATTGTAGATTTCAAAAATGACGCAAAATCAAAATCAAGTTGGAAGCTGAAAAAATTGGGTCCTACAACGAAATACCGTCTTTGGGAAGTCCAAAACTTTGCGTGAAAAAGGCCAAATTATCACTTATTTCGAAAAATGCGCAGATCAAGAAATGTCCCAAAAATTCCAAAATTTCGAAATTCACGCGCAAAAGTCACCATTTCGTTGTAGGACCCAAAATTTTTACAAAGCTGTCAGAAAGTTCAACTTAGCGCATTACGCAGGAGAAAACTACACGTAAAAGTTAAAAATTTCAAATTAAGAATTTCGCGCGCAATAATCGCCTTTTCGTTTTGGGACCCAAACTTTTCTCGCCAAAATTCCAAATTTGCGTATTTCGCGGAATAATTCCAAACGCACCAACTTCAACCAACACAAAAAAAAAAGGAAACAAACCCTAAGAAAGATGTGATTTTCTTTGTGAAATTGTCGACTTTCTTGATCATTTCCAGGTTGCCCGGTATTAAAGTCTCGAAATTTGGGAACGAATCTTCGAGTTCTTTCAGAATTTCGGCTCGTCTGAAGAGTTTCAATCATTTGAAGATGGCATTTTTTCAATTGGGAGATGAAGAAATCGCAAAAAAAAATGATAGCTAAAAGCAATAATATCCGAATCAAAAAACTAAAAATAACATTTTAGTAACTTAAAAATAACGAGGATTCCCACAAAAAAAAAACGAAATTTAATGCCTAATTCACTACTTTATTCGAAAAAAAAAAACCAAAACGTTTTTCAAAAAAAAAAAAAGTTGACTTATGTGGATGGAAAAACTTTGCTGTCCTTTTTTTTTGCAAGGAAACTTCCCCTCAAGGCATAGGGGCAGTAAAAAACGGTGTTTCAGTTCAAAGCAGTTCTTTGTAGAGCTTTTCATTGCGAATCGAACGGTGAACTTGAAAACGTACAGAAGTTCCTGGTTTTGGAGAAAAACTAATTCAAAGTCGGAGAAATGAAAGCTTGAGTTCCCGCAAAAAGGGCGCTTCGCAGTAAAGTTGCTCTATGGACAACAGGCTTCGCCATCTTCCGGATATTTCGCTTTTTTCTTCGTTTCTTTCAATTTTCAATTGTTTCTGTTGTCACCAAAGTTCTTTTCGTCACAAATACTTTCTATTCATGTATAATTTGCAAACTTTGATCGCAAAAAAGCTTTTCTGGTGAAAAATGATGATTTTTCACAGGTTTCGATTGGGATAGCGATTATTTGTGTTTTCTTTATTATCAATGTGTGTTTTCTGTTTTCTTAATCGATTTTTCAGAGAAGAAACCCTTAATTTGAAGCAGAAATCCGGTTATTTCACACAAAATGCGAGCCTAATGAGACGTCCGCAACATCGCGTGCACGACTACTGTAATAAACGTTTGTCCGTAGGCCGATCCAAAGCTTTTTTCAAAATTAAAGGCGGGAAAGTAAAATCGCGTTTTTCTTCTAAACTTGTCACATCTGTAATTTTTTTGAGTACACCATTCGATTCGCAATGAAAAACTATATACGATACTGCTTTTACCTGAAACCCCATTTTTTACTGCCCCTATTAGAGTTCACAAAATGACCAATTGAAAAAAATGACATTTTTCAAAAACGAAAAATTTTCTTTTTGACATTTCAAACGAATGTCGTTTTTTTGAAAGATCAACCAAAAATTGATCACTTTCATTCTTTTCATTTTGTCACATTTCAAATAATGACTGAAAAAAATGAATGGTCATTTTCTAAACAATCATATTCTGACTAGTAAATAAATGTTCGTCCTAATGACCAAATTTTTGAAAGTGAAAAGTAAATGGTCACTTTTTTGACCAAAATTTTCGAAACGAATTTTAAATGTTCACTCTTTTGACCAAAATTTTCAAAAGTGAAATTTAAATGTTTACTTTTTTGACCAAAATTTCCGAAACGACATTTAAATGTTCATTTTTTTGACCAAAATTTTCAAAACGAATTTGAAATGTTTACCTTTTCGTAGAGAAAAAAAAATTTTTTTTCAACTGTGAAAATTAAATGTTCATTTTTTGGCCGATAATTTTCCGAACCTGGATTTTCCGAACCAAAAATCCAAATCTATACTTTTCCTTTTTTTCCTCATTCAATTAATTCTCCAGATAGAACCTTTCTTCCGGTCTGCTCATTTTTTTGACCGGTTCCATATAATTTTTCTCGGCCTTAACCGGCTTTTAGCTTTGCCCTTGACCATCCAGATCACTGTTTTCCAACAGATTTATTAATTTTTTTAACCAGAAATTAGTTTGAACTTCGAAGTAATCGATTCATGATTTCATTTGGAGAAGACTGAGATAGAATTGACTCTGGCACAGATACTGCCAAGTGCCGTAATAGTAATGAATTAATTAATGAATAAATGTTTACCTTTTTGAAAGAAATTTTTCAAAGTGAAATTTAAATGTTCACTTTTTTTGACCAAAAAAATTTCAAAATGAAATTTAAATGTTCATTTTTTTAACCAAAATTTTTTTCGAAAAATAAGTAATTGTTCATTTTTTTTAAATGCTCAGTTATGAAATTTAACCAAAATGAAGTTTTTAACAAACGGTTCATGTGAAATTTAACTAATTGGTCGAATTCATCAAACGTTCGGAAAATGTTTGGTTGAACGTTCGTTCAAACATTTACTTTTGAGAACTCTAGCCCCTATGCCTTTAAAAAGTTATAAGTTCAACTGAAAATGAATAATTTCGTGCAAATTTCCGAAACCTTTCTTCTGACGGGAGGACGCAATCGCCGAGGTCAGGGCTTTCCAACTGGAATAATATAAATTATTTTTTTATTTATTTTTTTATTCATTTTGTAGTAGGCTGAACATTAAGAAGCATCTTTATTTTTTTCTAAAAAAATAAAACTACTGCGAAAAAAACTCTAGTGGCCACTTAAGAGTTTTCTCAAGGACCATTTAGAGAGAACACTAAAGTGGCCACTAAAACCACCTCTATAAAAGCCAATATTTTAGGTCTTAATGGCCACTATAGTAGTTTTAGTGGTCAAGTAAGTAGTACCACTTAGACTTCTAAAGAGACTACTAAATATTAGCCACTTAAGTGACCACCAAATCGACTGCTATAGTGGTCACTAATTCGACTATTATAATAGCCACGAGAAAATTAAAACCCTAAAGTTGACAATGAAAAGGAATACACTAAAATGGACACTAAAAATTTTCAAATGATATTTTTTAAATTCAATAAACACGAATTTATAATGAAAAAACATCGAATAAGAAAGTGGAAAAATTAATTTAAAAAATCCTGAACCCTTCAATATTTTCTTTATCTGAAAATTAGATTAAAATAAACTTTTTCCGTTTCGGCATCTGGTTCTTCTTTCAAAGTTGAAGTTGAAGGCCCGGGTTGATTTTCCTTAATTAAAACTTTATTTAATTCAAAAAAAGGAATACCAAATTCTTACAAGACTCACGAAATTATGCTCTTTAAAAAGAAAATTGTCAATTTTTGAGGCCGAAATGGCTTTAAACACGTGATGAAAAATCGAAGAAAAATTTTTTTTTGTTAGTTTCGGGAGGACTTTTTGAAGATTTTCGTTCAATTTTTCATTACGGGTATAGGACTTTAGACTTCGAAATATCTATAAATAAAGCCAAAACGGAAAAAGCTTCTTTTTGAGGAACCTTAGTGTAACAAGGACCTGAAAAAGTTCCACTACAAGCTCTAAAAATGATGGAAAAGCTTTCGAGCTCTTTTTTCTTCACCTCGGTGAACTTTTTCCTAATGGTAAAAATTAAAAAGAGCAAAATTAGAATAAAAAATCTGTTCGAGACCATGAGAAGTCCTTTTTTGAAAGAACCTTTTAAGGAGTCTTCTCGGGCAAAGTCGGAATGGGGGATAATGGCCGCTTGAAGGGAAAGGCTCAAAAAAGGCTGCAAAAAGGCAGCAAAAAAGTTCCCTTTATTGAGCCTTCCATTTTCTGGGATTTTAAAGGCTCGAGAAATGGTGGAAAAAGGAAAAAGCAGCAAAAATGGCGCGTAAGGGCTGAGAGAATTGCGTAAAAAGGCAGCAAAAAAGGAAAATTTCTATGGACCCTTTCCGACTTTGCCTATGATTCAGTTTTTCCCAAAAAACGACGAAGAAAAATTCAAACTTCTGGCCGTTGATTGGTGTGAACCCTCTTGCTCTCTCCACCTTCCCTTTCCGGTTCCAAACCTAAAAATGAATCCTTCATTTTCGTTTCTAAACAAAGGCAATCTTGACGGTCGTTTCCTGGTCGCCTTCGTCTCCTCAGTTTTCTCTTCATTCGCTTTTTTCGGTTCGTTCGACGGTTCTGACATTATTGGATTTTTAAATATATCTCTGAAAACAATCAAAATCATGCATTAAGTTGAAAAAAAAAAACCGCGAGGTACTTCAAAACGATCCCTGAAAAAAAAAAACCGTTGAATGTGACAAAAAAAAGGAGAAAGGTATATATAACTCATGAATCATGTTCAGAAGCTATTAAAGGAGCATAGTAAGGTTTTTTCAGACAAACATATGAAAAAAAAAAACCCTGAAAACCGCCAAGGGCTTTGAAAACTTTAACGCCGTGTTCACAGTGAATCGCGGTCAGAGGCAAAAAAGAAAACTAAATTCTAGAGAGCTAGAGATAATTTCGAACTTCGCAGAATCACTTTGAACACGGCATCAATTCTACTCATGGGAAGTCTTAAAGACTGCAACGACGGATTTGGCGCCACTGACAAGACCAATAGGTCAACAGCGACAGTGGCGCTAACAGGTCAAAATACATTTATATAGCCTATTCTGTCATCTTCTTCCCACTAAAAAGACCGCATACAAAATTAGATCAAATTTCTGCTTTTTTAACGGAAAGAAACAAAGGTCTTGAAACGAAAGTTGGTAAAATTTGACCTGGCCTTTTAGCGGAAAGAAAAACGTGACAATGTGGCGCGAAACGGCTGACTTGAGCCATCGAAAAAGGGTCTTGACACGATTATAGAGGAGATAGTGCCTGGCTCGTGGAGAGCGCAGACATCTCAAGCTAGCCGTGAATCAGCTTTACTTACGTTTAGACACACGTAGCAAAAAAAAATGTATGGTTCGCAAAGGTTTCGCTTTCATTTTCAAAGTATATAAACTGAGCGATCCATAGAAAAAATGGGTCCTACAGCGATAAATCGCAATAAATGAACTTTACGGTGGGGAACTCCAAATTTTGAAACTAGTTGGGAAATATCAACGAAAAATTTCAAACTTGCGCGTGTATGAAAGTCACCGTGAAATTTCAAAAAAGGCCTGTCTGCGCTCTCCAAAAACCAGGCACTATTTCTATTTTTATCGTGTCATGACCAATTTTTAAAAGGCTCAAGCCGTGAATCAGCTTCATTGCGCGCCAGTTTTTCGTGTTTATTTTTGAGACGAAAAAAACTGATCAACTACAATTCGCTTCAAGACCTTTTTTTGCAGTTTTGAAAAGCAAACGTTAAAAAAACGGTGTTTTACGATAGCTATTTTTCTACTGTTTTTTCAAACACGGTCGGGAAAGAAAGAGCTTACCGGTCAAGGACAAGACAAACTGATCTACAAATTCAAAAAATTGTCATATTTCTCGAGAGAACATGCGCCTTTAATTAAAAACTTCAAAAACAAAAGATAAATTCAAAAAGAACGAGATAGACTTACATGATAAAACATGTATTTCTGTTCAAAAAGAAAATGATGTTAATTCCGATTTATTTCGGGGATTATTAGCGATTCACAAGAAAATTAAATTCAAACATGAAAAATATGAACAAAAATAACAAGATTATGCAATTTCAAAACAAAATAAAAATATCATGAGTTGTGGCTGAGCCTCAGATTCAGGAAATATCGGACGGTCTGAACGAATTTTTTGAGATTTCTTATTGAAAACAGAAAAAAACGAACGTGTAAATATAGCCGACGGAACGGATCAATTCCTGGTATTTCTTCGCATCATTTTTTACTGAAAAAAAACTCATTATTTTTGGGTAAAGGTACTTGACCAGGTGTTTTTGAAACTCTTAAGTATTTTTTAAACACTGTTGCTTGAAAATCTTCATTTTCGAAAGAAGGCCAGAAAATTTTACAAAAAGTTTCTTACCATGATTATATCAATGGCCACAAATTGAAAAAAATTCTACCCTAATGGAAGCTTTTTCCAACGGAGAATTTCATAAAACTGTCGAAAAAAACTCAAATCGCAAAAAAATGAAGAAAAAAAAATTGACGAAAATTGACGAAAATTGAGAAAAATGTGCAAGAAAAATTAATTTTGAATTTAAATTTTTAACTAAAATCAAGGATTTTAAACACACTATTATTTTAAATTAAATATTTACACGCAGTCAAAGATTCGCTGCAGAATTTGTACCAAATTTTTCATTTCTTCTGTATACATTCTTCATCAACTACTGTATACAAAAAAATTTGAAAAAAGTATAAAAAATCAAAAAAGAGGTAAATATGAAAAAATAAATACTGATAGATTCTAAAAAAGTCTTATTTTCCAACTAACTCGACGGATCATCGACAATGCCGATCAAGGTGTCCATGGCGCTGAAAGGGAAGACGTATTCATGATGATAACAGGGCGGAAAATCCTCGGCGAGCGCCTTGACTTTGGCCAAACTGCAGTTGAGGAGGTTGGCGACGTCCCGCAGAGCAAAACTTCGCGAGCTTGTCAGTCCCTGGTAGAACGTGAAATCTTGCTTCTGAAAGCAATTTTGTTCATCACCATCCTGGGAACGGCGTTTTTTCGACGACGCTACGCGCACTTTTTCTCCGTAAAGTGTCGTGTGCACGCACGGCGCCGCTTTGGCGCAGAAAATCGGGTGCATTTAGAGAAATTTCGATTCGTCTTAAAACCCTTTGGCAATACGGCTGCCTGCGCCTTTAATATGCCCTGTTTTTTTTACGTTTTTCGAGCCAAAATCTCTATCTTTCACATGACGTCACGCGGGAAAGGCAGATATTTTGGCTCCGCCCACCGTGTTTTTGGTTTCGCCTTTTCTTCGACTAACAAAAACACCGTGTGGGAAAAACGCTAGTGACCCCTTAAGAGGTCCCTAAAGGACTACTAAAAGACACTAAAGTGGTCTTTAAAACAAACTCTATAGAAGCCATTTTTCGTTTCTTGGTGGCCACTACAATGGTAGAAAAAAGAAGAGTAAAAATGAATTCTTTCGAAAACTCCAATACCAAAAAAAAGAAGCTTCTGTGTGGAAAAAAGGGGCAAAAATGAGCGGCGAAAGGAAAAGAGAGCAGCAGGAAATAGAAAAAAGCACGAGAAACTCTCCTTCTCTGGGCTCTTTCCCAAGTCATCCGCTTCATTTATTTCAGCTTCTCACTATTTTTGTCACCCTTGACAACAAAAAAAAGCGGAAAATATTACATTTTCTGGTATTGAAGCTGCGAAAATGGAGCCTTTTAAGAAAGTTAGAAAGAAGTGATTTTCAGAAGAAAAATTACTTAATTTTTCAAGAAAGAACGGAATTTGAATGTACTGGGAATATTCTTCAGTGAGTCATCATTTTTGTGTGAATTCATAAAAGAAATTTCCACGGGGTCTAAAATTTAACAAGCATCATAATTCTACTCAAAATTACAATTAAAAACATTTGAGAAACAGTTGAATTGGAAGAAAAAACGTTTCTATCAATTTCAAGTCTTTTTGATAAGTTTTTTGTCTATAAGAAAAATGCAAAAAAAAGGTTTGTCCCTGACAGGAGTCGAACTTATGAAAAATGGTCGATCTGATCATGAGACTGGCCCTCAAGCCACTGCGCCAGGCGGTCTAGTTGGAAGAGGAAGGTTCAGGCGCGTACAGGACTCTTCCTGGATTCATTCGAGAAGCTTTTTCTCAGAAGCCTATAGTTTTCAACCGATAATCTTTAAATTCCAGGCGGCTGGTTTTTTGCTATCCATGAATAACCCAATAAGTAGTAAATATTACTGTTTCAGCTTCGATTGTGACGTAGAAGAGCATATTTCCGGCGAAGGCCAGCGGGATGGTCGGCCCGGCGTTGGCCCTCACGCACTTGAGGAGCTCGTCCGTAAACTTCGGCGGCATTTCGGAGATTCTCGACGAGAAATTATTGATGAAATCCCTGGTTCGGACCGTCATTTTGCCGTTTTCAGTATTTACTGGGACGTGTGCCGATTCGAAGATGGCCGCGTAAAGTGCAATCTGCGAATTTCGATCTTTAAATGGGACAGAAGTTAAGTGGTTTGAAAAAAAACCAGCGAATTTTCGAACGAACCACCGAAAAATATTTTTCTCCAGCATTGGTAAATTTTTTGAGAAGGAGTATTTACCTTGAAATTACGAAATATAATACTTTATTTCGTATATATTGTTCAAAAATCCTCTCTGTCAAAGTTTTTAGAAAAAAAGCTGAGAAAATGTTCAGAAGGGTCTCGAAGCGAAAAGCCATTCTTAAGCCTATTTTTGTTGAGCTAGACCTATATGCCTTGATATGAACACAAAAACCCTAAATTTAGTGTGAGAACCTGGAAAATGTTGCTATGAAATGCGCTGAGTTTTTGAATAAGTTTTCGAAGTCAATGAACTTTCAAAAAGTCTCTTTTTTTTTTCTTTTTCAATTTTTCCATTTTACATCAAAAATTGTTTTCGAATTTTTTAAATAATGAATGAAAACGACTTTAACATTGACTTTTTCTTTTCAAGACTTCATATAAAAATCGGATTTTCCCGCTATAGGTCGTTCAGATTTTGAACGTCATGTTGTCGCTCAAGCTCCGCCCCTGATGATGCCATAAACCAATCAGAGAGCAATTTCAAAATGACGTCATTTGTCTTGACATCCAAAATTTGAACAGAATATACAATGACGTCATTCGAAAACGCTCTGTGGATGGCTCGATTTGTGATTGGTTCATCGGGTCGTTAGGGGCGGAGCTTGAGCGATTATTTGACATTCAAAATATCAACATAATGTATTCTAACTCACGTCTTTGTACGGATCCTTATACTTTTCGAGGAGTTGCCTGAAAGAAATTTCGACGTAATCTTCAGTTCCGTAAAGCTTCTTCGTTTTCGGATTGTATTTCAAAAACTGGCCTTTTTCACTTGCCGCGCCAGGCTTCTGAAATTCCGACAAGAGTGTATGGAACTGTAAAAAGTTTCCGAATATTCTAGAATTCTAGAAAAGTTGATTGGTTTTTATAGTAAGAATTTTTTGTAAGTTGATTTTTAAGTTCAAAGCTGTCTCCAAAATGCGTATCCTTCCTTTTACTCCGAGCTACAAAACCTTTCTTTTCGATGCGCCTTTCCACGGACATGCGCCTTTAATATGACGTGAAATTTAGGCTAAATTAAAGGCGCATGCATAGAGGCAGGTCGTGGGATTCGAAGGGAAGCTTCCCGTACATCTTTTGTTTTCATAGATAGAAACAAGTCCCTAAAATCTCTCGTTTTATTAAAGGCGCATGCACAAAAATAATCTCTGCGTATCGAAAAGAAGGGTTCTGTAGCCTGGAGGAAAATTAAAATTGTGACTAGCATAAAACAAATTCGCGAATCTTCATTTCGTACCACCATCCACTTACACTACTCAATCTCTCCCACGGCCACGGATAAATACAAATCGAGGGACCTTCAGTCCTTTTCCAGGTCCAATCCGTTATTTGAGCCTGCATTGCAATATATTTTATATCCTCAAAGGATAACCAAACTGAAAAAAAAAATTTAAATTCTTCATAATCAAAAAATGAGGTACTGGTGAAAAGTGGGAGTGTTCCTCGGTATGTTAAGAACATCATCCGGGCGACTTCCTCATCGAAAGTCCCACTCAGGTCGATCTCGGGAATTTTCCAATCAACCTGATTTTTTTTTCTCAAATCTCAATTAATTTCCTATTTACCTCGGCCGTTCTCGCACAAAATATCATGACCGAATGCACTACGACCGGGGACCATCGAAATATGACATTATTGACGAAACTTACGTCGGCTGGGGGCCACAGAAACATTAGTCTAGAAAAAAACAAGATTAAAAACAGGGAAAAAAAATCACACAACAAGGAAAAAAGTTTTGCTCAAAATTGACTAAAATAAACTTCACAATCCAAGATCGAAGTTGTCTCAGTAGTGGCGTTTCCATTCGATATTAAAAAAATGAAAATTGCTCCGAAACGCATCAAAATTGCTTCAAAACAAAAAATGGTACTGCTTCGAAGCAAATTTGAGGCGTTTAGCTTTCTGTTTTACAATAGCAAGACGTAATGGAAGCATAAAATACACTTTTTAAATTTAAAAAATCTGAAAAAAGGCAAAAACCAAAACGCGCGTGGAAATTAAGTTTCTGTATCCCTTGCTGGTGCTTGCAGTAAGATGTTCTACAGTACTTTTTTTATTATTTTTTTGTTTCAGATTTGCGATTTTGTTTTTTTATTTTTTTCGAGGGAAAATTTTTCCCTCGATAAAAATTTTTTTCTAATTGGCTGAAAGGTTTGTTTCAAATCTCTGTAAGGTTGAAGTACGTCATTTTCAACAAGAATGGTTGATTTCTGTTGAGAGGGTTTTCCTCACGGAGATTAGCTTGTTAGAAAGAATTTTTGTTTCAGATTTGCGATTTTGTTTTTATTTTTTTCGAGGGAAAATTTTCCCTCGATAAAATTTTTCCAATTGGCTGAAAGGTTTGTTTCAAATCTCTGTAAGGTTGAAGTACGTCATTTTCAACAAGAATGGTTGATTTCTGTTGAGAGGGTTTTCCTCACGGAGATTAGCTTGTTAGAAAGTTTAAAGCTGAATTTTTCTATGCTCAAAGTGGCAGCTTTCGAAAAGAGGCTTCACAATGAGAAGGCTATTTTGCTCATTTTTGGAATAGGAACATTTAAAATGGAGACCAAATCGCTTCAAAACTTCGAAACTCAAACGCTTGTTCCGGAGTTTTTGCTCCTTTCTCTGGTCTTTCAATTGTTCTGTGGCACCCATTCACTCAACCGTTCATGGGATTTGCTCAGTTCCGCTAGAACGCGTTTAACGCCCTCTTTTTCCTTTCCAGAAATAACACTTTCAGCGGCTTTCACTTGCTCCGGGATAAATCCACCACTCTCGAAACTGGAGCAAATTTCATCCGCCTTTCGTGTTTCTTTCTCAAAATTTGTGTTTTTTTGTCAAAATTTGACAGAATTTTCACTTTTCTTTTTATTTTTGAAGTCGTTTTTACACGAATTATCATTTGCAGTAGAAAGAATCACCTGTTTTTCCTGTCTGCTTTTCTATCGCTTCAAAATTTTGTAGTTCGTAGTACATTTTTTCACTTTGGCGGGCGGAAAACCGCCCTCCGGAGACCTCATTCACTTGTATTCCTAGTTCTAGCGCTCAGAAAATCGTTCCTAAAAATTTTAAGCAAATGAGAGGTGAACTTTTTTTTTCATTTGTATCAAGTCGAGTTAAGGTTTTTTTATTATTAGTACAAAATCAAACATTAAACAGATCAAGCGCGAAATCTTCAATATAAAAAGGAAACCACAAAAAAAAACTGAAGAAAATAAAATGAATGCTCCTTTCCTTTGCCGATCTTTTTTTTTTTCTTCGACAGTTTTTTCTTGTCAATTTTCCTGTGTCATTTTTGTTCTAGCCGATGAAAGTTTTTTTTTTGCTTTTCCGAACGTCCCAGCAAAGATTTTTTAACAGATAACAACGTTATAATGGCTCTCTCTCTTTTTTTTTTTGAAGAATTGAAGTTCTCCGTGCAGAATAACCGATTCCCTTCGCTTCGGGTTGTTTCAAAGAAGAAAAAAAAATTTTGAAAACCTTACAGCACGCAAAAAAAAGGCTTTCGCAGTAACCAAGCTGAGGGCCGGGAAACAGAAAAATAAAAATCACCTTTTGAAAGCACAGTAGAAAAAAGATACCCTGAACACAGATTTTTTTTTTTCGCACTTTTGCTCTACAAAACTGCTTTATCCAGCGCGATAGAATTGCGATATCGCTGTCTTCATTGCATCGCGCAGGTCTTAAAATTTTCTAGGTGTGACCTCGAATTCCTCTAGCAATTGTCCCTCACTCAAAAAAAAAACTTTAAAAATTTTCAATGCGAAGCCGCGCCGAGAAAAATGCGATGTCGCGCGCAGAAAAAACGCGATATCGCGATAAGGAAAGAACAAGTGTGACGCGGCTATAAAGCAGCACTATCGCAAGGTCGTCAATGTACCGCCAGCGAAATCGCTGTTATCTCTAAAGTATATTTAAAGTGTTAAAAAAAAAACAGGTCTTGAAACGAATTTTAGTCAAATTCGGTATACTGTCTCTTTTTTTGTGAGAATGAGTCTTTAGTATAGGTAATCCTTCTCGACTTGAAGGTGAGATATGTAGATTGGCAAGGATGACGCGTTGCGTACGCGACGCGGCTTCTTGGCGAGTAATTTGAGAGCTCCTACTTTTCTTATTTTTGAGATTTTTTCGATAACTTTTCATTTTTCATGGTATTTCGTTTAAGTATGTCACTATGAAGAAACAAAAAACTTTTTTTCCTTCGAGTTTCCCGCCAAAAAGCCGCGTCGCGTACGCAACGCGCCACCCTTGTCAATCTACAAGTTTTGCCTTCCAAGTCGTATAATTTTTTTGAAATGTTCCATTCAAAAGTCGAGCAGAGTTCTCCGTGTACCCATTCAACTTCGTTCCTCGTTTCGCAAAAGAAGAAAAAAGTTTCGAAAAGCCTTACAACGGGCAAGAAAGGCGTTTGCAGTCGCCAAGCTGAGGGCCGGCGGCTCAGCGACGGCGCCGCCTCTCTTCAGTCGCCGGCAGATGTCGCTGTCGGTGGCGACGACGTCGCGGCCCGCCCGCGCCGCCGCCAGTCTCATGCGAAGCAAGAGCGCCGAGAAGGCCCGTCACAGCAGCAGCATGATCGAGGCCATCAAGGTTGGTTCTTCTTTCTTTTCCAAACTCTTCTCAAAATTTCAAAGATGTTTTTGTTTACTGAAAGTATAGTTTTGTTATGAGATCTGGTGAAAATGACAAAGGATCGTGTACTTATTTCGAGTGACCACTTAAGTGCGTAAAAACCCTCAAGATATCCCTAGAACTTCTTATAAGCGGCTTTGTGTTAACTCAAATGAAGTCGTGCTTAAGAGAAAGCGAATTGTTTACTCGAACCTAGAGGGTTCCTGATCTTCTCCATGGATCACTTAAGCATCGTAAAACTCTTAAGGGACCCCTAGAGCGCCTAAAAACATTTTCGCATGTAGTTGAAGGAAAATTTGTGTTTATTGAAAGTTCAGTGGAACCTCTGACGTTTCTGACGGTTTCTACTGGCAACTTAAGCGTTGAACTCTTAAGGGAACCCTTGAGAAGTTTCTAGTGACCACTTAAGAGTCGTAAAAACCCTCAAGGTATACCTAGAAATGCTTAGAAGCATCTCTGTGTTAACTTTAATGAAATGGTTCTTCAAATAAAAAAAAAAATTTTTTTTAATCGGACTTTCGACGTCTCTGACCTTTTCCAAAGATCACTTCAGCATCGTTAAAGCACTTGAGTGATCCCTAGAACGTCCTAAAAGGTTTTCGTATGAAATCAAGGGAAAATATGTTTTCATGAAAAGTTTACTCAGACCTCGGAAAGGTCCCGGATAATTCTAGTGACCACTTTAGTGTCCTAAAACTCTTAAGTGACCCATAGAATCGCTCAAAAACAGTTTTTTTGAAGTTAAATGAAAATGTGCTCTAATGATAATCAATTATTGACTCGGACCTCGGTAAAGCCCCGGTCAATTCTAGTGACCACTTGAGAGTCGTGGAAACCTTTAAGTGACCCCTAGAGAGGCTAAAAACGTTCGGATTTCCCGGCCAAGCTTCGAGTGAGTACTAATAAAAGATTGGTGAAAAAAAAGCATGGGAAAGTTCCTTTTGCAAAGCCTTTTCGAATTTCCGGGAATTTTCTAGTTGCTTCAAAGAAATTGAAAACTTTGAAAAATCAAATGAAAAGATCAAAAGAACCTTTTGAGGAGCTTTTCCGAGTTTCCCCATTCTAAAAGTACCTTTTCTAAAATAACACAAAGCGATTTCCGAGTTCGAAAATCTCCGTATCGATTAGGAGTTGAAGCCTCATTTCCAGGCGAAACCCTTCGAGTCAATAATTAAAAGCGGGCAATAAGGGGTTATCAGCCGCTTTATTATCATTCTCGATAATCCCCCTGTGAGCTTTACGTAGAAGCTTTAAAAATAGAAAGGCTTCAACTTGGAAAAAAATATGTTTTCTGAAAAAAAAAAGGGGAATAATAATAATGCGGTTGATGAGACGGTTGAATTGAACTTATTCAGAGGTCATTACGTAGAAAGAAACAACCGTCTTTTGAAAAAATCACGGGCAAAGTCCAAAAGGTCTCAAAAAGGACTTTCGGAAAAAAGGTCTCTAATGCGCCTCTTTTCTAGACTTTTTTCTGAAAAGGACCTTTTAGCGAGGACTAGAAAAATAAGGCGGAAAAAAGAACTTTTTGACACCTTTTTAAGAACTTAAAAAAGAGCTTTAGCCTCTCTTTTTTAAGGTCGTTTGGACTTTCGCTGTTAATAGATGTAAAAAGGGCTAAAAAATCCCTCTAGGGGCCACTCTGGCGTTCCTTAACACTGAAACTTCTTAAAGATATTTTTCAACAAAAAGTTCAAAGACTTCTCTAGGGGCCACTTAAATTTTAGGGGCTTTGGAGTCGGACTCTAAACCCTATAGGGACCACCTAAAGTTTATCCCTCTAGAGAGCACTATTCATAGAAGCTGTTTCCCCCTTCCCCCAAATCCCTATGACCACTCTGGCGTCCCAAAAAATGCATTAATTTCAAACGGGAATCAAAACGTGTCTCCAGTCTTGACAGGTCTAGACAAAGTCCCAAGATTAATTGAATTTCCGAGGCGAAAGTTGCCGCTTTTTCGAAAAAGTGTTGGAAGTTTCGGGCCATATGGTGATGAAGCCATTGCGAAAAACTTGAAATATTAGATTTTCTTGGAAATTTAAGACAAGGCCCAAATAAAAAATGGTTCTAGGATCCATTAGGGGTACAAAGAGTTCAGTGACCCTTAGCTTAATCGAGAGGAGCTGAAAAAGGGAAAAATTTGTTCTTTTTGGTCAGAGTTTTCATATTTTCTCATTTTCTTGGCTTGGATTGTTTCTTATTCCGAGAGAGATTTCGAAATTAACAATTTTTAATGAAGATATTGGAAATTTAACGCTTAAAAATATATTTTGAACTTTTTTTCTTTCAAGTTTTTTTGACTTATTTTTCAAACTTGTATCGAAAAAAATGTGGGATTTTTTTCTCCCTGGAGCGATTTATCCGGTCTTTCTAAGCTATTTTTTCAAAATTTATCTATTTTATCAATCCTTGGAGCGTAGAAGCTCATTATTTGGACGATTTTTGGAAGCTAGATATATTTTCCTGAGCTACTGAGAAATTGAAAACTCGAATTTTGTTCATTTTTCGTTTCGAACATCTAAATTTGGAAGTTTTTGTTAGAGCATGTGATTATTAGCTTACTTCTTCTTTTTTGAGTAGTTATTAGTGGGCGAAAGCTTATTTTATCCGTGGAGCGCAGTGTTGAATCTTTCGCGGCTGTTTTATCACAACTTGTAAAAGTAGATTTGGGTCTTTCAAACAAGTTTTTTGCACTTCTGGGGAGCTGAAAACCCATATTTATTGTGCTATTCTCGTCTGGGACAGCCATAATTGGTAGTTTTCAATGGGATAAATAAAAAAAATAAGGGTCCAAAAAAAATTTTTGTTTTTTCAAAAGTAGTTCTCTGCCAATAATTTTCTGAAAGTAGCATTTTTTAAAAATAAATTCTGGTCTTGCAACGTAGTTTTCTACATTGCTGGAACTGTCAAACAGGAAAAAATGGCGGTTTTTGACCTCGAGTTTCCCGCCATGAAGCCGCGTCGCACACGCAACGCGTCCCTCTTGCCAAATACCTATCTCGTCTTTCTAGTCCGGAAGGATTGACTATAAATTGTCCTGAAAATAGATTTTATTTCTTCAAAGTATTCAACTGTACTGCTAAGAAGCTGGAGACCTAAAATTATTGTCCTATTATCGTCTGGGATTATAAATCAGAACCAAAATTGGTATAGAATATTCACGGCTAGCTTGGGACGAAAAAAGCCGTGGCCTGTCTGCACTCTCCACCAACCAGGGCACTGTCTCGTCTCTTTTCGTGGCAGGACCCTTTTCTCGATGGCTCCAAGCCAGCATCCTGTTTATTTTTTTCGGGAGCTCGTTTTTCTGGGTGTTTTTTCTTGCCCTTCCTAGCTTTTGCCTTCATATTTCGTGCTATCAAGATAATTTTATCGATTAGTAGTTTTGAGATTTTTCTTGGGATTCCAAAAATTAAGGCTTTCAAAATAGATTTCACTCCTTCAAAGTGTTTTCCTGCACTCCTGAAAAGCCAAACACCCATATTTATTGTCCTATTCTCGTCTGGAACATAAATCACAGCCGAAATTGGTAGTTCCTGAACGGCGGCCGGGGATGAAAAATGGCGCCGATGGAGGCGGCGGCGGCTGGGCCAACACACGTGTGCCCTAACCAATTTGCGCTCATTTCACGACGGCAAAAGCCTTCGTCCGGCTCTTTTTTCCTCCCTTCTCTATCTGGTTTCAATTCGTATTTGATTCACTCTGATTTGCCTTTTTTCTCGTTTTTTTTTCTGAAGAAAATGGAAAGTTTGGAACGATTTTTTTTAGAAAATTCTGTTAGAAATTCGATTTATTAGGGAATCTTATGCCTTGGACCGTCTTATAAAAAATAATTAGGAAATGTCTGACCCTCTTCTTTTCACACCCTGTTTTGCTGATCGGGAAGAAATTCTGCTTGATCACTTACTTTCTTGTGCTTGAAAGCGCAAGTCGCTTTGGGTCGGTTGATCTCTAGAAACAACCCGTTGAGCGTCGAGCCATTCCAAATGCGACCATAAAAAAAGAGTCCTTTCTGGGAAAATTTTTAGTGACCACTATAGAGGCTCGCCAAGGGCTACTTGGAGAGGACACTAAAGTGGCCACTAAATTCACCTCTATAGTGGCCACTATAGTGGCTCTCTATTAAGTGGCCACTTCAGTAGTTTTTCACCCAGTATTCCCTCCAGTAACTCTGATAATTTTAAAACAAACAGATTGGGCCAGTTATGTTGATCCATCGACCCCTAAAGTGGCCACTAAAATTTTAGTGGCCTAGTAGCAGCACTTAGACCTCTACAGTGGCCACTAATGTTTAACCCCTTAAGTGGCCACTAATTTGACTACTATAGTGGCAACTAAAACGTCAAAACTCTATAATGGCCACTAAAAGTCTTTTTTCGACTTTTTCGCTTCACTTCGGAACTTCTAAAGCGGCCCCTCTAGGGTCAACCGTAGGAGCCCTTGAAGTTCTCTAGGAACCACTTTACCTCATCCTATGGGGGTTAAAAAACGGAAAACTCTAGGGGTTTTAGCTAGTGGCCGCTCTAGGGGAGCATGTCCATATTTTATCCGTATTTCTCACTTTTTAACCGGGGAAAAAATAAATAAAAGACCCTGAAGGGACCACTTAGATTTTAGGTCTTTGGGTAGTTTAAAGGCCAGTCCCTAAAGGGACCACCTAAATTTTACCCCTATAGGGAGCGATTTTTTCCACTCTTTAAAAGCTGTTTTTTACCCTTAAACCCTGTAGGGATCACTCTAGGGTTCCTAAGTGCGAGAGAAATGAATTAATATTATTATTATCAATATTAACTTCTATTCTATATATTTCTCCTGATTGAATTTATGATTTATCCCGTAGAAAACGACATATTTCAAAGCATTTCATCGCTAATTTTTTCATTCATAGGCTGGATTTCCCACACATTCCGCCCTGTGGGAAATAACAATCGGAAAGACGGCTAATTTGACCTATTTGTTTATTTGAAGCCCTACGACGACCCGAAGCTGCCCTTTTCCTCATTTCAACCTTTCTTTTGGCATTTTCCTTCTTGATATTTTGGAAATAATTGATTCTTAGGGATGTAAAAAGCTTTTTTTTTTTGAATTTTTAGGTGCGAAACTATAATTTTTGGAAAATTCATGCCTTTTCAAAAGAATTTCCAGTTGAAATAGTAAAAAGTACAAGTTTATTTTTTTTGTGTCTTTTTTTAAATTTTGATGAAAAAAATTATTAAAGTACAACTTATAGAAAAATAAAAAAAGAAGAATTCCTTCCTAAATTTCTAGGCGCAAAACTATAATTTTCGAAAAAAATTGTTGCGTTTCAAAGAGAATTTTCAGCTTCCCTTCAAACTTTTTTTCCTGGAAATTTAGTGTTTATTTTGAAAATTATTATTACTGTCAATGATAGAATGTACAATAAGTTTCGTAAATAGAAAATACTTTCATAAATCTGAAAATTACAAGCTTTATTCTTTCACAAAGCTGTTTCTCGCTCCCAAAATGACCCCTGGATAAACATTTTAAGCGAAAATCAAAAGATCATTTTTCGGAAGTAGACATTTTGGAGAACCTTCTAGGATTTTTTTAGGACTGAAAAATTTTTCTATTTTATTATTTTTTCCATTCCTTGTGATTCATTGAAAGTTTCGGGATATAATTTTTTTGCTGATCAATTTTCGACTCAACTTTTTTTGGTTGATTTTTAATTCTCAAAAAAACAAAAATCAGAGGTGCCGTTCAAAAAAAGCTCCATGGACTATTTTCAGAGGTTCAGAGTTCATTAGTTTCATTGAAAATCGGTGTGATTGAGAAATAAAAAAACGATAAATTGAGATTTTTTGGCTTGTTTCCGTTCAAAATTTTGTAGATCGAAATAAGTATTTTTTCGTCTTTTTGAAGATCTCTGGGTTTTTCTCAAGGTCTTAGAGGCCTTTGACTAAAACATTCACTGCGTAAATTCTGGTAAGTTTTTTTTATTCAAAATTTTCAACACTCAAACAAGTAGAGCCTTTTTTTCATTTTTTGAGATCTCTGGATTTTTCTCATTGTTAAGAAACGTCATTGACTAAACTTAATTTTTTTCTAAAAAAATTTCATTAAAGTTAAAAAAATCTTTTTTTTCAAGTAGATGATTTGTTGAACAACGCGTTTTCTGTGTATACTTACAAAGGCTAAATAAAAAAAATAAGCCATTTTTCGTGGTTTTTGGACCTTTTCCACTGTTAAAAGACGTGTTTTGTTCAGTCCAGACTTGTAAAGATTGACACAAAAAAACCTAATTTGTTTCGGAATCTTTAAAAATCTCTGGACTTGTCTGAAGGCTCACGGACGTCACTGACTAGGCCCAGTTTCATTGGGAAATTGGGGAGATTGTGGAACCCCCTGGAAAAGCCGTTGTCCATAAATGGAGTGGGGGGCCGCCGGCTCGACTTACTGCGTCACGCTCCGAACAAGGAAACGCCGAGAAGCAGAGGAAATCGAGCACGGCGAAAACACATGGAGACGGCCGGGACAAAAGCTGGTGTCTGCTCCTCCAGGAAGAGAAAAAGTCGCCCCAGGCGACCTGCAACTTTCCCCCGTTTTTCTACTTTTTTGCCTTCCCTGTGACGGCTTCAAGAAGGAACCTTCGGGCCTTTCTGTGTCTATTTTCGACTGGAACAAAACTTTCTGGATACTCCTATCTTCTGAGCTTCTTCCTGAACCTTCTCGTCATTTTTTAAACAGAGAACCTGCCGGGATCATCTACGGAGAAGCTGCCGGTCTTCTGAGCTTCAGGCAAGAGGAAAAGCTTGACCTTGAGCTGGATCATCTGCTTCAAAGGCTTCTCTCGAGAGCTGGACCTCTTTTTTGAAAGAGCTTGACCTGATAGCTGCAACTATTTTTGAGAAACGTTTGGTCTGAGAAGAAGCTAGATTCCTCAGCCTTTCTCTGTGATTTTAACTACTTTTCGGAGCCTTTCTGAGCTTCATTTGAAGCTTCTAAGGCTTTTCCTTATCAAAGAAGTCTTTTGGAAGCTTCTGGCAAGAAAAGAAGCTTGATTTCTCTACCGGAACGTCTTCTGGAAATCTTCTACACCTCCCTGGAAAGCCTAAAGCCATTCTGATCCTAGAATTCGGACTTTTTGGAGTTTCTACGCCAAAAGAAGTTATTTTATTCCTTCCAGTACTGTCTGGAGCTGAATTCCTGAAGTTTCTGTGAAGAAGAAGCTGACTTTATTCCGAATTTTTCAACTTTTAAGCCCTCTAGCACTTCTGGATCATCTACAGGAGTCTGAAACTTCTCGAATTTTTCAAGTTTTTAAGCTTCATATTCTACTAAGACGACACTTTTCAAGCAGCCCCAGTTTTTGAGCATCTGCTGGACCTTCTCGTCATTTTTATAGAGAAAATGTCGGTTTTGTGAGCTCCAGGCAAGAGAAGGAGCTGGACCAACTTTTTAAGCTTCTGGTGAAGCCTGACATCCATCTGAACCAAAAATCTTCAATCTTTGAAGTTTTCTGTTAGAAGAAGTTGGATATTCTGAAGAATACTGAAAGCCGCTTGATCCTGGACTATTCCTACCCTTTTTGAAGCTTTTGGAGGAGCTCAAAATCAGCAGAAAACACCTTCTCGAGGCTGAAAAATACCCAGAACCCTTCAAAAAGCCTATTTTCCGCCAAAAAGCCTCCAAAAAGGGGTACTTGAAATCTATTTACTGACTTCTGAACTGCCCGAAGAAGAAATAATAATTATTTTCTGAAGTTGAACCAAAAAATTGGCTTCACCGACTCCTACTCGCTTACTTTTCCGCTTCCCGACGGTCTCAGAGTCAAAAAGACCGACTTTTAAAGACGTCTGAGCTTCCCGATTTATTCCAATTTTATTCAACACATCGGCCAACCGATTGGCCCTCCTCCACCTTCAAAATTCCACTGAAAGTGCCCTTGGAGGCGAAAAAATCGTCGAAAATGGTGGCCAACGGGTGCTTCACCTCCCCACGAGGACTCCTTTCCCAGGGATCGTTTAGAAAGGTTTTTTCCGAGATTTTTTATCTTTTTGATATCATTTGTAATAAATAAAATATTTTTTTAGGTTCGAAAATTATGAATATTATTTTTTTTTTGTTGATATTTTTCATTGCAAAACGAATTTCTTGGGTTTTTGACATGGAAATGATTTTTCTGGTTTCAGTTCATCCCTAGAGTGACCACTTTTAAATTTCTAGCGGCTCGTTTTGATTATGTGGTCCCTATAGGGGCCCCCTGCACTATAGGATTTTTTTCCAAAGGTCAAAAATTTTTACTTTTTTTTTTGTATTGTTGATAGTGTATTATTTTTTTGAAAAAAAGGCTCTTTTTTTATTATTTTATTTTATTTTATTTTATTTTATAAGGTCTTTCAATTCCGATTTTCTAACTCTATAATCTTTTTTTGTACCGTTTTTTTGATTAAATTTTTTTCAGTTTATCATTGAAAAAAATCATTTCTTTTTCATTAACAATCTTCAATTAAATAATAAACACTGAAGACCAAAGATTTTCTGAATCATATTTTCAACAAAAAAAAGCTAATAGACGCACTAGACCATGAAAGGAAAAACAATACGTTTTTTAGTCATCCCAGTCTTTTTTCTCACTTTTTTTCGGAATCAGTGGTTGTGAAATTGTTACGAAATAGGAATTTATCCACATTTGTGCACGTTTTTCTTGAGAAATCTGCTTCTTTGGACAGAAAAAGGAAAACGTTGTTATTGGCAATGGTTTCTATGTCTATAAATAACGAAAAAAATCTCCATATCGTCATGAATATTTTATCTCGATTTGTAGTTTTCCCATTCATTCGAGACACTTTTTGGACGAAAATTGGTTTTTTTTTTTGAGGTTTTTAGAATAAAATTTGAATTTAGTTGATTTTTTTTTTTTGAAGTTTTAAGATTTTGAAAGGTTTTCCATTTTTTTTTGAACCGGGGAAATTTATTTTTGGTGAAATTTTCCAAATTTAAAGCTAATTTTGGAGCTGTTGGAGTCTGAAAAAAACATTTTCTGTTTTGAAATTGGTTTTTTCTATTTTTTTATAAGTTTTTTTTGATTCCTATGTACTTTTCTTTCATATCAAGTTCGATTCAAGAAAAAAATTTGGCAATTTTCAAGGCCCAATATCATTCTTTTCAGTTTCAGTCGTCTTATTTGTCAAATCCATTTTTTATTAGTCCAGTTATACAAGGTTCTGGACACTTTTTGTAAAAAAATTAATTAGATTGATTTTTTTTGCCTTTTTGAAATTTAAAATGTTTGCGAGGTATTTTTCCTTTTTTTAATTTTTCTATTATTCAGGCCATAAAATGAGTTTTTTTCTTAAAAAGATTTATTAAAAATTGAACTTTTTGATAGATTTTTTTCAGCTGAAGTCACAAGGAAAAAAAGTAATTTACAGTCTTTTTAATTTGTCTTTTTCTCTTTTCTCCATTTTTTCGAGTTCATGATTTTAAACGGAGAAAAGAAATTTTGAATTTTGATGAGTCTTTTCTAGAGCCTATAAAATTTGAAAAATTGAATTTTTGAATTTTTTTGTGAGTTTTTTTAAGCTGAAGTCACAAAAATCCTTTCTGTTTTATACACTTATTCTCGAATTTTTTTCCTTCAAATATTATTTTCAAATAAGGCGCGACTTGAATTTTCTAATTGAAACGTGTCCAATGATGGGTTGAGAAGCTTTTTCCAGGGCCTATTAAATTTAAAATATAAAATTCGAATAATTTTTGGATTTTTTTAGCTGAATTTTTAAGCATTTTTCTTTGATTTTGGTTTTTTTTTATTCAGCTTGTATTTTTTTCCCTCTAGAATATTTTTTTGGGTTCATACTTTTTGAAAAGGAGGAATAAAAAGGCTGACGATTTGAGCAACTTTTTTTCTGGAGTTTTGAAGCTTTTGATCTGAATTTTGAATAATTTCTTGATTTTTGAGATCAAGTCACAAGAACAAAATTATTACACGTACTTTTGACTTTTTTAAATTTTGAAGTCTGAGCTTGGAATACTTTTCTAGTTTGAACGGGTCCAATGACGAGTTGAGCACCTTTTTCAACAGTTTTGAAGCTTTTGGTTTGAATTATGAACAATTTCTCAACTTTGCAGCTGAAGTTGCACTCGGACCGCGGGGAGGGGGCGTCGCCCCACGGGCTGTCGTCCCCGTTGCTCTCCCAGCAGCTCCTCGAGGGCTACACCGAGGAGGAGCTCAACGAGTACCGACAGGTCTTCAACATGTTCGACGCCGGTATATTTTTTGCCTTGAAGGAAGTAGAAAATCCCAAGTATAGTCGGTGTACCACGACTTGGAATTTCACCGAACGACATTCCGCTGTTCCGCTGCGTGCTCGGCCGCGCCTTTTATTTTACGGAACAGCGGAATGTCGTTCGGTGAAATTTCAAGTCTTAGCACACAGACTATATCCCTCCTTTGTCCTGCAAGTGAAAAAAAAAGGCTTCAGCTTCATTTTTGAAGTCCTAAATCTCTATTCTTGGTCTGGAAAGTAACGAAAAAATGAAGAAAACTGAAATAACAGGGGTAGGAAAAAAGGACCGTGGGGAATTTTTCTAAAGTTGATATATTTTGTTTTTTTTTTTCAAGTTCGCGAGTTTTTTTCACGTAGTAGAACTTGAGTGGTCATTGAAGGGGCTAGGGAAAAAAGCCCCCTTCAGTGCACAAAATAATGTTCCGTAGAAGGTTCTAAGCCCCCGAAACTTAAGTGGTCCCTATAGGGGTCTTCTGGTTGTTTTTATGATTTGAAAGTTTGTGTATAGAGTGGCCCTTTTGCAAGCTTCAGCGGTCCCTTTAGGGGTTGGTAAAATGGTCCCTAGAGAAGACCCTCCAAGGTTCCCCCTTTAAGGACAGCTATGGAGTCCCTAAGTAAGATGAAAAATCGAAAAATTGATCTTGCTCAGACTCGCAAAATCAAAAACCTTGAAAACTCCGATTTTGGTGGAAATATTCATAGACCTCTTTAAATTGTAATCTGAAAAATTTGGGTAGTTTTTTTTAGAAAATCAAGACATTTATTGAACCCAAAAGTAAACCTCAAAAAAAAAGAACTTCTTTGAGAGGTTTTACCTGTGCTAAGTCGCTCACCTTTTTGGCCTATTTTGAAGATTTTTCCGTCAATGTTCGTAGATCTGGCACTCACAAAAAGGAGAAAAATTCACTTTTATCTTTTCGCCAAAACAGCAAAGTACGCGAAGATTCTATCATAAAATATTTTTCATCAGCATTTTGTGGCCAACCTGTGGTAATTATTTAGGGGGCACTTTAGGGTTTTTAGACGTTTTAGTGGCCACTTTAGTGTTCTATCCAAGTAGTCCACGAGGAACCGCATAAGTGAGCACTAGAGCTTTTTCTCAGATGTCTCTATTTTAATTAATATATATATATATATTTTTTTTATTTACTCATAATTAATTTTTTTAAGCTTCACGAACATTATGTACCCTTACCGTAAGCCAAATTTATGAGAAAAAAATATAAAAAAATCGGGAGAAAATGAGAAAAAAATTTCGGTTTTTAGCACAATTTTGAGCAAAAAAATCAACCCTTTTTTTCGTTTCTTATAATAAAATTTCTTGTGAAAATGGTCAATTTTTTTCCGATTTTGAAGGGATTTCTTGAGCAAAAAAACACTGAGAAGCAATGAAAAGCGTTATGGCCTCGAAAATCGTGTTTTATTAGCCATATGCTTTGAATTTTCTGCTTCGATCCGAAATTTTCCCCTTCCTTGAGATTTTACTATGAGCTGTACCTACACAAATCCCTAATCTTTAGTATATTTTCATTAAAAACAAAAATTTCCTATCAGAATTGGCTTGATTCAATCAAGTTCCGTTTCAATTTATCCCCTCCCCCTTCCACCTTTTTCGGGTCTTGTTTTTCACTTTATGCCGTTCCCATGGCACTGCCCGGAGCAATTTGTTCGATTTCAGCTGGATTTCTTCCTCGAAATTTCTTTTTTTGATGAATATAGATGTTTTTTTTGAATAATTTTCGAGTTTATTTTTAGCTTTTTTTCTACTTAATTTTTCTACAGAAAGTGCCCAAATTTTTCAAAAAAATTGTCCCAATTTTGGGATTTCAACAGCTTTTTTTCGCGAAAAAGTTGATTACTTCATGAATTTGAATAATGATATGAAATCTTTGTTTTTTTATAAAAATTGTTGAAAAAAAGTAAACCAAGGTAGACATTTTTTTAGCTTCAATCAAGCTTTTTTTGACTCAAGTTTCTTGAGAAAAATTTCGAATTTTTTTACAAATTTTATAGCTAAAAAAATTGCTCTTGTCCTTAAAAAAATTCGAATAAAACCATTATTTTTCTGTTTTTTTCAAAATAGTATCGAGAAAGTAAAGCCAAAAATTAGACTGAAAACACTTTGAAATCTTTTTGAGCTGGAATTTCGTCTTATTTTTCAAAGGAAAGTTCAAGTTTTGAGATTTTTACAGCTTTTATCGCTTAAAACTAATTTTAATACTACTGATACCAATAATATGTTTATTTTTTTCTATAATTTTTTTATGTAATTGTTGAAACAGTAAAAGCGAAACAAGGTAGCCTTTTTTTAATAATCTCGAATTTGTCTCAATTTTTAAGGAAAAGTTGATTTCGAGACGGAAAAAGCTCTCAAAAAAATCGCTCGAATTTTAATCTTCTTACTGAAAAATGTGTAGTCGAAGAAGGTTAATTATATTATTTTTTTGTTTAGGCTCGAGTTTCTTCAAAAAAACGCAATTTTTTTGGATTTGAACAGCTTTATTGCTGAAAAATTGACCATTTTTTTCAAAAACATGGATTTCAGGCATTTTTTTGTACTATTGTTGAAATATTAAAGTCAAAACAAGGTAGACAATTTCGAGCCAATTTTTTTAACCCATTTTTTTAGCCATTTTTTTCAGCTCATTTTTAGCCCATTTTCGTCTCTGAAAAACGCACCGAAATTTTCGATAGAAGGTTCAAATTTTCGGACCTTAGAAGCTTTTTCCCGATGAAAATTCTTCTTTTTTTCAGAAATTTGAATAATACCAATAAATCTTCGATTTTCTCCGTTTTTTTGAGAAAAATCAAGCCAAAAAAACAAGTTCACATTTGAACAGCTTTTTATCACAAAAAGATTGAAAAAAATTCGAATTTTTTTCATATTATTGTTGAGAACCTCATCAAAACAAGGGTAATGGCGATCGAATTTCGAGGATTCCCTCAAATCCAATCCCCCAAAAAATCCTTTCATTTTGCCACTAATTTTCTCGTTTTCTTCCTGGTTCTAAACGATTCTTTTTTTCATCCTAAAGTTAGTTTTCAAGCTCTCAAATAGGCTATTTACCAATGGGCCACCAAAAAAAGTTTGTAGATTTTCGTTTTTTGATTTTTCATAACCCTTTTCCTAAAATTGCTACAGATTTATCCAATTTCCAATTTTCCTGATTATTTTACTTTGGTAGAGAAAAGAGAAATATGAGAAGAAGCTCTAAAGAATTTGTGCTCATAAAAAAATAAAATTTAAGCTTATTCAAGCCCATGTACCACTGAGCCATAAATATTCTTTTTGACATTGTTCCTTTTTAAAAGTCAAAATTGACTGACTTTTTAAATCAATTTTCCACTGTAACCATCGCAAAAATGGCAAAAACGAGGAACGGAGTCGAACCTGTGACCTTTTGGAGCTTATTCAAGCCCACAAACCACTGCGCCATAAATATTCTTTTTTTGACATTGTTTCTTTTCGAAAAAAATTTTAAAAAAATAGAAATTACTGACTTTCAAATCAAATTTTCCCAAAGTAACGATGGCAAAAACGGCAAAAACGAGGGAAGGAGTCGAACCTGTGACCCTTTTAAGCATAGTTGAGCCCCCAAACCATTAAGCCATAATTACTTTCTTCTTTGGCATCATTTCCTTTATTTGTCAAAGTCAAAAATGACTGACTTTTAAATCGAATTTCCACTGTAACCATTGCAAAAACGGCAAAAACGAGGGAAGGAGTCGAACCTGTGACCCTTTTAAGCATAGTTGAGCCCCCAAACCATTAAGCCATAATTACTTTCTTCTTTGGCATCATTTCCTTTATTTGTCAAAGTCAAAAATGACTGACTTTTAAATCGAATTTCCACTGTAACCATTGCAAAAACGGCAAAAACGAGGGAAGGAGTCGAACCTGTGACCTTTTTAAGCATAGTTAAGTGCACTAATCGCTGCGCCAAAACTACACTCTTTTTTGGGCATCGTTTATTTATTTTTGAAAGTCAAAAGTGGCTGACTTTTAAATCAATTTTCTGCTATACACATCGAAAAATGGCAAAACGAGGAGCGGGGTCGAACCTGTGACCTTTTCAAGCATAGTTAAGTGCACTAGTCACTGCGACACAGTTTTATTTATACTTTTTAGTTCAATTTAAGCTTGTATTTTTTTTTTGCAGACAGGAGTGGAGCGATCGCCATCGACGAGTTGGAAGCGGCCATCAAGAATCTCGGCGTTGAGCAGACTAGAGACGATTTGGACAAGATTATTGACGAGGTGATTTGATTATTGATTTTTGGAGACTAAATATACTACTAAGGGACGCCAGAGTGGTCCCTAGAGGGGTTAGGCGGAAAACGCTCCCTATAGGGCACAAAATGGTGGTCCCTAGAGGGGTCAAGTTAAGGTGGTTACTAAAGGAGTTCACCAAAAAGACCCTAAAGCCCAAGTGGTCCCTAAAGGGATTTTCGTTACGATTTCAAAGTTAAAAAGACGTGTAGAGACGACCAAATGAAATCTCTAGAGAGGCCACTTTTGCTCGCTGTAGAAAAAGGTAAAGTGGCCCCTGGAGGGGAGCCTTTTAGAGCCCTTTAGGGACCTCTCTAGGGTTTCCAGGTTCTCAGCAATTTTTCGTCCTTTTTTCAAACATTATGAGTAAAAAAGTAAAGATTCGACAACTATCTGAAAAAATAGTAGTTTTGAAAACGTAAAATCATCTTTCAAAAGAAAAAAGTCAATTGAAGGTCGACCAACGGGGCAACCATCAGATCGATTTCGACGAGTTTTGCGTCGTTATGCGACGGCTCACGATGAAGAAAAGCACGTGGAATGAGGTCGTCCGCGAATGTTTCACCGTCTTTGATAGGGTTCGTTTCGAAAATCGGCAACTTCCAAAATAATCGAAAAAGAGACTTAGATGAGTTTACTGCACCATCCCACTTTGAAAGTCTCAACATTTTCAAATTCTACAGTTCTCCGAAGTAAAAACTTCTGACGTTAAAATGTAAGATTGAAAAATCTCTAAATATTGTTCATTTTTTGCTGTTTTTCTCTGCGCCCTCCTCGTCTCTCGACCATCCTCTCATCTCGACGTGATATTTTTTCATCTCTCTGACCTTGCCGGCGAGGGACAGAGAGACGCAGACACTCGAAAACTGTAAAGTCGCGAAAAACCGATTATAATCTTTTTTCTTTAATTTTGATTATGCTAAAAGTGATACCGAAAATCATCCCTAGGCCCTGGGAAACTTGATTATTTTTCAGTTTTTGAAAGATTTTTATCAATTCGAATAGAATTATTTAATATTCAAAAGCTGATTAAAATGAGTTTTTTTGTTTTTTTGAAAAAAATAAAAAAAGTTGGTAAAAGTAAAGTTTATCAACATTTCTGTTCAAAAAGTCGATTTCCAGTGTTTTTCCATGGCTAATTTTATTTTTTTGGTAAGAAAAAAAGTAAAAAAAGTTTATTTTCTCAAAAAAATATTTAAAAAAATAATATTGCGCCGCTAAAATGCCAGGAGAGGGAGACCACCGTAACCCAATGCCTTGATTTTATTTGCGCTGCGAGACCCGACCGCTTCATGTTCGTCTTATTTCTTCGATTATTATAAGAATGATAGAATGGTTTAAAGTCAACTATTTACTGGAATATATTGAGGAACTTATTTGGAACATGGAGCTTTTAGAAAAAATTTGAAATTGTTTCACTTTATGGCTCATTGCTTCAGATGAAAGAAAAATTCTTGTCTTCTTCCACAAATCCAGCAATTATTCGTTCAGTTATTGTCGTAAAAAGTCCACATTGAATATGAAATGTGGTAGTTCAACAAAATACTGCAAAAAAAAACCCTTCAAAATTTCCTTAATTTCGTTCTTATTTGATTTTAGTTCAAATTTAACGACCTTTTCCACATTTTCGACGTTAAAAAGATAATTATTCTAAATAACCAGACCCTAGGTAACATTCCTGCATGAGAAAAACTATGAAATCATGTAAAAATTCCTTATTTTAATAGGAACTCCGTTTCCACAAGAAATAAGCAAGTTTGGCCGGCTACCGTAATCTCTCTTCCTGGCTTGCGTTTGCGCTTCGAGACCCGCTTTTTTTCGATTTTTGTTTTCGATTGTTTTTGTATTTATGAAATTTTAGTCCGAATCCGGCGGGATATCCAAAAAAGATTTCCGTTTCATCTTGAGGGAACTCGGCGACATTACTGATAATCAAGTGATCGATGAGATTTTCAATGAGGTGAGCAATCTTTTTTTTCTAATTTTCATTTTCAAAGTTTCAATTTCTAGGCGGATGTAGATGGAAACGGCGTGATCGACTACGACGAGTTCAGCTACATGGTCAAGAACTACATGACCGACGAGGACATCAACGCTTAAGGGACCCCTTAAAGAAGCAGTTAAAAACCCTTAAGTGACCCCTAGCTCTTAAAAAGTCCCCTATGTATTTCCGCAACACATTGATTACGAGTTTAATACGTATTCCCGAAATATTTATACTTATGAACGATATAAAAATCACTTTAAATGGACGGATTTTTTTTTGGATGGAAAAAGCGTGATAATGTCAAGTACCAGTGATTTACATATACATTAATGAATAAATAAATGGAAGAAACAGAAAATTTTCGGAGTTAGGAATAAATAAGAGCTGGGAAAAGCCACATATGCGGCGAATTTTTGAACCTACAAGTGCGCTCCATGGATAAAAGTTGTGAAAATTGAGATTGGCCTTTTTTTTCTTAACGAAGCACACTAACAGAAAAAGCGCAATTTTATCTTCCCGCGATTGGAAAAGCGGACTAGTTTGTATCTTTTTTTTCGCGCACAAAAATGGACAGGGCGGAGAAAATTGGATGATTTTGTACAAAGTTCCGGCCGACGAAATTTCCTCAGAGAAAAAAAATAGAAGAATAGGATGTTACCGAAAAAGGAGAAAAAAGGTGGATATGCGCACAAGAACTTAATAATCAACAGAAGCAGTGCAAACAAATTAAAGAAGAAAACGCCGCAGAAGGGGAGATTTTCTGTGCTCCACGGACAAATTGCGAAAGTTCCCTGATGGAAGCGAGAGATTGGGGGGGTTCGAAGAGGCGGCAGAGGGCGAGAGAGTCTTTATTTCTCGGGCGTCTCTTCAGGGTTCTGTTGATCTCTCACTTTGAGACATTTTCACGGGATTTTTACCTCAAACACGCAAATCGAAGAGCGAAAAATGATAAAGAAAAAACAAATTATGCTGGGAAAAGGAAGGATTGATTAGGCAATGTAGCTGTAGGCGCGGATGTTGGTGTCGTCGCGGGCCAAATATTCCCTCTCGATCAGAGTTTCGATCCGTTTCTTGATCACCTTCGGGTCCGGCAGGAAACGATGTCGCAGTTGCTGGGTGACCTGAAAAGTCAAAATTTTGAAATTTGCAAAGTTATTCTGCATTTTTAAAAAGACTCTCCCATAATTTATCAAAAAGCTTTTAATGAAAAAGATAAGTTCCTTAAAAACGCCAGAGGGGTCCCTAGAGGGATTAAGGAAAAAAAAGTGTGCTCCATAAAGGGCTAGGACGCAGCTGGTCCCTATAGGGGTTTAAGGTCTGACATTCAAATCCCTAAAGTGGTCCCTATAGTGATCTTCTGGTTTCTGTTATATCAAATGGATATGCTTCTCATAGAGGTACAAAGAAACAATCAAAATAAACGAGCAGTACTTCCCTAAAGTGGCCACTTAACAAGCTTCACTTGGGAAATTCTCAGTGGCCACTTTAGGGTTTTGACCATTATAGTGGTGGAATCAGTGGCCACTTAAGTGACTAAAATTAGTGACCTCTTCAGGAGCCTAATTTCTACTACTAGACCACTGAAAACTACACTAGCGACCACTAAGACCCAAAAAAGTGTCTTCTATAGAGATGGTTCTAGTGGCCACTTCAGGTTCCTCTCCAAGTTATCCTTGAAACCCCCTTCAGTGGCCACTTGAGTTTTTCCCAGTAATGCCTCTTAAGAGGTGAGGTAAAGAGATCCCTTGAGGGGAACCTTCAAGTCTCTTTAGGATAACTTGGAGAGGAACCCTTCGAGGGAATCAAAAATTGACCCTCTAGGGACCACTCTGACGTTTCTAACTTTTTTCATACCTCAGTTATCAAGTTATTGTGGTCGAGGCGCTTCCTGGCCTTCATTATCCGGACGATCGCCGCTTCGACTTCCAATTTTCGGTCTTCTTCCACCTGGAAAACTCGATTTTTCTTCGAAAATTGATAAATTTCGAACCTTTCCACGGGTTTCCTTGATTTCGGGCTCGGTTTCCGATTTTCCACTGACCGTCTGGACTTTCACCCTCGTCAGCTTCGAAGTGAAAGCGTCGTTGACGGAAAATTCGTCAGAAGGTTCTGGAAATAAAATTTCTGGGATGAAGGGAAAAACTGATTTTTTTAAAAAAATCGATTTTTAATGTTTATTATTTTTTTCGATAGAAGGTCATTAAATTTAAAAAAATCATCAAAAATTTTCATTTTTAAACTGATATAATACTTATTTTTCACAGAAAATTCGTCAGAAGGATCTGTAAAAAAGGATAAAAGTCAGGAAAAGAAGGAAAAAACTATTTTATTTTCTTATAAAAATTCCTTTTTACCTGTCACTACAAAAAAATGGCGCGATATTCGAAAAGTTGAACAATCCTAGTTTTCTTTAAAATTTGAAATAATATTCCGTTTTCATTAAAAATCTTTTAATATTCAGAATCAACACCGAGCAACTATTTTTTTTTGCAACTTTATTTAAAAATCCAAATTGAAACCGCTTTCTTGCTTATCTTCGCTTTTATTTGCCTGGATTTTTTTGTTATAGCCTACTCGATGCAGTTGCTTAGGAACGCCAGAGTGGTCCCTAGAGGGATTTAGGATGTGACCCTTGAGCCCCGAAAGCTCAAAAGGACCCTATAGGGGTCATTAATAGAGGAAGGTATATGGAAAACAGCCCCTTCAGGGGACAAAATAGTGTTCCTAGAAGGCTAAAATTAAGGTGGTCCCTAAAGGGATTTATGATTTATGATCTGACCTATGAGCCCATAAAGGTTAGGTTTCCCCTATAGGGGCGTTTTATGGGGAGAAACAGCCCCTCAAGGGGGCAAAACAGTGTTCCCCAGGAGGATAATTCAAGTGATCCCTATAGGGGCTTAGAATCTGACCTATGAGCCCCATAAAGCTCAAGTGGTCCCTATAGGGGTCTTTTAATTTTTCGTCCTGAATTCGAAGTTTAATGGACGCGTATACGGGCCACTAACTATATCCCTAGAGTGGCCACTTTTGCGAGCTTTAGCGCCCCCTATAGAGGTATATACTTAAAAAGTATCCATGGTGCCCCAAACAGGACTCCCTAGAAGGCTGAAATTAGGATGTCCCTAGAGGGATTTAGGATCTCACCTATGAGCCCCTAAAGCTCAAGTGGTCCCTACAGGGGTCCTTTTAACTTTTCGTCCTGATTTGGAAGTTAAAGAGACGTAAACGAGCCACTAACTAAAACCATAGAGTGGCCACTTTTGCAAGCTTAAGTGCCCCTTACAGGGGAAGGTCTAGGGGCCCCTTTAGTGACCACTTTGACTCTCCTCACGGTCAAATAGAGACACCAAGTGACCACTTTAGAAACCTTCTCAATCTTGCCTTCATGTGCCCTCTAGGGACCACTCTGACGTTTTTAAGGTCTTTTTTCCTTATTTTCACAGTTTTTTCGCTTTAACGCTTTCTATGGAGTATAATAAATATTCGATTCTTATAATTTTTCCTCAAACCCACCAATATCTTTTCCAACTTTTCCCTTCCGGCACAAGATTCTCTGTGACGATTTTCCCATGGCCAGGGACTGCAGATTTCGCTTCAAGTCTTTCTCGGAGATTTTCGAGTCATCCTGAAGATTTTCAAAGTTCAGAATAATTCCTGGAAGGGACTCACGAGCAACTGTTGATAGGTGTACCGTTGGTTGTAGTTGAAGTAGAGCAGGATGATCATCTGGTGAGTGCTCACTTGGAGGATTTTGTGCTCGACTTTCCTGGCCGGCCTTGAACTGCTCGACGCAGCGTTCTGGAAGAGTTTGAGTTTTAACTCAGAAATTGAAAACTTTCTTTTTCACTTTCAAAGATCAAATGTATCTTTAGGCCCCGAAAAAAGGAAAAAAATTATTAGCTGCGAAAAAACAGGGAAGCGATCCGAAAAAGCGCGAAATTGATGCGAAAAAAGCGCGAAATCTTTACAAAAAAGTGAAAATTAGATTCGAAAACCTGCGAAATTGATGCGAAAAAGGGCGGAATTTATACTAAAAAGCGCAAAATTTATACGAATTAATTTGAGGCGAAAAAAGGCGAGAAAAATGCGGAAAAGTGCAAAATTGATGAGAAAAACGCAAAAATGATCCGAAAAAGCGCGGAATTGATGCGAAAAATCACGAAATTGACGCGAAAAAGTGTAAACTTGCAGCGAAAAATATGCGAAAAAGCGCAAAATTACTGCTAAAAAGGTACTTTTTCAAAAATTTTCAGCGATATTTCTTAAACAAAATTTGACCTTATAAGGTTCCCATTTTTTTCAACCTTATTTAGGAGAAATTTCAAGCAAAAACGTGAATTTTAAGACACTTCCTTGACGTAATTGAACATAATCATTTTGAGAACTCAAAAATCATTTTTCTTCTTTTTTTAAATCCCGTCTTATTACAAATAATAGCCTGAAAATGGCCTATTTCCACTGATTTCAATGGTTCGCTTTAATTTTTTTTTTTCATCGGAAACTAGATGAGGACCTTGATTCGGTACAGATCCTGGCCGAGTTTCAGGAATTTCCCGAGCGCAAAGAAATATAACAAAAATTTTTTTAGAACAGTTATTACAAGAATCAACTATTGTTTCTCTATGAAAATGTTTAAAAAATGAATATTCGACCTCATCAGCAGAAGCCGAGGCGACGGCGGTTGGGTAGAAGGTCGCGCGGACGTCGGCGGTGCCCAACATGGTGTTCAGCGTCAGTTTCCGACCGTTGTGCTTCGACATGTAGTACTGGGCGTACAACTGAAAGTCTCCTTTGTCTTTTATTTTATTTATGACATTTTTTCGTTGTTATTCCTACGGAAAAGTTGGAACAAAGCTGTAGAAATTTCGTCAAAATGTGAAAAAACATCATTTTTCGCCGAAAAACCATTGTGACCTAGTTCCTAACAAACTTTTTAACAAAATAAAAGCTTGAAAAATCGAGATGGAAGCCCTGGAACTGTTGTAAAATGAAAGAAATGTTCAAAAAAACCGGCTTCCAAGTTGACTCAAAGCTCTAAATTCAGAATCAAGCTAGGAATTCAGGGAAACATTTCTAAAAAAGGTTTTTCTCACTGAAAATATTGAAAAATGAGAAAAAATTTCCAAAGACTGATTTCTAAGTTGGTTCAAAGCTCTAAATTTGGAACAAAATCGGAATTTAGAAAAAAAGGAATGTAAAAAGGAGCTTTTCTAACTGAAAATGTTGAAAAATGAGAAAAATCTTCAGAAATTGGCTTCCAAGTTGATTCTTAGCTTCAAACTTACAGCTGTTAGAAGCTTAGAAATCACTAAACTTGGAAGCAAGTTCTAAAATTGGAATCTAAAGAAAAGAAAACTTGTTTGAGTGATTATTAACCTCAGAGTCCCGTTTTCCTACCATCAATCTAAAAGCTACCAAAAACAATCAATATCAAGCTTCCCTATCAATCAATCGATATGAAATATATAATCAAGAGAATGAAAAATGAACATCGTAAGCGGCGGCGCAATCGGGATCCAACGTGACGGGGCTGCACTGCTGGGTCGGCCAGACGCCGGCCGTCAGAACACGGACCGATATTTCGATCGGATGGGCGTTCCTCTGCAAAAATTCTGGTTTTTCCTTGTAGATTTGTTTGGGGCTTTTATGCTTGAGGCTTCGCTAAGGCCAAGTCAGGCTCATAAAATAGGAGAGAGGCTAACGGGCCGGCCCTCGCACAGCCTGAGTTATACCCTTAGCAGAGATAGGCGGAATGAAATTTTGAACTGGGAACATACATGGAATGAGCATGACTGACGTCAGCCAAGCCCCCCATGCTCGGAGAAAAAAATAATTTTTTTATTTTTTTAATTGATCCAAATACAGGTTGACGCCGTAAGATGTGAAAGTTCTTTTTTTCCGATCACTTTTAACTAAAAAAATCCCCCCGCTTGCTCGGAGAAAAAAATAATTGTTTTTTTGTTTAATTATCCAATTACAGGTTGACGCCGTAGGGTGTGAAAGTTCTTTTTATCACTTTGGAAAAAAATCCCCCTAGTTTTTTTGCCAAGCCCCCCTTCCCTTTTTTTCAGGTCCCACTGAGACTATCCCATGTATGAAACGTGGAAAAAAACATTTTTTTCCGCCCTTGTTTCTGAAATCAATAATTCTCTATTAGTTCATTACACCCCCATTATCTCCCAAACACAAACATTTCGAGCGGCTTGTCCGGCGTGCTCCTCGCGGTAGTCGCGGAAGCCGCTCGCGAGGTTGTTCCAGAGCTCCTTGTCGCGGAACATGCTCTCCAGTTTCTGGGTGAACTGGCAGCCGCACTCGGTCTTCAGCTTGCCGATCAACGCCTTCTCGCTGTCGTCCGAGCAGCTCTTGTCCAGCAGGAGCCGCTTGGCGAGTTGTTGCTTGAAGTATCTACGAAAAATGGGGTTTTTCCTAATTCAAAATTACTGAGGAGGGCCATTTTGGACATAAGATTTTGAACTGAATTAAGAAAACTCCCTAATTTGCGTAAAAAGACACCTTAAATTCAACGAAAACCCTCGAAATCCGCAAAAATAGACGATTTTGAGCCCCTGATTCTAAAAAAACCAGAAAGTTGTGCGGATTGAAACATTGGGTTCTTATGAATCTTCTCTTTATTCGTTGACGTCTTTTAAAAATCTAAAAAGAGGCTTTCAGGTTTCAAAATTACTGAGGAGGGCCATTTTGGACATAAATATGTGAAGATCTTGAACTGAACTAAAAAACTTCCTAATTTTGATGAAAGGTAATAGAAAATCATAAAAATAGCTTGAAATTGAAAAATCTGAGCCCTTATTTCTTCCTTAAAATACAACTTCAAAATGACTGAACCTCAAAATTATTTCCCTGAAACTCGAATTTGATGCCGTGTTCAAAGTAATTTCCGCGAAATGCGAAATTGTCTCTGACCCTCCAAAATTCAGTTATCTTTCTCTTTCTCTGACGGCTATTTTGAATTTCGCGGAATCACTTTGAACACGGCATGACCAAAAAAGCAAAAGAAGAGAAAATTAGAAAATTTAACGTCTCTTTTATGGAAAAACTTCTGATGTGAGAAAAAATATTGCCCCTTTGAAAAACATTTTACGTAATTCAAGTACATCAACTTCAGAAAAGAGCTAAATTTTCAATAATAAAAATAGGAAATCAAAAAAAAATCAAAGTATTCGAAAAGAAAAAGTTAAAATTTCAAGAACGAACCTATTCAATCTGTTTTTAGAAGGAAAATTGATTAAAAAACCAAAACAGTTTCCATCGAATTAAAAAAATTATACGAAATTTGAAGAATCTCGGATCTTTTTCTGTTTAAAAAAATCAACCGCAAAATCGAAATTTCGAAACAACATAAACAAAAAAACAATTAGAAAAAAATGTACAGAAAGAAGCTTTCCTAGCCCATAAATCAGGAATAAATTTTAAGGATTTCCTAGCCAAAAAATGAAATAACCTTTCTTCTAGAATTCATCATTTTGTGGATCAAAAATTGGGACTTAAAAGTTTCATGAAAATCTACCTTAAAAGTTGAAAAAAGGTTCCTTTTTGCTTTCTTCTTTCCTCATTCCATCCGCTCTTATATTTTTCTTTTTTTACTTTTTTTTTCAATGGTTCCTCGAAGGGATATGAATTTCAACTCACCTCTCAAAAACGTCCTTCTCTTGCAAATATCGGAAAAGAATCATAATATCGTCGAGCGTCTTGTCCATTTCCGTGTCGGATACCTGAAAAATGGCATAAATTGAAGTATAGAACATTAAAGGATATTTCGTTGTTATATGGAAAAATCGTCAATTTAAAGCGAATTTTTTAAAGGTCGAGGGCCAGATTTCAAAAATGTCCGTATTTTAAAGAAATACGAACTTTTGGACGGTAAAAAACTTGAAAATATTCAAAAATCTAATTAAAACAGGAAGCCCACTATATAGAAACATGAATAAAAAAATCATCAAAAAAATTAAAAAAAGCTGGGAGAAAGTTGAGAAAATCTTTAGTGGTCCCTTAAGAGGTATCTCAAAGTCTATTCAAAGAGAACCCTAAAGCGATCACTAAAATCATTCCTGTAGAATCCAATATTTCGCTTCTTAGTGGCCACTATAGTAGTTTTAGTGGTCCAGTAGTACGAATTGGACTACTAAAAAGGTCTCTGAACTTCCGTCACTTAAGGGGCCACTAAATCGATTACTATGGAGGCCACTAAAACTTCAAAACCCTAAAGAGGTCTCTGAATTTGGGTCACTTAAGGGGTCACTAACTCGACTACTCTAGTGGGTACTACACGTCAAAACCCTAAAGAGGTCTCTGAATTTGGGTCACTTAAGGGGCCACTAATTCGACCACTAAACGTCAAAACCCTAAAGTGGCCACTAAAAACCAAAATTGCCGAATTTGAAGAGCCACTGTAAAATATCCTCAATAATCGAGAAAAAAAAGAAACTATTTATAAATGAATTCTGAAACTGCAAACTCCCGTCCAAAACCCCCCCAAAACCGACCGATTTCATGCCATTCTTGAGCATGTCGTCCATGTAGAGGGCCACGAACTCGGGACTTTTCGTGTTGGAGTTGATGAACGTCTCGAAGTCGTGCTGAAACTTGTTCTTGTAGTCCCTCTCGTCGCTGAACGCCGTCGAGAGCAACGAGGAGAAGTAGTCTTTCAGCGAGAGGAGTTCCTGGAAATATTACAATTTTTTCAAATGTTTAAAAAAATGTTTCAACTCTTTAAAAACTTTCAGGAAGAGCTTTATCACTTGAATATCAAAAAATGAAATATTTAGTGGTAAAATTGCATAAAAAATTTTTTTCTGAAATTGCAAAAAAATGACTATTTTTTTCAACTTCCCATACTTCAAAAACCCCAAAAACCATTAAAAAAATCTCCAAAAAAATCGTCTTTTTTTCAAAAATCCGAACCCTGTTCTGAACTTTGAAAAAAATAACAAAAAAATCCAAAAAAACGTTTTTGAAGTTTCTCCACTATTTTTTTCATATTTAGAAGCTTAAAATCCTGAAATTTGTTTTTTTTTTTCTTTAATTTCAACAAGAAAATCTTTAAAAAAATCAAAAATTACAATACAAATTCTCTCATTTTCCAGCCGATATTCACGATTTCAAGTTTTTCTCTTCATAGACAAAGTCGGAAATAGTGAAAAAAGAAATTTCCCTTTTTTGCTGCCTTTTTGCAGCATTTTTGCAGCTTTTTTGTAACCTTTTTGCGGCCTTTCTGCTGCCTTTTTTCTGCCTTTTTCCAGCCGTTTTGCGGCCTTTTTCCAGCCTTTTTCCAGCCTTTTTTCTGCCTTTTTGCGGCCTTTTTCCAGCCTTTTTTCTGCCTTTTTGCAGCCTTTTTGCAGCCTTTTTGCTGCCTTTTTCCAGCCTTTCTGCGGTCTTTTTGCAGCCTTTTTGCGGCCTTTTTCCAGCCTTTCTGCGCCTTTTTTCGAGCCTTTCATTTTCAGCGGCCATTATCCACCATTTCGACTTTCCCCTAGTTCCTTTTTTTCAAGAAAAAAAGATCACCAACATTGACATAATTAACAGGATTTTTGTTGAGCTCCTCGTCCGTAACGATATTATTGCCGTGTTCGCACAGGTATCTGCAAAAAATCCAAATAATGCACAAAAAAATATATGTTAAAAAAATGATTTAATTCCGTCAGAACTAATAATCTTCATTGAAAATCTCTGACACACACTATTTCGTCGTTATCTAGCTGCGAGAAAACGATGAAATAGTGTATGTCAGAGAGAGGGAGAAAGAGAGAGAAAGAGAGAGAGAGAAAGAGAGAATCCAATTGTGAAGCCAATTAAAAAAAACCCTCATCCAACCAATATTTAAAACAATCGTAAAACTGTAAAGTCATGGAATCATTTAAATTAATTTTTCTTGCCGGAATGATGTCATTTTTAAAGTTTCTAGAAGGTTCTGGAAGCACATTTCTAGTAGAAAATGTTGTGAATTATATCATTTTCGGAAAAGTTCAAATTCTAGCCTTCCAGGTTCAATCTTCTACAAAAAAATTTATTTTTCTTTTTTTCAAAATTTGGAAATTGAGAAAAAAAAACGGGAAAAAGGACGAAAAATAGGGAAACAAATCAAAAAACTTCAAACTTTATAATTATCCCGGTTTCTAAAAAGATGTTTCGTGAGTTTATCCTTTTCAAGATTCCTATTAGTTTCCAGGACAAAAATTTACTGAACAAATTGATTTCCAGGATTTTAGAAGTTTCCAGGAACACATTTCTCAAAATTCTATATTCTTCCAAGGCTTTCAAAAGTTTTGATATTATTTTCACAGTTTTTAAAACCTCACTCATCAATAATTGAGCCCAGTTTTCCAATTTCCCTTTCAAAAAACTATTTTCACCAACATTTCCATTCAGAAAACACCCAACACAAAACGGTACAAAGATTAGGGAACCGTAAAATAGTCAGGAAAAACAGCACGATGGGCATGTTTATTTACTCAAGGCGCTGAAGGAAAAAAGCTTGTCAGCAAAAAAAAAAGAAGAGAAATCAAGTTTGAATGTCTATAGTTTGGTTAAAAGATTGAAAATCTGAACACGATCAACTAAAAAAATCCGCCATCTGTTGTTCTAAAAAGTTATGGAAATTATTGTTATATAAAGACAAGCTTAAGAACGCCCAAGTGGTCCCTATAGGGGCCTGGAGAAAAAAAGCGCCCCCATGCCGACAAAAAAGTGCTCCCTAGAGGGGTGAAATTCAGGTGGTCCCTATAGGGGCTTAGAATCTGACTCCTGAGCCTCTAAAGTTCAAGTGGTCACTGGAGAAGTCTTTGAACTGAAAAATCTCTTCTTAAGAACTTTCAATATTGAGGAACGGCAGATCGGTCCCTATAGGGATCTGAGAGGCAACAAAAAAGTGTTCCCTAAAGGGGAAAAATTCAGGTAGTCCCTAGAGGGGTTTAGGATTTGATTCCTAGGTCTCTGAAGCTCAAGCGGTCCTTATAGGGGCCTTTTGAAATTTTGTGGAAAAATCTCTTTAAGATTTTCAATACTAGGGAGCGCCCCCGTGGTCCCTAAAGGGGTCAGGATAAAAAACTGTCCCTGAAGACGACCAGAAAGTGCTCCCTAGAGGGTAAAATTCAGGTGGTCCCTATAGGAATTTAGAGTCTGAATCCTGAGCCCCTAAGCTTTAAGTGGCCCCTGGAGAAGTCTTAAAACTGGAAAATCTCTTCAAGAAGTTTCTATACTGAGGAACGCCAGAGCGGTCCCTTTAGGGGTCTGAGAGGCGACAAGAAAATGCTCCCTAGTGGGGTAAAATTCAGGTAGTCCCTAGAGGGGTTCAGAGTCTGACTCTTAAGCTCCGGTAGCTTAAGTGGTCCCTAAAGGGGTCAGGAGAACAAACTGCCCCTGAAGACGACCAGAAAGTGCTCCCTAGAGGGGTAAAATTCAGGTAGTCCCTAGAGGGGTTCAGAGTCTGACTCTTAAGCTCCAGTAGCTTAAGTGGTCCCTATAGGGGTCTTACAATTTTTGTTAAAAATCTCTTCAGGAACTGATTTCTTTTCAGAAAATATCGATTTTTTGCCAAAAATTTTTTTTCCAAAATCAAATTTTCATCAAAAAATCTTCTTTTAACGTGAAAATCTCCGCAGAAGCTCTTTTTTATCGTAGAATCTTTCCAGAAAACGATATTTATCAATAAAATCCAAGACTCACTCGCTAATCGCCTTCAAAAGGACTTTCGAACCGGAATTGACGGGATCCATAACATTGATACGTTTGAAAATGCGATAAGTGCGCGTCAAATCTTCAATCTGAACAGAAAAATCATGAAAATTGCTGGGAAAATCTCTAGTGGCCACTTAAGAGGTTTCTCAAGGACACAAAAGTGGCCACTCAGACCACCACTATAGAAACCACTATTATGCTTCCTAGTGGTCACTATAGTAGTTTGTAGTCGTCCAGTAGTACCACTTAGACTCTTAAAAAAGCCAAATATAGTTAAGCCGCTAAGTCGACTACTATAGTGGTCACTAAAACGTCTAAACCCTCAAGGGGCCACTTTTTCCCAATATAATCATTTTTGTTCACCTTTTTATGGACGAGCATAAATTTGACGCCGCCATTTTTCATATAAACTATCGTATTCATGTGCTCAGCCACCATAACGTCGTCCATTACCTGAAAAGACAGGTGACAATTTATTGATTTTCTCGAAAAATCGAGCTTTTTTCGATTCAACTTCGATTCAATTCACTTTCTTTATTTTCGCAACATCGGGATGGTATGGCAATGTTGCAGAGAGGAAAAACGATCACTAGATGGATTAACCAACCCCACTTGTGAAGAAAAACTTTACTTCAAACAACTTTTTCCAATTTTTTCCAAAGGAAAATCTGTATTATTCGCCCTGGAAAGCCTCAAAAAATCCATATTTTCGTGCTACTTCTTGCGCCCGACATGAAACTACTGTCGCGCAGTGAAACTAGTCGCTCTGTTAAACAATGTCCGTCACATAAATTAAAAATAAAAAAATTTGAGATTTTTAAAAAAAACATTGAAACAGAAAAGTTATTTTTTTTCGCCTTTTTTTAGGTAGTTCTATTTTTTTAACCCTTCTAGTTAAATATTCGATTTATCCGAAAAAAATTTGAAACTTATAATTGAATCACGGAGTTCATAAAAAAATAATCGACTAGCTTGTCCCCTATAGGAGTCACTAACTGAAACCCCTAAGATGGCCACTAACCGAAATTCCTTTACGGACCACTAGCCTGCTTTTCTATACCTATAGGGGTCACTTTTCAAGCCTCAGTGGTCCCTGAAGGGGAAACTTCATTTCAGCCCCTGAAGCGAGCGCAAGGTATTTTTTTCGTATTTTTTTGTTTTTTTATTTCAGTTTTTTTCATATTGAAAAATGAAATTTTGAGTTATTTAGGATCGATGAAAAGTTTAATTTTATGGTTTTTGACAGAAATCGTGCTTTTTGATTTCACTTTTTCGCATCTTTTTCGTTTTTTTCTCTTTGTAAATAAGAAAAATAATAACATTTCAAGTAGTGGTTTGAATGAATTTTTTTTGCGAAAAATGAAATTCCTGATGATGTGAACATTTCAAATTATTCCTTATTTATTAATTTGTTTTCTCTAGTTCTGTAAATTGTTCTGGGCACTTAGGAAACTATTGAATTTTTTTGGATTAATATCTCATTTCATCGGTTTTTTTCTTCTTTATGTGCTCGATAAAAAAACAATGTTTTTTTGTTTACTTTCATTTCAGAAAAACTTGCGCTTTCCATAATTCGCAAAAAACCGGGAGTCAAAAAACAATTTGTAACTAAGGGTTTACCTTTTCAATAATTTGATTAAGGCGGAAGATTTTTAACATTTTATTACATCGTATTCTTTGTGAGACATGTTTCAGGAAAGCCATAGTGGCCCCTAGAGGGGTAGCCCTAAGACCTTTTGAAGGCTCCGCTCTAGGGACCACTTCACCTCCCCCTATAAAGGCCACTTAATTCTTGCTAAAATGACGTTTATAGGGAAAATTACCAACAGTGGATGGATTGATCAAGTTTGTCTTTTCAACTTTTACAAAAAATATAAAGACCTCTATAGGGACCCCTCAACTTTCACCACTAAAGGTAGCTCTTTTTCGTCCCCTAGCCCCTCTAGGGACCACTCTGGCGTTCATAAGAACCCTATTAAACTTTCATCACATATAACTTTTCTCTTTAATTTAAAAACCAAGAAACGCCAGAGCGTTCCCTAGAGGGGCCAGGAGAAAAAAATGCTCCTATAGGGGACAAAAAGTGCTCCCTAGAGGGTTAAAATTTAAGTGGCCCCTCTAGGGGTCCAGGCCTTGATTTCTAGGTTCCTAAGGCTCAAGTGGTCTCCTATGGCAGTCTTTTTTTGTAGAGCTCATAGAGTTCATAACAATAGCATGTTCCCTATAGGAGTCCCTGAATAAGCCCCTAACCAAAATCCCTCTACGGGCCACTAGCATGCTTTTCTATACCTATAAGGGTCACTTTTTCAAGCCTTAGTGGCCCCAAAAGGGGAAACTTAAAGGGCTCCTATCGTTGCCCCTATAGGGACCCCTCTGTAGTTCCTAAAAAGGAGATATTTTCGATTTTTCAATTTTTGTAGTAGAATTTTCTGTGTTAACGATTGAAAAACTCGTATTTCTTTGCCCCTTAAGGGGAATCTTCAAGGGTCCCCTACAGGGACCACTCTGGCGCTCCCAAGAAACGAACCCGTAAAATTTTGGCCTCAGTTTCGGCGTCCAAATACCGTCTGGAGCGGTTTACCTCGTCGTGCATGCAAGTTTCGACCTGGAAAAATCGTTCATTTCCATTGAATTTTTTTCAGAATAAATTCCCCTCCCCCGCCCCCCAAAAAAACCTGATTCAAATAATAGCAGGCGTCGATCTCCTCGTTCTGGAGCCATTCACTACAGACGCCTCTGTAGAAATCGGCAGTTTCCTAGGAAAAAACGGGACTTTTTCCAAGATTTTCGATATTGGAAGCACCTTGAGGAGCGGTTTTTCGAACTCTTCCTCGTAGACGGAACGCGATTCGATGCCGAGTTCGACGAGCATCCGACACGTGCTTTTTATACCCATCCTGAGGGAGAGAATAGTCAAAAAAAGCTCAAAATCCTACCAAAATATTCAAAATATGGTTCTGAGTGCTTTTAAATAAACTAAAACTCAAAATTTCTCGGATTTAAGGCATCAAGAAACAGAAAATGAGCGATTTTCGATTAATTTGCAGCAAATTACGCTGCTTTCGAAGCAAATTTGAAAAAATTTGGAGGAAATTCCACTATTTTCGAAGCGAAATTCGATTATTTGCAGCAAATTTCGATCATTTCGAATGAAATTGAGGAATTTGAAGCCAATTTCGATGCTTCTGGAGCAGAATTTCAATGTGAAATAAAATAGAAAAGCTTAAAAATTTATGCAGTTCATTGAGATGATCCTATGAACTTCAAAATAAACTAAAGTCTGAAATTGCCCAAATTTTGAGGCAGAAAATCTCTTCAAAACTCCTGATTAAAAGAAGGTAAAATTAGAAAAAGGTCAAAGAAGTTTCAAGAAAAATCCAGTTTTTAAAAACTGAGAAAAATCTCGACACGCGATTTTTTTTTCCTCATTCTACGGAATACAATACTTAAAAAAAAGCGCAAGAGTCTGAGCCGAATCACAAGAAAAAGCATGAAAACCCTAAAAAATAACGAAACTCATAGTTGATATTACCCTTTTAAGCATTGAAAAGGAATTTTTGACAATTAGGGAAAAAAATTTTGGACCAAGGAGCTTTGAAATAAATTCCTTTTCAACAAGTTTTTCTACCCTAATAAGCGTCGACAAGTATAGAGGTTATGACAATAAGAAAAATAAAATAAAAAAAGTCTTATTTTTTTATTGATTTTTTTCTTTTTCCAGTGATTTTTTTCCAAATAAGAAGGGTGTCTTACATTCTTACTAAAATTTAAATTCTTACATATTCTTACTAGAAACCAGAATTGGAAAAATTAAAAAAATCTTATTTTTTTAAGGCTAATATTAATCAAAAAAACCTTTCTCGATTAACATAGCGTATAAAAAAATTAAAATTAATTATTTTTTTCCCTTTAAACTCACCAATTGATTTCATTCTTCTGCCGATCCATCTCAATCAATTTGAGCGAGGTTTGGCGCAAAAAAAGATCCCAATATTGTTCCGTCGCAAAATTTCGCTCCTGAAAAAGAACTTATGACTGAAATTCATCAAAGTTCTGAAGAAATTTAGGCTAATTCCTATTTTCCTAATCACATTTGCACTCCATTTACTCAAGGTTTAACTTTTTTTAAAAGTTCGAACGTTTTTCAAACTTCCGAAGGCTCAAATAAACTCAATTTTCCGAAATTCAGATAAAAAATTTTTTTTAACCTTTTGAAAAAAATGATTTTTTTCCGAAATCCTCCGATTCCTCACAAAAAAACGCCTTTAAAATTCAGAAAACCTGAAAAAAATTTTTCAAAACTAAAGAAAAAGACAATTTTTTTCCACCTTCACCACCCACATGACAGATTCTAGAAAAAAACCATTTTTTTCCCCGAAAATCTTCCGATTCACCCCCAGAAAACAAGGTTTTAAAAAAATATCAAGGCCATTTTTTTCCTTCGATATCCATCGTCTTTAAAAATTTTTCAAAGCCTTAAAAAAACTCCATTAGAAAAAAATTCCAGAATGCCCCCCAAACGCACTTAAAAAAATGTCAAGGCCGAGATTATATACGGGCAGGGCGACGCTGCTGTTCTGCTGGACGTAGATCCGGTCCATGTACATCAAAATGTCCCGAATCATCACCTGCGAACAAAAAATCAATCGATAAATCAATAATTTGTCGGTTTTCACCATGGCGACGGTGTGGTCGGACCAGGCCTCTTTCAAAGTTTCCAAAAATGATCCGTTCGTGATGGAGACGACGATTTTCTCGCGGACCTAGAAAAGGAACATATACTTTTCGAGACTGATGGATTGTGGGCGAAGAAAAATGAGAAAGGGCATGAAAGCTTTCCAGTGGGAAATTTGCGAAGATTCCGTTGAAATTTTGAATTAGAAAAAAAATTATAACTTTCCCTGTTGACGAATATTCAACAAAAATCAAACATTTACAGCCTATAAAAAACTAGGGAAAAAAATCCAAAAAGCTTGTAAAACGAAATAAATGTTTGGTCGAAGATCAGTTTTAAATCGGAAAAAGACAATTTTGCGGAAAATTGCGCGATGTTCCATTGAGAAGTTGATTTAGAAATGAAATTTAATTTATTTTAGCCAAATTGATGAAGAATATGTAGAAAAAGCTTGAGAAAAACTAAAAATTCAAAAAATGACGACTTTTTTTTCTCGAAGATTTGATGAGGAGTTTTTCAGATTACAAGACTAAAATGTACCTTTTTGATCATTCTAAAACTCAAATATTGAAATTTCAACACAAAATTTAACATTTAAAGCATCAAATAACATAACGAACAACTTTTTGAAAAAAATCGAACGGAAAAATCTGAAAAAAACCCTATGACTTTTAAAAATGCGTGAAGTCCCTTTGAAAAATCAAAGTTGGGGAAATGCTGATTTTTTTTAATTCTGGAAAAAAATGTTACAGTAAGCCATTCTGAGCTAAATATGCTTCTGAAAAATTGGAATTTCAAAACTTTAATAAAAAAATTTATCATTTGAAGCTTCAAATAACATAGGAAACTACTTTTAAGCTTTCAAAAGGTCCTGAAAAAAATGCCAATAAATTTTTTTAGTTTATTTATAAAAATCTTGCTTTTTTTTGAATAGGCTTGGAAATCACATTTTTCCATCGGAAAAAAATCGAAAAAAATAAATTAGCAAATCTCTGAAAAATGTACATGAGAACATTCTCCAAAGCCGTCAAAAAAACTTTCAAAAAGTCAAAAATTTTTTAATGAAACTTTAGTTACTTCATAAAATCCTGTCTTTTATTCTCTAAATAACCTTATAAATCATATTTTCATTCTGAAAAACCCAAAAATTAACAAATAACTTAGCAAATCTCTAAGAATTTACATGAAAACCTACCACAAGACCGTCAAAAAACCCTCTTAACTTCCAAAAAAAAGCTATTTCCCTAACAAACCTTGTCAAGATGCGAGATGATGACCTCTTTGAGGCCATTATATAACCGTTCTCCATGTTTGTGAAGAACCTAAAAAAATCAATAAAAATGACATTTTTAAAATTTCCATACCATAGTGTAGGCATTGCGGTAGAGCTCCTCGAAACTCAGCCCAGAATTATTTTTGTTCTGAATTTCCTGGATGGCACGCTTCAGAAGGTCCCAGATTTGGTTGACGTACGACTCGTCCATGTTCGTCTGAAGGGAATTTTTATTAAAATTTCATTTTTTTAAATCAGAAATTTTATCGATTTTTGATAAACGTTAGTATTCTACTTATTTGTTACCTTTTTTCTTTTAAGGATTGCGGTTTTATGTAATTTTTTGTTCAAGGACACTTTTTTCATTGTTTAAAGGCTCATGAACAAATATCATTAAGGTCTCGAGGCGAAATGCCGTTTCCAGAATAAGTTAATGACTCATGTGCCTTTAATTACGATTTTTGAAAGATTTTACAGCTTTCCTTTTACATAAAATCAAAAAAAAGATTTTTTAAAGGCGCATAAAAAATCTTATTATGGCCTTGAAGAGAAAACCCTCTTTTAAGAGTCATTTGAAGACTTCTGTGCCTTTAATTTAGATTTTGACGAATTTTACAGCTTTCTCTTGAAATCACATCGAAAATTCAACAGAAACGCGTATTTTCGCAAAGAAACAAAAAAAACATCAACATAAACACTCCTAAAAATCGATATTTTTCCATCAATTCGCCCCAAAATTCACCGGAAAAGCCCGGATCCGAACCCGGGCATTGGCACCGTTATTGGCGGCCCGAGATGACATCCTGACGAAAAATGAAGTAACGGGTCTTGCGGCAATTCCGCCGACCAGTTATTGCTTCACGAGCAACTGCAAAAAGTCATTGAAGTGTCGGGAAAGCCATCGATTGTACAAAAAATTCTCCCAAAAGATAGAAAATGATCGTGGGAATAGTTAAACAACAGAAAAGCTAGACTTATTGACCGTTGAGTTCAAAGTTTCAAAGGTCAAAGAATTATTCGAAAAAAAAGTTCTTTGGCGATAAGATTTAAAGGCGCGCCAAAAGTAGGCTTTTCACCTTCCTTACATCCTTGTGAGCTTCTTCCATGTTTTAGAGTAGCTTTTAAACGACGATAACTTGATAAAAAGCTATAAAGAACAAATCAATTCAATTTTCGTCCAAAAAAGCAACCTGGTAAACTGAATCATACGGTTAAATGAACCATTAAATCTCATATAAAAAGCAGATTTGAAAATAGTAGAATCGATATATGCGCTATCGATTCAAAAATTAATTCATAAAATCGAAGGGTCAAAGAGAAAAACAAACGAACGAAAGAAGAAAAACGTGCTCCACAAAAAATGAAAAACGCCGAGTGCGTCAATGAAGGGTTGCTGACGCGAATATGGTTGGGCCAGTTTTCAAATTTCAAAATGGTGCCACTCCAAAATACGCTTCTAATTGCAGATATATTTGAAATATTCGAGTGACTGAAGTAATTCCGGTTCAGACTGCGTGAAAAAAATTTTCATTCAGACTTTTTCTTCGTATATTATCGGGAAAACGATAAAAATAAGTAACTTTATTAAATTCGGATGACGTCGTTATTTAAGAAACGCATATATTTTTTTCTGTTATCATAGTTCGAAGGAACCTGCTTTGTCATAAAATGCAAACAATCAACTTTTTGTTGTATTCCGCCGAAAAGACAGCAAGCGGCTATTACATAACTTGTAAATCCATGATACTGGTCCGCTTCTTCATAATCTTTCTATTATTCAGTTTCGGTAATTTTTCTTGCTTCTTTTTTAACTTTTTAGGAAGAAAATGCTTTGAAGATATTGAGAAAGTGAAAACTCGAATTTTGGTGCATTAAAAATGTTTCAGGTCGGCCAATTCCATTGAGGAATCGCCCATACATTTTCCTGATCGATTACGAAGTCGAAATTTTCGAATTTTCATCCGGCGAAGAGTTTTTAACGCCCATTCCAATGGAAGAACGACAATGGAGAGAATAAATTGTAGAAGTTTTTAGTTAATTTATTGATCAGATTGAATTAATTGAATGCTTATTTTGAAATGTTTATTTCGCTCACAGACAGATCTGTGGCGTGGAGGAAGAGAACCATGAAATTTGCCTCCATTTGTCAAATAAAAATAATTTAAATGATAAATTTATTGTGTTCACCATGTTCATCAAGAGAGCATGATTCAACAAGAGATTCATCAGGAGATCAAGTGTCTTTGTATTATTGGACACATTAGACATTCAAATTTGATATGAATGAAGTGAAACCGTAAAATGACGAAACTGAATGATCGACGAGGGGATTAAGAATATTTTTTTTAATTATTCAACGGTTATTTTTACGAATGGAAGAGTTTGAACAGCTTTTGATTATTTCCTTGACGTAAAATGCCATGGTCGCAGTTGGAATAGCCTGGGGCGTCGCGTTTCGAAGCCATCGAGCGCAAGTAGCTTTGGGTCGGGCGCAGTTTGAAGCAAAATTTACGCATTGAACCACTCCATGTGCTCTTATTTCAACGAGAATGCGCCCGAAGTTTTGAAAAAATTGTACTTTGAACAGATTTTTTAAGAAATTGAAAAACTCTAGTGGCCCCTTGAGTGGTTTTAGTGGTCTAGAGTACCTCTTAGGACTACATGGAGAGGACACTAAAGTGGCCACTAAAACCACCTCTACAGAAGCCAATAGTTTGCGTCTTAGTGGCCACTTTAGTATTTTTTAACGATCTAGTACTACTTAAGAGGCCAATAATTTTAGCCGCTTGAGTGGTCACTAGTTCGACTACTATAGGGGCCACTTAGACTTCAAAAAGCGATTTTCTAACGCTTTTTGGAGCCGTCAAGCGAAAGCCGTTTTGAGTCCGGCGCCGTTTGGAATTTTTACGTGTTGAGCCGCTCCTATGCGACCATTTTTCCACAGTAAATGCAAAAATTTATAAAATTGTGGGATTAAACTTCTATTTTTAAAAAACTACCAAATAAATTTGAAAGTTTCTATTGAAAAAATAGAATTTTTGAAAGTTTTGTATAAATCCCCAGCCATTTTTAGTGCATCTCATCTGTTTCCCTTCCCCAAAAAAACAGCGTAGGTCCCCCCCTTTTAGGGCCCATTTCCCCTGAGGCAACTTTGACGTCAAATAATTCTAGGCCTCGTCTAATCCTTTTTTCTTTTCGATTTCGCGCCTAAATCTTTTTTTTTTATTCCATGTATTTATTTCCAGTTTTCTTTTAGATTGACAGTTTAATTTTAGGGTTTTCCCAGTTGATTTATTCGGTGAAAAACAAGGAGGAAATTGGTTTGGAAAGACGTTTTCCGCTGCAAGTTTCTATTTTTGGTCTTCTTTTCTTTCTCTTTCAAAGCCTGGTCTGAGTAATTTTGTTGGAAAAAACTTTTTTGGCTAAGAAAAATTTCGGAAATTTCATTATTTTCTCCGAATTCTGTAGTATGAAGTAACCAAAAACGCGATTTTGGAATTTCCTTTGATTTTTTGAAAATGGCCAAAATTTACCCGATTTTTGAAAAGTATGAAGCTCCAATTGCAAAAATATTTTTGCGATTTTTCTGTGCTTTTGGCCACTTGAGGGTTTTAACGTTTAAGCGGCCACTCAAGTGACTAAAACTTAGTGGACCTTTTAGAAGTCGAAAGCCATCAAACCTTCGAAATTTACCCCAAATCGAGACATTTTTTCAATTTTTGATATTTAAAAAACAGTTCGACTAAAAAATCTTGGCTTAAAAAGCTCAAAATCGAGCAAAATTAACTGTTTTGGGCTCCTCAGAGTAATAAGACTACAATAGTACTTTTTTCGAAGTTGTTTTGAAATGACTCTGATTTTTTTTCGTAAAAAAACTTCTAGATATCACTTCAAACTCAAGATAAGAAGCGAAAAAACAAAAAAACTCTCCTTTGAAATTTTTTCAACTTTTTTTCTGTCCAGCTAGCTTAAATAGACTACACCGGCCATTCCTCAAAAACCGCAATTTTCAATGAATTCTCAAAAAATCATCAAAAAACGAGATAAGAAACGGAAAAAACGGGGATCCCCCCATTCAATTGTTTCTTTTTCCTTCGAACCTTGATTTTTTGTCCGTCTGCTCCGTGGAAGGAATTGTTGCTCGGCGAGCCCATCGCCAGGGGCAACGCGGCTCCTTTTTTCTTTCCTTTCTCCATTCTCTCACACATTTATTTTTCTTTCCCGCCGTTTTGCAACATTCATCAATTTTTGTTCCTTATTTGAAGCATTTTGGGGTCGATTTCAGAGGTTTTTAAGATTTTGGGATTAGTTTTGAAGATTTCGAAGAAATTCGGGGCGCATAAACTGACATCTTTTATTTTCTTTTTTTTTCCCAGGAATTTGAAACAGAGACCTATTGAAATGGACTAGTTAAAAAAATTTTTCGCAACAGAGCGCGTTTGTTTTTCGAACAAAAGGCTGTTTTTTTGCAAAATTTCAAAAATTCTCATTTCGAGCCGTCTTTCTACCATCAGAAATTTTTATTTCTTATTTTTTTCCCCTCCAAAAAAATTCAAGAAAGTAGTTTTTTTCAATAAAGTTCGTGTTCCATAAAGCGCAAATGACTCGCAAAAAAATGGCGTTTATTCAAATTTTTTTCGATGATTTTAATAGAATTATCATTAGAGCGTGAATGATTCTGAAAAAATGGCCATTTTTGGAATATTCCCCGTTTTTAGAGAAGAAATTGGTCCAACCTCCCCAAGATGCGGAATTTTCGAGGGGTTCCTATAGGGTTTCATTTTTTAGGGACCACTATAGGGGTCATTTTTCGGTCCCCCCAGAGGTCTAAATTTCAGTAGCCCCTAGAGTGGTCCCTTCGGAGTTTTTTTTTCTCACTTTTTAGGAAAAACTGGAAAATTATCCTTGGAGCGTAAATTTTCGACCAAAATGGCTATTTTCAGGAAGAGAAGCAAAATTATCCGTGGAGCAAACTTTGAAAAAAAGCGAAAAATGGCTGTTTTACCACTATTTAAAAAAGTTTTTTTGGTTCGGAAATTTTTTTCTTATGAGCCTAGCTACTTTCAGATTAAGAATCACAGATTCAGAGTGACGAAAAATCTCTTTTTTTCACATTTTCTAAGTCAAGAGGCCCCAAAAAGTGAAGCCAATCATGGGATTTAATAATCTCAGTAATGATTTTTCTACGCTCGAAACACTCAAAAACTTGTCAATTCATTTTTGAAAGATGTTTGAAACGTATGTTGGTGAGGGTCACATATATTATTAATTTTTTTTGGGGGGGGTTCACACTTTGGCAATTTTTTTGGGGGAAATTTTGTACATTTTTTTCCTCATATTTTCATTTTTTTTCCTTATTTTTTTCACTTTGTAAATCACTTCTCTTCATATATTTCTCCATAAAAGAGCCAAAAAAAACCCTTGGAGTCTTAAAACGAATGGGGTACTGTAGATGACCCTGAATGGACTATTTTTCAGATGCTCCGACGACTTTCTTCGAAAAAAGAGAAGAAAGAAGACAATGGCCATAAGAAACTTTTGGCCAAATTTATGGATTTTCTGAACTCCTCGATCTGGTCCATTCCCATCTCTTCGTTCATCGAACAAAAATCGATCGGTTAGTTTCGTTTGAATTTTTAAGGGGTCCCTAGGGGGTTTTGGTGTTCTAGTGAGCCCTATAGGGGCACTTAAAAGACCCCTTTTAAACTCCTATAGAGGCCTCTCCGTAATTTCGCAGTGGAAAGTCAAATTCGATGCGCCCGACCTGAAACGGGTTGCGCAAGAAGGGTTCCAAAAACCTCAGAAAAAGATTCTGGCCTATTTTTTTTTCGACTTTTCACGAAAAACTCTTTAATAGGGCGCAAATGAGTCATTTATCGCGGCTATTTTTGGATTTGTCATAGTGAATCCTCCTCATTAAATCATGAAAATCACGAGATTCTGAATCATGAAGCAAATGGGAACAAATCAAGCATCTAATTAACTAATTAGACACGTTTTTAATCGAAAAACTTCATCTGAAACGAAAAAATAAGTTAAATTTGGTGAGAAATATCACAAAAAACGAGAAAAAGTTGCAGTTTTCGACCGGCAACAGATGGAAACGGACGTCTACGTCGAAATCCACAAAGAATACACCAATCTCATCGATACTTTGGTGGGAAACTCGAGAAAAATGGGGAAAAATGGATATTTTGTAGATCGAATGCTTCTGCGAGGACGTCGGAAGCAGTGGACAGAAATTGGTGGAAGCCCTCAACACGTTGGATCGCACTAATCTTGGGGTCAAACAACGGGTGAGTTTCAGAAAAAGGGAGGAAAACAGCGGCTTAAAGGCATAGGGGCAGTAAAAAACGGTTCATTTTGTGGAATTTCGAGAAATGAAAAACACAAAAATGCCTTTTTCGAGAAAAATTCTCAATGGAGCGCAGAATATTTTTTTATGTCGGCTATTTTTTCAGCTTCATTTTTCAAGCTATTTTTTGAAACATATTGGCTCATTTTTCATTGAAAACATAGCTCAATAGGAATGAAAATCGAGAAAAAGATGGAGAAACGAATTTTGGAACAACCAAAGGGGAAAAAATGAATTAGGACAAGGAAAAGCTCAAAAATGTTTAAAAAGAACAACAAACACAGGATTTACAATAGACAGAGATCCAAAGGAAAAACACAGACATATAATTTATGTTCATGAAAAAATTAATTTTCCATCGGGGCCGATCCGTTTTCCTTGGCTTCCGATTCCAGGGTCAGCTTCTTCTCAGCTTCATCCCTTTCTTTGCGCAGTCTAAAAACTTTATTTCATGACTCGAGTCGCCTCAGTTATCCAATGGTCGCACGGGGAATGGCCTAAGCGCCGTTTCAAATTGCGCCCGACCTAAAACGACTTGCGCGCCGAGGAATCGTAAATCGCCGCTTTGAGCCGTTCCCAGTGCGACCACGGCTTCCTATGACGTTTTTCTACCTTTTCGCCTTGTTGGGACACGTTTTCCGGTGTTTCCGGCAGTGATGATGCCTCAAATGGTGCTTGCATCGAGAAACTTTCGGCAATTTTGCGTCGGGCGGTTTGGCCGCCGGGACGCTTCCTTCTCGTTTTTTGCTGGAAAAATGTATTTTCCAATGAGAAACAAGATACAAAATGGAAAGAAAGTATAAAAATATTTTTGAAACGGTAAAGTGTATATAGTCTGTTCAGATTTTGAATGTCAAGCCCTCGCTGAAGCTCCGCCCCCTAATGGCGCGATAAACCAATCAGAGTACGAGCCATCCACAGAGCGTTTTCGAATGACGTCATTCTACTTGACATTCAAAATCTGAACAGACTATAAGTTTTTCGTTTTGAAGAAGTACTAAAACTTCTCAAGTGTCTGCGTCTCTCTGTTCTCTCATCGGCGAGGTCAGAGAAACGTGAAAATAGCATGGAAACATGAGAGGGTCGCCTAGAGACAAGGAGGGCGCAGAGAAGTCCCTTTCAAGTCCCCAAAAAACGGGCTACTCTTCTGCTGATGAGGGCAGATCAGCTAAGATGGGCTCTTACGGGTGTGCCCGTTTTATACCCGTATGAGCGCAACTGGTAGAAATTTTTTTTCCAGCACAGTTGGGTCACAAATTTTCTCTGACACCCGATTTTCTCCCGTTTCAGCACAACACGGGCCTGATACGGGTACGCCCGGCCAGCATAGATTTCCAATTATATAACTTTTTGATTGAATTTTTATAAAAAGGACTCAAAAAAATGTTGGAAAAAAACTACCGTTATTGGAAAAAAATTTATGAAAAAAATCCCATCGAAAAAAATTTTTTTTCCACCTTATAAAAAGCCATTTTTTTGGCCTAATTTTTAATTTTTTTGTCAAAAAAAAAGTCTAAACTTTTCGAGTGTCTGCGTCTCTCTGTCCCCTCACCGTGGAGAGGTCAGAGAAACGGGAAAATAGCATGGAAATAGGAGAGGGTAGAGAGAAGTTGATGAAATGAAGACGAACCTGTCCCGATCCCTGTCCTTGTCTCTGTCTTCTCCGCGTCTCTGAGACCGATAGTCCATTTCCTCCTCCATGTATAATCGTTTCCGTTCGGTGAACTTTTCATCAATGTCTTTCTGAACGGAAAATCGATTTTTTAATGAAAATTAGGGTCGAAATTAAATCAAAAACTACAAAATACCACGAGAAATTGATACAGTACCATTAAAGTTGGTAAAAATGATTCATACGTGACTTTCCCGTTTCACTCAACCTTTTTCAATTAAAATCGGACATTTAGAACAATTATTGCGGAGCATGCTTTTCAAGCCTGGATTTAGGTCTCAAAATAAAATTTCTGAATTTTTCGATTTACTTTTTCTTTCCAAATTTCACGACTAACTGGTAGAAAAAACGGTAGAAGTGGTCCCTTGAGGGGAAAAATTGCAAGTTATTCTAACAGTGATCCTTCAAAACACCTCGAGAAAAGGGTATTCAAAGAAAGTCGGTCGGTCGGTCGATTTGGAAAACTAGGCCACGCCGTAAATTTGCTCAAGCTCTATATTTTTTTCCTTCCTATTTATCAGTTTTCTAGGATATTCTTCACTTCAAACTAAACTTTTCCTTATTTATTATTGTTTACCTAGGTAATATTTTTCTTTTTTGTTGGATGTAATTTTGTTTCTTGCCTTTTTTGCGTGTATTTTACACATTATTTCATTTTCCGATTTCTTATAATTTTTAATTTTACTCATTTGGTTATATAAATCCGAAAAAATTAATAGGAACTTCCAAAAATTGAATCAGTTTATAGTTTTGAATGTAGTAACCATTGTATTTTACTTTTTAAAACGATGGAATTGAATGAAAATACGCGAAAACCTTAGTGAAATTTGAAAAAGGAAGAAAAATTGAGAGAAAAAAAAAATATTGAAATTTTAAGTGTTCCTTGGAGCAATATTGCGGCGTGGCCTAGTTTTCCAAACTGACCGACCGACTTTTCCAGCATGCCGTCAGAACATGCTTTTTAAGCCTGGATTTAGGTCTCCAAATAAAAATTCTGAATTTTTCAATTTTCTTTTTCTTTTCACGACTAACTGCTAGTAAAAACGATCAAAGTGGTCCCTTAAGGGGTAAAATTCAAGGTTCTTGCGGTTAGCAGTCCTTTTTTAACGCTGATCTTTTAAAATTCTCCAAAATACTTTCGTTAAAGAAAAAATGAACATGACGGGATGAAAATGGATGAAAACCTGAATGGGAACGGGGATCCGAGGGAACAAGGTGCCGTACCAATCGAGTTTCGTCAGCATCGTCCGGACCATTTGCCCGAAAGTGATCACTTCGCCGCCGCCCGACCTCGGGTCGATCTCGTCTTCGTCGTCCTTCAGAAAATCATAATGAACTGGGGAACTTTTAAGTGGTCACTTTAAGGTTTTGACGCTTCAGTGGGTAGTATCAGTGGCCACTTAAGGAGTGTCCCTAGCCCATTAAGAAGCTGAGAAAATATTTAGTGGCCCCTTTAGGATTTTACCATTTTTTTGACCCTTAGAGTAGTCGAATTACTGGCCACTTAAGTGGCTAAAAGTTAGTGGCCACTCTAGGATTTTGACGATTTAATGGTCACTATAGTAGTATCAGTGGCCACTTAAGGAGTCTTCCTAGACCACTAAGAAGCTCAAACAATATTTAGCGTCCACTTTAAGAATTTGACGTTTTAGGGGCCACTATAGTGGTCGAATTAGTGAACCCCTAAACGGCTAAAATTTACTGGCCTCTTTGGAAGTCTCATCAGTACTACTGGATCCCTAAAAACTACTATAGTAACCACTAGGGCGCAAAATAATGGAAATTGTCGTTGGAGCACATTTCTACACAAAACACAGACAACGGAGATTTTTTTTTCGCAAAAATAGACACAGATTCTTTGGTTTGAGACATTTAACCATTAAAAAAATGTCATTTCTAGACCTTTGAAAAATAAAGGTGGTCTGAGTGATCACTTAAGGATTTTAACGTTTTAGTGGCCCCTGTAGTAGTCGAGTTAGTGGCCAATTTAGAAACCTGAATAGTGCTACTAGACCACTAAAACTACTATAGGGACCATTATAAAGCAAAACAGCTGGTTTTAGTGGCCACTTTAGTGCCTTTGCCAAGTATTCCTTGGGGTGCCTCTTAAGGGACCACTGGAGTTTTTGCTGTTAAATTTCCCTCCAGAGACTTGCCAATAATGCTTAGTTAACTAACATTCAACCTAAAAATTCAGTTTTCCTGGAAAAATTATCTTTTTCGTTCAAACTGCAACAGGAATATCATCATCTAGGATGGAAAAATCTGTAAAAAACGAACCAAATAAGATTCGAACCAATACCAGAGGTCGGCCGGCGGCTGCGTGTACCTCACGTACATGAAGCCGATCCCGCGGATGTACTGACTTTGGCGACTGTTCAACATGCTGATCAGCTGTTTTCTAGAAGAAACTTTCTTTTGAAAAATGCTAAAAAAACAGTAACTTCCTGAAAAATTTCACTTGAAATCCCCCTCCCCACCTCTTTCGATGAAACTTTGTTCGAGTTTACTTGAGGACCTTTAAAATGCAGAAAAAATTCCCCGCATCAGTTTTAATTTTTTTGAGTTAATTTCTAAGATTTAAAAATTCACTGGGGACGTTTTCACCCCCGCGGTTGAATTTGTATTAAGGAATTCTATTGAATGGCACTTTAAGACCTCCTGAATGCCAAAAAAAGAAAGAAGTTCCTCGCAATAGTTTTTCATTTTCGAGTTGAGACGCATTTTTTTCATATTTTTTTCTATCTTTTTTTATGCATTTCAGTCTGAAAAATTCTGAATCATTTTCAAAAAAAGTATATTAATAAAATACGAACCTAGTAACACGAACATTGAAAAGTCGGTAGAGAAGACAAAACGCCGAACTGACAACCCCGCCGGCCCCGACGCCTCGGACCTTAATTTTACTTTTTTTATAGCTTGATTTTTTTCTGATGAGAAACTCCGGAAAATTTCTCAAACATACAATTAAAAAAACCGAAGGGTTTTCAAAAATTCTTACAGAACTATTTAACGTCTTCTCGAACTTGAGAACCCCAAAGAATGGCTCTTCGCTTCAAGAACTTCCATGGAAAAGGGCTATGATCCTTTAAAAAGCTCGGAAAATTTTCGGAAGTCTGGGAGAATTTCGAGCGTCCAATCAAGGCCTTTAGTGGCCACTACAGAAGCTGAATTAGTGGCCACTTAAGTGGCTAAAAACTAGTGGCCTTTTTAGAAGTCTAATTGGTACTACTAGATTCCAAAAAATACGATAGGGACCACTAAGACGCAAAATAGTGGCTTCTATAGGGGTGTCCTTTCCGAGTTGTCCTTGAGGGTGCTCTTAAGTGGACCCTAGAGCGTTTCCTACACAACAAAAATCATCAAAATTTTGATTTAAAAACCTAATTTTCCGACAACTTACCCCTCCACACATGCCCGTCATTCCCTGCACTTTCCTCGTACCTTTTTCCCACGGTTCCAAATGTTTCACCTTGAAAATAGTCAATAAAATATAAAAAATCACAAAAACCTGGTAGAAAATCTCGTCGATGAGCGGCTGAAAAGTGTCGATTTCGATCAGATGATTCTTGTAATAATAGCTTTCTTTGACGTTTTCCAGCACCAAGGTGTTCAAATTCATGGTCGTTTGGTTGCCCCAAATCGGCAGGACGTTGTTCTTTTTCGTTACTCGCTGAAAAATGGCGATTTTTTTGGTTATGAGGCTTTAAAACCATTATATCCGGGACATCAGAACCACCGGAATAATCAATTTCTTCTTCCTGTTGCATAAAAGCCCCAGAGGCGAGTTGCTGCTGGATGATTGCAGCCACCGGATCCATGGCTCTGAAATTGGGAAGCTTTTGGTACGAAACCAACAGAAAAAAAAAGAAGAAATCGCTGGATCGAACGAAAAAGGATATTAAAAGTAACATGAATTCTATCTCCATTGAAAAATACGTAGAAAAAACTTCAATCCAGCGAAAAAATGATTGGAAAAAGTTTATCGCTTTAATTTTAATAGTAATAACAATAAACTAAAAAAATAAATCAACGAAAATATATTCATTCAATATTCCATGGTTCAAATAGCTAACCCAATCCGTCAAAAATCACTTTATTTCAAGAAAATACGCTTTAATATCTTTCCAAAAACAGTAAATCACACATAATTCATAATTCCACAAAAAAATTCTTTGAATTAATCATTTTTGCCAACTAGTCCTTTCAAAAGTCTTCAGTTTCCTTTGGAAAAAAGCCTTCATTTTACTGAAACAGGAAAAAGTTGAGCTATATAAGAAGGTAAAGAAAAATCGACTGTTTCTTTGAATATGGCTTTGATTTCAACCGAACAAAAATAAATAAACAAATGAAGAAATAAAGTTATGTTTGATCGGAGACGAATAAAAAAATTTAATGAGCACACAATTGAACGAAATCCCTTGGGCTACATCAAGTCAATTACTGAGACCTTCGAAGACTTGAAATACAAATTTAAAACGCAAAAATGCCAAAAAAGAGAAAACTCAGGCACTGACGGCGCGTGTTTGTTGCCAAAAGTGCGCCTGCTGCGCGCACGCGCGGGGTGTCTCTTTTGTTTTTTATCTTTTTAAATAATTGAAAAGCTATAAATTTAATATTTTTCATGTCTGTTCATCTTTTAACATTGCTCTGCACCAGTTTATAACAATTAGATTGCACAAAAAGTTTGAAATATCAATGTTTCACTTGGCAATTTTTTTCATAAATTTGTTCGAAAGTGCTCGGAACAACTTCAAAACGTGAGCAGGGGCACTCGGTAGTATCACAAAAAAATATAAAAAAATATATTTCGAAACTGTATTTCAATGGAAAAGACGAAAAAAGAATCAGTACCCCCGCGCGTGCGCGCACCAGTGCCTGAGAAAATAAAAATACGAAAAGGGAGTTAGCGGTGGAGCGCGATTGCCATGGCAGCAGGGCGGGCGCGAGAAAGTGGGCGGAGCGAGAGCACGGGAAAAGCTCATGAGCTTTTGAATTCAACAAAAAAGGTGCAATAAAAAGAAAAAATGAATGATTTCAGGCACTTCTTGAACCCTTGGCCGCCGCGCAAGATTACAACGTTTTCGTACCGATGATGATGCGGAAAAACGTCGAGCTTCAGCTTCAGGCCTTGCAAATGATCGAAGTCTTTTTTTTATTCTGAAAGAGACAATGAAAATTGAAATTAAAGTTCATGTGTGGCCTGATTCCCGCCGTTTTGCAACTGGAAGAGGGCGAATCACTGAAAGACATGAAGACTTTGACGCCCGAAGAAACGGAGCGATACGTTTTGATTTCTGTTATGAGGTTTTTTTTCACAACCATTATTGATTTTTGAAAGATGTGGGATTTCAGGCAAAGCAAGGATGAGTTCGACTCTTTGAGCAAGGACCGGGATGAGCTCGAAACTATGGCCAGGGATGGCGAATCGGAACGTCATCGGCTCGAAAATGAGCTCCGGAATGAAGAGGAGAACGTCTCGAGGGCTCTCGCCGTGAGACATGTTCGATTTTTCGAATAGTTCTGATCTAAAGGAATACATCATGAATCCAAAAAAAAACAAGAAGAGAAACGCTAGTGGCCACTTGAGAGGTTCCTCAAGGGTACTTGGAGAGGGCACTAAAGTGGCCACATAGAAGCCACGATTTCGCGTCTTAGTGGCCACTATAGGGATCTAGTTGTAAAATTTAGACTCCTAAAGTTTTGGTCACTTAAAGGGCCACTAAATCGACCACTACAGTGGCCACTCAAACGTCAAAACCCCTTAAGTGGTCCTATAAATTTTCCAAACACGGTATAAAATCCTCTTTTCATGTATTTTCTGTTAAAAATGACATTCAAATGAAAAAAAAAATTCTATGGATTCGTATTTTTTTAAATTTTTAGGAAGCCCAAGCCGTTTCTCCAAACCCAACACCAGCCGAAGCCGCCGCCGCGGTTATTTATTCGGCTCCACCGCCTTCTCCAACTTTAGGTATGATCCTCAAGAAAAGCTAGAAAAAAAAGAAAAGCTCAAAAATTAAAAAAAAATTCGCGCATCACTGCTAATCATGAGCTGTTGGAAGGGAAAAAAATGAACTTTCAATTGATATTCTTCTTAAAATCTTCCCTTCAGTGGACACTTAAGAGTTTACCCAAGGACTACTTTAAAGGCAGTAAAAAACGGTGTTTCAGTTCAAAGCAGTACTTTGTAGAGCTTTTCATTGCAAATGAACGGTGAACTTGGAAACGTACAGAAATTCCTAGTTTTGGAGAAAAAATAATTCAAAGTCGGAGAAAAGAAAGCTTGAGTTCCCGCGAAAAGGGCGCCTTGCAGTAAAGTTGCTCTATGGACAACAGGGTTCGCCATCTTCCGGATTTTCGCTTTTTTCTTCGTTTCTTTTAATTTTCAATTTTTTCTGTTGTCACCAGAGTTTTTTTCGTCACCAAAGCCTTCGATTCATGTATAATTTGCAAACTTTGATCGCAAAAAAGCTTTTCTGATGAAAAATGATGATTTTACACAGGTTTCGATTGGGATAGCGATTATTTGTGTTTTCTTTATTATCACTGTATGTTTTCGGTTTTCTTAATCAATTTTTCAGAGAAGAAACCCTTAATTTGAAGCAGATAGCCGGTTATTTCATACAAAATGCGAGTCTAATAAGACGTCCGCAACATCACGTGCACGGCTACTGTAAACAGTTGTCTGCATACCGATCCAAAGCTTTTTTCAAAATTAAAGGCGGGAAAGTGAAATCGCGTTTTTCTTCTAAAGTTGTCACATCTGTAATTTTTTTGAGTACACCATTCGATTCGCAATAAAAAACTATATAAGATGCTGCTTTCACCTGAAACCCCATTTTTTACTGCCCCTATGCCTTTAAGTGGATACTAAAGTCGCCACTAGAACCACCACTATAGAAGCAGCTATTTTGCGTAAAAGTGGCCACTTTAGTAGTCTTAGTGGTCTAGTAGTACCACTTAGACTTTTAAAGAGGCCACTAAATGTTATTCACTTAAGAGGCCACTGCTCCGACTACTATAGTCGCCACTAAACGGTCGAAACCCTAAAGTGACCACTAAAAATTCCCCCAGTAATTTATTCCAGTCACAATTAACCATTAAAATCCCTCCAAACCTTATTTTCCATCTTATTCATATTCCCAAACTTCAGCGAACCCCTCTGAAACTTCGGAACGACCTCAAACCTCCAAGAAGAAAACCACGGAACGACCGCCAACTTCCAAAGAACCCCGTCCGGTCACAGCCAAGAAGGAAAAAGAATCAGAAACGACTTCGGAACGGCCGCCAACAGCCAAGGAACCTCGTCCAGCTACTTCCAAGAAAGAGGCCGAAGTTGAAGGAAAAGCCACGAGGAAAAAGTCGGCGAATTTGGCTCAGGATAAGGAGGAAAAGGCTGAAAATGGAGCGGCTAAAAGGTATTTTCTGTCTAGAGTGGTCCCTATAGGGGCTAGGGGAAGAACAGTCCCTATAGGGGTGAAATTTAGGGGACCCTATAGCAGTTTAAGGTCTGAACCTTAAGTTCCTAAAGCTTAAGGGCTCCCTATAGGGGTCACGACTACCATCTTTTCCTAAAGCGATTACTTTGGCGAGCTTTAGTGCCTCCTGTAGGGGGAGACCAAGTGGTCCCTCCAAAGGCCCCTATATATCTCTGGAGTTATTGAGTATTACTATTGAGAGTCACGATTACCATTCTCCCCTAAAAAGGCCACTTTTACAAGCTTTATTGCCCCCTATAAAAGAGGCTAAGTGGTCCCTAGAGGGGAACCTATGAGAGCCCCTAAAGTTGCCCCTATAGGGACCACTCTGGAGTTTCTAAGTAGTGCAGCGTTTTTCTAGTACATTGGTATCATATAAATCATAAAATCATTTTTTAAGTACAGATCCAAAATTCATTGATTTCAGACCCGATTCAAGACACGCGTCTCGTCGCGAAAGCACGGAAAGGACCAAAAAGTCAGTTCCTACGATTTTATCCGAATAATTGAAGATTTTTCATACTCGTTTTGGAAATTTACGGGATAGAATACCTGCATAACAAATTTTCGTTTAGTGAGAAGGTTTTAAAATATCCTTGAAACTGGAGTCTAGGATAGGGGGACTTGAATGAATTTTCATGGATTTTGTAGCTCCAGTATGACTCATATTAGCTAATTATACTGCGTTTCTTGTATTATATTCAATATTAAAGTGGTCCCTATAGGGAAAACTTCAAGGTCCCCTATAGGGACCACTCTGGAGCTTCGAGTGATCATTCTTAGCATCAGATTTTGTCGAAATTTTGGATTTTTTGAATCAGAAAAAATTTTGGAGATCGTCAGACCGTCAACTTTTTAGATAGAGCGTTAAAAGTGGACCTAAAAATTCAATTCTCCTTGAAAATTATGTACTTTTTTATTTAATTTTAAGAAAAACAATTTTTCTTAGCGAGGACCGTCCCACCACCCGCAGGTCCAGTGTCGACCGGAACACTCCCAAGCGGAATGACTCGGTCCCGAGCGAGCGTCGGGCCTCCGCCAGCACCGTAAGGCCTTCCAGAAGCACCGAACAATCCAAGGTACCCCATTTCTTCAATAAATCGAGAGGATATACGATTTCCAGCCTCCCAAGCCGCTCGGGGCCGTGAGAGTTCCCAAGGTGGGGTCCGAACAATCGACGGAACTCATCGAAGAAGAGCCCGGAATGGAGCACGGTCCGAGGAGGAAGAACTTGAACGACGTCAATGTGAGTTGGAAGGAGGGGATATTGAGTCTTTCAGAATTTATTGTAAGACGGAACACTTCCCAGGACCTTAGTGAAGTCAGAAAGTCATCTATACAGTCCGCTAAAACTTGCGAAAGAAGCCCCTAGAGGGAAAAAACCCCTATAGGAATCACTCTGGCGTTCCTAAGTAATCACCAAATGTTTTCAAACACGGCGACACCAAATCGACGCCACACCCACCACAATGGCGGAAAATAAAATGTGTTGTACGCAGTGCACGCGATGCATTAAAAGCGACGCGCAAAAAGCGAGATTGAACGTTTATAGTAAATAAAATCATGCCGTGTTCAAAGTAATATCCGCGAAATGCGAAATGGTCTCTGACCCTCCAAAATTCAGTTATCTTTCTCTTTCTCTGACGGCTATTTTGAATTTCGCGGAATCACTTTGAACACGGCATCAATTTTAGGACTGGTGTTCACCCATGGCCCGCCGGAAAAATTTCTACAATATAATTATTTAAAAAAATCCCATCTAGAACTAAAATGAAGAGAAAAAAACTCCTTTTTAGAGCTAATATTCTATTTCAACCTCCAAAATTTTTTTCTGACCTCTAAAAACTAGTGAAAATCTCGAACTTACAATAAAAAAACAGGATTCTGTCAAAAAAAGTCTTATCTAACGGGAAACCGACGGGATATGGAGAAAAAACCTAATCAAAAAAATAGGATTTTTTTCGTACCAGCTTGTTTTTTGGGAAAACCGTGTTTAGAACTATGTTGAGAAGTCATTGCTTCATTATATCAAACTCATTTCCTTCTACTTCTAGATCGTTTCACCTTCAAAAAAAAAAGCTTTTTTCCTAATTATGTGCTCGGAAAAGCGTCTATCAGAGCTGAAATTCCCCCAAATGAATTCTTAAAAATTAGCTTCAAAAAAAGCCTATTTAGGCCCACCTAGTCGACCCAGCTCGTCTCAACTCGGCCGACGTCCGTTTTCGAGCCGAGTATTTGAGAATGCAACGCGATCGTCTTCTCGAACTGAAGCGCCAGGAGAGAATCAAGCAGATGAATGTGAGTAGTAATAGTCTAATAATTCTCATCTTCGAGGAAAAGCTCAGAAATTTGGAGCAGTAGCAGATTGAAAATAATAACTCAATCAATTTTTTTTTTTGAAGAAGATGGGACCGCAAGCTTCAGGGGTTGATAAAGTGGTCCCTAGAGGGAACCTCCAAGGGGCTCAGGGCTGCCCCTATAGGGACCACTCTGAAGATCCTAAAAAAAGCACTTTTTCTTGAAATGGAAGATAAAAAAATCTTCATAATTGTATCGAAAAAAACTTCAAAAAAACTCCCTAGGGTTGCCCCTATAGGGACCACTCTATAGATCCTAAAAAAACTCAAAAAATTCATTCAAAAATAAGAAGGTGATGACAGGAAGTGGCGAAGACGTCGCAGGAGCGTCCCCGGACAGCTCGAGCCGCTCGCGGCGCCATGCGAGCTGGAGCAGCCGACGAGGAGCTCGAGTCCCGGAAAGCCATCGCCTCCAAGCTCCAGGCCGAGGTGCTCACTCTCGACCAATGACTTTCTCTTTGAAAATTCAAGACAATATCTTTTCGAATAAATCGTTCATGTACACGAGGGACAGGAAAAACTGCAAGAATGCCAAAATTCAGCCAATTTCAATTGTCTTTTTCACTCGAATGGCTATAAACTATTCAAAAGTAGTAACCAAACAACATCGATGCAAATAACTTTCACGTAAAAAAAACAATTTTAATCAAAAGTTTATGAAAAAGAAGACACGACGAGAAGTGGAACAACAGCGGCTGAATAATTTTTTTGGTGGAACCCGAAAAAATGGATTTTCAAATGGTCAGGTATATGAAAAGGAAAGCTTCGAATAAAGCGGAATGAATGAAAAATGATGGAGAAAATGGACAAAAATCGAGAAAATGAGAGATAATTTGGCACTGAAACAGCACTTTTCGTTGGAGCGCAGAAGATGGCTTTTGGAATTTTTCAATTTTTTTTTTTTTCTTTTCAAAAAGGCTTGAGAAATCCTGAAAATAAGTCTTTTTGTGCTCGTGAAAAGCCTGAATTTGTTTTTCCTTTTTTGTGGAATTTAAAAAATGACAAGAGAAGAGAAGAATTAGTGCAACGAATCGATTCAAGAAAGAAAAATCGAGTTTTTTGGTGTTAATATTGCATTCTAAAGGAAACTATTCAAGCCGAAAAAAATAATCAACGTTTTTTTCAATTTTTCAGAATCAAATTTTTTTCAGATATTTCAAAAAAATCAATCTCGGCAATAGAAAACGATAAAGCGCATGTTGAAAAAAATTGAGGAAATTAAGAAGTTGGGAGTTGATCGATGGGGGTAACGAAGCGGTAGTCCTCCGGGAAGAGTTCCGAGGCCTTGGGCAACAATAATTTGTACGTCTGCTTTATCGTCACCTCGGCCGCGCCCGCGATATCGCCAATATCTACAGAAAATCATTTTATTCACTCATAATCCTTGAAAAAGTTTAATTTCCCTTGGAAATTAGTCTTCTATAATTTAAATCTTGATCGGTTCTAAGAAACTTTCAAGCGGTCCCTATAGGGAGCGTAATAAGGACCCCCTAGGTTACCTATAGAACTTTAGGGTTTCAAAAGACCGCTCCGGAAACATTCTAGGGGCCACTAAAATTTTGACCCCAATAAAAACGGCGAAAATGCCCCTATAGTGGTTCTCAAAAAACCCTATAGAGACCCCTACATTCCTTTCAAAAGAGCCTCTGAAGCTTCAAAGCTCCAGTGGAGCTGCACTTAAGTGACCAATAAAACTTTGACCTAAAGAGGGGTCGCGAAACCTTCCCTATAGTGATCCCTATAACAACATAACCTACAGAGACCCCTACACCCTGCCTATAAAAACCACTGAAGCGTTAGGGTTTTAGTGGACCTCTCAAGAAGCCCTATAGAGGCCACTTGAACTTTGACCACTAGGGGGACCATAAAATTGCCCCCTACAACATCAAAACATTATGAAAAAACTCAAAATTCTTCAGTTTTTTTCAAACTTGGACGGCGATGAAAGCAAGTTCGCTGTAGGGGATTTTCTTGGTTTTGGCGGTAAATTTGAATTCCAAAACTTCGGTATTCAATAAAGTTCCAGCAATTTCTCAAACACAGACTATTTAACCGGATTAGAGCTTGAAAATTACATAATAAAAAATACAGAATCACACCATCGACACTAAAGAACCCTTTTAATATCGGAAAAATCCAGAATTTTCTCATAATCTCCAAATGCTTACCTTTAGCCGTCCTCTTGTCGCTAGAAGCCTGCGAAGCCAGGTAAATGGCCGCCGCGGCGATGGAAATCGGCGATCGACTGAATATTCTCAAAATGAAACAAGAAAACAACTAAAATATGAAGAAGATCTTTGTTGAAAAATATTTTAAATTATAACCGATAGTTCGACTTTTAGAAAACCCTATTGAAATCGGCGATCTAGGGGAAGCTTTTCTTCCTTTTTTCAATGATGAAGTGCTTCAAAATTCATAAATCCTGTTACTAAGCATCCTACTTACTTACAAGGGCTACGGAAAACTACCAATTACCGCAAAATCTCAGGACCTGTCTAAAAATTTGAAAAAAACGAACCCGGCAACCAAATCCATATCGACCGCCCGTTTGGCGATACGAGTTGCGGCGGACTGAAAATTAATTTTTTCAACGAAACAAACTTTGAAAATCAAACAATCACATAAAATTTATCTAAAAAATGAAAATTTCCTTTAGATACCAACTCGGAGTAGATGGAAAAATCTGTAGTACCTCTTTTTTTTCCCGAAAAATAGCTTCTTAGGGTCCTTAAAAAAAACCTTTACTCAACTTTTTTACTTCTTTCACCAAAAAGTCATTGGGGACTAACTAAAAAGGTTCCAGAGGACTAAAAAAGACTTTCTGAGGCTATGAAAAAGTGGTTTTTCCATAATTTTTTGGGCTAGAAAAACATTTTTCGCTTCTTCAAGTGTCCTCAAAGTAACTTTTCCGTTTGGCCAATGCAAATTCAAAAAAAAAAAACGAGAAAACCGGTAAAAAAATCATTTTTAATGGTTTTTCCGTTTTACTCATGCAGTCTGAAGCAAAATTTCATACACCTGAAAAGTTTTAAAACAGAAAATTCATGAAAATGAAGGTGATTTCTCAAATTCCTTACAAAACAGAAGCTTTTATAAAACCATTTACGAAAAAAAAAAATTCAGCCAAGAGTTCAAATCTCAAGTTTAGAACCGTTTCTTAACCTTATAAATCGCTTTTCACCTACTTTCTGATAATAATACATTTTTGACAGACCTGCGCAAATCCCAACGACTTTTCTTGGGTCTAGAATTTAAGAAAATACATTATAAAACTCCAACAAATCCCATAATATTTTTTTTTGCAAAACTCCTGGACACATTTTGAATGTGCAACCGACCTGAATCGAGTTGGCCAAGCCGAGATTGGCGCAGAAACGGGACATGAAGTCGGCCGACGTGATCTGCTCCAGATTCGTTTCGAGACTCTTTATGATCAGCTTGAAGCAACGTCCGATTTCCTTCTTGGAAACGTGCGAAACGGCGCAGATTTCTGAAGCGTTTATTCAAGACCAGTTGATTAATATAGTTAAATTTTTTTTTAGAGAGGGAGAAAAATGATAAACTAACAATGAAGAGCTCATAAGACCTACTGGGAAAATCTCTAGTGGTCACTTAAGCGGTTCCTAATGGGCTACTTAGAGAGGTCACTGAAGTGGCCACTAAACCACACTTTTAGAAGCAACTGTTTTGCTTCTTAGTGGCCACTATAGTGGTCGTCCCTTAAATGGCTCACAAGCTTTTTAACTTTCTCGGGAAAACTTCAGTGACCACTTTGGGGTTTTGAAGTTTAAGTAGCCACTATAGTGGTCGAAGTAGTGGCCACTTAAGTGACTAAAATTCAATGGCATCGTTAGAAGTGTGAGTGGTACAACTAGATCACTATAGTGGCCACTAAGACGCAAGTTAGTGACTTCTATAGAGTTGGTTTTAGTGGCCACTTTAGGGGCCCTCTCCAAGTAGTCCTTGAGGGACCTCTTAAGTGGTTCCTAGAGCTTTTCTTAAGAACTTGGCTGAGAAGAAAACCTTCTAAATGCCTTCAGAGGCGAAAAAAAGGGTCTCGAAGCGAAATTTGGTCTTTTGGACAGGAAAAAAAACGAGAGCAGCTAACAAACTACACGTTAATGGAAGCTTTTGAAACTTCAAAAATGGAAAAAAAATTTTTTCTTCATAGAACCTGAACTCCACTTCAGCGAAAAATCTTCTTCTAAAAAAGTTCCCCAGTCAAAAATTCACCTTTAAAGGTACGAGGAACGCCGTCTTTTCTGCAGGCGATGTAAAGACAGGCGGCCGCTTGGGCCTCGTTATTTTTGCCGCGCAGAGCCTTGCTGTCCAGGACGTCTTTGAAGATTCGGGCCGCGTTGTCCTGAAATTCTAAAAGTCCTTGAAATCTAAATTTGGAATGCCAGAGTGGTCATTAGAGGGGCCAAATCGATGTCCCACCTCAATGTTCTTGGGCAAGTTGATGCGGGCGCTCATGTCCCGGATAACGCCCATCGCCTGGGTCATCTGCCGGTCCGTGTTGTTCATCGACTTTCGCTGCGCGTTCGCCAAACTGAAAAAAAAAACTTTTATTCAATCTTAAATGGAAAAATTAAGAGCAAGACCATTGAATCTACAAAGAAAGGTCAAACTTCGAGGTTTCTAAATCCACTTCGAAAAAAAATAATATTGAAAACCTTGTTTTTTGCTTTAAAATCCCCAAAGTTCTTGGTTAGGCTCTTTTTTACTAGAGGGTGTTTAGAATTATAAAAACGAAAAAAAAAACAGGAAATCGTTCCCAAGAGTTAGATTTTCAGGTGATGAGAACAAGAAAATGAATTTTTTTACGAAGTTTCTGGCTCAGAAAAAAAAACGACAGGCCAGAGCGAATAAATAAGTTTAGAGAGCACGAAAATCATGGAGAGACCAGACTCTTACTCTCCTCGTTCTACACACTCTCTGAGGATCTGCCTTTAGGAAAACTTCTAGTGGCCACTTAAGGGGTTTTTCAAGGACCACTTGGAGGACCCTAAAGTGAACTCTACCATATCTATAGAAGCCACTATTTTGAGACTTAGTGGCCACTATAGTAGTTTTGGGAACCTACTAGCACCATTTAAACTTCGAAAAAGGCCACTAAATTCGAGTTACTTAAGGTACGACTATTTCGACTACTATAACGACCACTAAAACTACAAAACCCTAAAGTGACCCCTCAAAAATTTCCTTTCGAGAAAATCATGAAGGACCTATTATCACTGTCGGAGGCGCCGAAGCCGATGGCCATGGTGGTGGAGAGATCTCCGCCGCTGAGCAGCGGATTTTCCGGGGCTCCGACACGAGAAGGATCGTTGGAACTGCGCTCGTTGGAGAACGACCGCCATTCCGTGCCCACGTCCACCAGTCTGCAAGAGGTCTCCTTTTCTAATACTCTGTATTTTCGTGTTTGAGTGAAATAAATAAATAAACAAAAAAATAAGAACATGGAGTTTGCACAAGGATAGATCAGCTTTTCCCTGGGGAGGTCATGTTACTTTGCGGTAGGGAATTTTTTGAAAATTGGCCAGAATCTTCTTGAATGTTCCAGAAGAAGATTCTGAAAGTCTCATCCTGCACAACTTCCTCGTTTTCGAGAAATAAGGTCTCAAAGCCTCAAAATAGCCCATTTTAATGGATTTCGAAGGTTTTTGCTCGAAAAATAGGAAGTTGGGCCAGGTTGGGACTTTTAAAATCTTCTTCTGGTACATCGAGGAGCGTTCTGGCCAATTTTCAGGGAATTCCCAACCGCAAAGTAAAATGACCTCCCTTGTTTAGCTTCTCAAGAAATATTGATTTATTGTAACGATCCATTTCCTTAAAAACTATCTTTTTTTGAACTCTAGATTTTTTCAATGAATCATGCACAGTCCAAGCGGAACATTCTGCTCAATTATTTGAAATCGAGCATGTAATTTCTAAAACTGTAAAAACGGAAACCGGTTGAAGCAACCAGGCTGTAACGTTCTTTATTCGGAAAATTCAATCTTTCAAAGTTTCAAGTAGGAAAAATTTTTCTTCCGAGTCGCCTTAGGAATTGTCGTCTTTTTGAAAATTCAAGCCGTTAAGGTTTGTAAAATTTTGTAGAATGAAATATCGACTTTGTAAAGTCAGTTGTAAGCTCAATGAAAAACCTTCATTCAAAAATAAAAATGAGGCTTTGTCAAACAGTAATGAATCGTTATTTTTTGAGGCCAATCTAATAATATTGTCAATTGGCGTAACTACTTTAAAGTTTACCACAGGGAAAAACCAAAAGAAACTTTCCTATAATTTTGTTTTGATGTTGAACTGGAAAATTATCTCTTACTCCTTTTTTTAACTATATTTTTTTCTATAAAAAAATTAATCGATCCGTCTTACTAAAAAAAAAATTTTGTTTCCGAGTGCGAGTAGACAATTTCTTTCAAACCAAACGTACTCAAAAAAAAATTATTTCATGATGAACGCACAAAAAACGACCTTAGGACTGCCAATGATTATTAAACTCTGCTTTGAAACCGTAAAAAGCTGTTTTTCCGAATGAACTTCGAAAAAATGACCTGTCGCCGACAACCAAGCCACACTGCGGGCAGACGAGATCTCCCGCCCGATGATCTTCGATTAAATGAACGTCCGGATGAGTTGGACACTGAACCGGGGCCGACATCTCAAAATAATGACTCAAATTGTTATCAGCGGGCTTTTATAGGGCGCAAAAACTACAAAAAATATTGCGAAATTTCAAAAATGAGGGAGAAAAAGAAGGAAGGGATTATCAGAGATTTGGAAGAATTAAAATGAATGAGAATATGAAAAGAAGGTTTAAGAGTGACAAGAAGATAGTTTTATAAATCTATTTATAATAGAAAACAATCAGAAGGCTTAGAAATGTTAGGAAATTATGAAAATCGAGAAAAAAAAACTCAATAATATTGTCCCTTTGCCACCTTCTTTAAAGGCACATGAAGATATTTCGAAAATTCTCGAAAGACCAAGAAAACAATTGGAGCGAAAAAAATGTTTTTGTCAACAAGATCCGTGGGAAACACTTCGAAAAATCTTAAAAATCAATAGAAAGCCGTGAATCACCGTCGAATGATTTTAAATCGCTCTAAGCGATTTCATATTACAAACTTTTCCAAATATAGAGAAAATCCTTTTCCCTCTTACTCAATTTATCGCTATCAGAACACTTCTTCCTCTGACTTTGAACCAAAACGTGTCGGCTTTTATAGACATTAACGGTGAAAGATAAGAAAATGTCGAAATTTGAAAAATTGGATGATCAATAATGAGGAAGTCCTGATAAGGAGTCTTGACAAATAAAAAAAGTGAACCTTTCACGCAATCAAAAAAATCGAAACTCTTCTAAAAAAATGTTTTTTTAATTCATTAAAAAGGCCATTTTTTTAAGCTTAAAAATTTAAAAAAATTAAATAAATTTTTCTCGCACAGGGAAAAAAATATCTCCATTGATTCTTTATGAATCCTGTCAGCCCAGCTGTCCTCATGTAATTTAAAAACCAAAAAATAAAAATAGAAACGACATAAAGAAGTGACGACCAAACGTTGTTGAAAAAGTGGAAGTTTTTCGAACTGAAAAGGGGCGTGGCCCTTGGGAAAAACATATGCACTTGGCGCGCAGTTTTTCTGCAGCTTCGCTTTCAAAAATTTTCATCGGATTTTCAAACTTCATTTTGCAAAAACTCTTCATAAAGGAAGCATTTATTAGGCGATGGAAGAGAAGAAAGACTTTTGTGGGACCCGTAAATAAAAGAGATTCACAAAATATACATCAACGTTTTCGGTAGTAACCAGGAAAACGCATGGATAAAAATTGTTTTCGAATTGCCGGATTGCATGAAACGTAGATGACGATTCGAACAGCGGAAGATGTCATGTAGAGAAGACTCACTGAATCGCCAAGGACCGTGTAAAGGAGGGAAGCCTTGTAGTGGTCGTTCTCACTGAATAAGAATATTATTTTCTAATTTTTGAAGTTCGAAGGAAGACTTACTCGACAAGAACCGAAGCTTTAGTCACTTCCAGGAGTGTTAATATGATGTGTAAAGAGTTGGATATCAAATAAGTCGCGACGATTGTGACCTTAAAAATTATTTCTTTGGATAAAAAAAATGTTCATTCGAAGATTACCATTGTATAAATAGCGTTCCTAACACTGGCCGGCATTTTGTGGATCCGTAATGAAGTTAAAACCCGTAAAGAACGACGTCGGGACATTGTCGGAGTTTCAACCTAAATTTTTCCACTTTGAGTTGAAGTTTAACCTTAAATTTTGAAGAAAATGAGGATTATAACAATTTCAGGAATAATTTGAGTCTCGTTTGCCTCCGAATCTTTTTATTAACCAAATTTTCGATAATTAGAAGTTTTTTTTCTTTCAGCGCAACGTATTTTTGTTTACGCATTCGACTTTAATGTCAAAAAAAAATGAGAAAAAAAAAATTAATAAGTCCAAAAATCCGCAGATCCGCGAAAAACTCCAGTGGCCACCCAAGTGAATCCTGAAGGACTACATGGAGGGGACAATTAAGCACTTAAGTGGCCACTCATACGACTACTGAAGTGGCTACTAAAACCTCAAAACCCTAAAAAGTCCACTAAAAATTTTCACACAACTTTTCAAAAAGGCTATACTTGGCACATTTTATAAAGCTCAAAATCCTGTACAGCCTAGAAAAGCTTTAAAAAAATCTGTTTATTTCGAGACCCGTTATTAAAATTTTCTATGCACCTTTAAACCTCAGGAAGAGTTTTCGAGGGACATCAACCATTCGAACGTCAAAAATAACTCAAAAATTAAATTTTTAATGACCAATTTCTTGTTTCAACAGAAAAATTTGCGATTTTGCTTAAATTTTTGACTTTTTTCCCGTGGGAAGTTGATTTGACTTTTTAAAAATGATTTTTGAAGATCCAACCTTAATTTCCGTCAGTGGTTGTCGTTTTTCGGCGTCAATCTTGGCCAATCGGTTAACAATGACCAAGTTCAAGAGCATCAGCATGAAGAACGGAAAGAAGGTCTGGAGACATCCGATCACATAAACGTCGTAGATCATGTACCATGCACTTTCCTGCAATTTTTATAATTCTTAAGGAAAAAAAAAATCAAAAAGTGAAAAACTAGAAAAAAACCAGCAAAATTTCATAATATCATGTTTTTTGAGGATAATCAAGGATATGAAAAATATTATCCAACGAAATTTCGATGGAAGCTAGCGAAAGAGCTGAGGAAGTCCAGAGTGGTTCCTTTAGGGACAATCTCAAAAGGTCCTTGAAGGTTCCCCTCTAGGGACCACTTTACTATCCCCTATAGGAACCACTAGAACTTGCAAAATGGACCAGACTTTTTTGTGTAACGTTTTTTGCAACCTTTATAATTTTTCATGTTATATACGACCTGAAGACAAAAAAAAACCTAAAGTAACCACTCAAGGGCCAAATAGAGACACCTAGTGACCACTTTAGTGACCTCCTGAATCACTTAGAAAGCCATGACTATCGAAACTAACACATAAAGCTTTCCGAAACTATATTTTTCAAGAACCCACCCTAGCCCAAATGCGAACATCCACAGCCAAAGTCCTGAAAAAGTCCTCGCAGTCTGGAAATTCGGTTACGGTCAGAGCCAAGGCCGACGGAATCCTCAAGGCCGTCGCTCCGAGTAGAAGGCCTCCCAGGGTGAACGGCCTGAACTTGGGCTGCAGGATCGCCAGTTTCCTCCTGAAAAATCCCGAAAAAAATTTTCTCCGAGTAATTTTTGAGCTTGTCAGGGTATCAAGGGACACCTGAATGATCGTGGAAACCCTAGGAACGCCGGAGGAGTCACTAGAGGGACCCTTTTAGCTCCTCCTGAAGAGGCAATAACGCTGGCAAAAAGTGGCCACTCTAGGGGAGCATGCTAGGGATCCTTCTAAGTCTTTTTAAATTAAAAACAAACTACTATAGGGACCACTTAAACCTTCAAGCTAAAAGGTCAGATCGTAAACTCTTATAGGGATTAAATTTTAGCCCTCTAGGGAGCCCTACATTGCCCGCCATAGGGAATTTTTCCTCATAAACCCTCTAGGGACCACTCTAGCGATTTCAAAGATCACTATAGGGACCACTTAGCTTTAGAAGCTAAAAAGCCAAATCGTAAACTTCTATAGGGATCACTTAAATTTTTGCCCTCTAGGGAGCCCTACAGTGCTTGCCATAGGTAATTTTTTCTCATAAACCCTTTTTGGACCACTCCGGGATTCCTAAGAGACGCTTTAAAATCCTCAAACTCCTTTAAAAACGATATAAATGAGCCGTTCCGAAATTAACCAGACTTTTTCTGCCTCAGGCTTGGGCGAGGGCCGGTCCGTCAGCTTATCGGGTCAACCCGGACCGGCACAAGAGCCCTCATTTTCTTCAAGCCAAATGGAGAGTTTTCCATGAGAAAAATCAAGTTTTTTTTTTTCCTTTTAACTTCCACTGAAACTATAATTTACCAAGTAAAAATAGTTTCTCGGTAAAACTTTTGAATTAGGATCGAAATTTGCTTGACAAAACTTGAATTTTTTTCCTTCAGGTACCAAAAATTCCTCACTTTTTCGAGCAAATCCAGGTGTACCGCTCCAAAGTGCCCAACATCAACATGTAAGGGATCAGAAATTGGACGAGTTTCGCTGCACAGAAAGTGAAGATTATGTAGCGGTGGAACAGGACGAAGAGTTCCTGAAAAAAAAGAAATTAATCAATTTAAAAAAGAGTGATACAATTTGAGAAGCATGGAAATTCTTTTTCTTGGTTAATCATCCAAAAAATCAATAAATTTTTGGATGAGTATATTTTCTTATATTTGAAGTTTTAAGGTATTAGTCATAAAATTCCTTTTTTTTCATCCAACTTCCGGATATCAATCTTAATCTAATAAGAAACCTAAACAAAATGCTGCGTCAAACAAAATTAGCGATTATTTTGTAAAATCTCCATCAGATTCAACAATTATTGAACTACTCAGAACGCCCAAGTGGTCCCTAGAGGGGCTAGGGAAAAAAGACCCTATAGCAGATAAAAAGTGCTCTCTAGAGTGATAAAACCCAGGTGATCTCTATAGGAATTTCGACCCAGCTCCTAAAGCTCAAGTGATCCCTATAGTGGTCTTTTAGTTTTTGATCTGCTTCGAAAGTCGACAAGGCGTATTATAGGACCACTATCATGCTCCCCTAGAGTGGCCACTTTCACAAGCTTAAGTTCGCCCTAAATGGGGAGTCAAGGGAGTCCCTATAGGGGAACCTTCAAGAGACTCTAAGGCAGGGGACCACTGTGACGTTCGACTGAATTGCTCCCCTAAAGTGGCCACTAACTAAAATTTCTTAAGTGGCCACTTTTCCAAGATTTAGTGTCACCTTTCAGAGCCTTCATGAGCCTCTAAGCTCGCCACTCGAGGGACCACTGGGTCCTTAAAAAAAACGAAAAATTTGAAAAAATCAGTTTTTGAAAATGTTCTTGCTTCTTTACATAGAGGCGCCCCTAGAGTGGTCAGGAAATAAAACCCTAAAGTGGGTTCTTTCGCAAGATTCCTTGTCATCTTTCAGAGCCTACATGAGCCCCTACGTTTTCCACTCTAAGGACCGCTCTAGGGTTCTTAATAAAAGCGGAAAATTGAGAAATTCAGCTTTTAAAGGCTCCTCCAGTGTGGTCACAAACAAAAATCCCTTAAGTGGCCACTTTCGCAAGATTTAGTGCCACCTTTCAGAGCCTACATGAGCCTTTTTTTTGCACTCTAGGGACCACTTTAGGGTTTTAAAAAAAAGCGAAAAAATTGAAAAAATCCGCTTTTAAAATGTTCTTGCTTCTCTTCATAAAGGTTTCCACAGAGTGATGACCAAATAAATCCCTAAAGTGGCCACTTTAGCAGGATTTAGGGACACCTTTCAGAACCTATATGAGCCCCTACGTTCGACACTCTAGGGACCACTCAAGGGTTCTTTCAAAAAAAAGCGAAAAAGTTGAAAAGCTTTTAAAAGTTTTCTTGCTTGTTTTCATAAAAGCGGCCACAAACAAAAATCCCTCAAGGGGCCACTTTCGGAAGATTTACTCCCACCTTTTAGAACCTACAAGAGCCACCAAGGCGGCCCCTCTAGGGACCACTCTAGGGTTCTTAAAAAGCGAAAAAATTGAAAAAAACCAGCTTTTAAAAATGTTCTTCCTTCTTTTCACAGAGGCGCTCCTAGAGTGACCACGAAAAAAATCCCTTGAGTGGCCACTTTCGCAGGATCTAGTGCCACCTTTTAGAACCTACAAGAGCCCCCAAATTTTTTTGCTTCTTTCTACAGTGGCTTCCATAGAATGGCCACAAACTTTAATCCCTAAAGTGGCTTTTTTCAGAGTCTACATGAGCTTCTAAGTTTTACACTCTAGGGACCACTCTAGGGCTCTTAAAAAACGAAAAAATTGAAAAAATCAACTTTTAAAAAAGTTTTTGTTTTTTTCTACAGTGTCTTCCATAAAAAGGCCACGAACTAAAATCCCTTAAGTGGCCATCTTTAAAAACCTACAAGAGCCCCCAAGGAAGCCCCTCTAGGGACCACTCTAGGGTTCTTAAAAAAGCGAAAAAATTGAAAAATTCAGCTTTTAAAGGCTCCTCCAGAGTGGTCGCAAACAAAAATCCTTAAGTGGTCACTTTCAGAGCCTACAAGAGCCCCTAAGTTTGCCACTCTAGTGTCCTCTCTGACGTGCTTTCAAACACAAAATATCTTTTATACAAGTTTGAACCTCGCTCCGATTGTAGATCATATTGACATCGACGACGAAGATCATGATGAAGAAGGAGCACAAAAGGCCGTCCAACAGGGCCAACGCGGCCGGATACAATTGAGGCGGAGAATTGGGCAATTTCCGGGTGGTGAGCAGCAAGAAGAGCAGCGCGTTCGAGACACATCCTGCGCGAGATCATTGGCCTTATTCTTTTTTGAGATTAGATACCGAAAAAGGCGACGACGCCGCCGAGGGAGATGTAGACGAACCGGGCGGTCGTCACTTCCTCCGTGTACCCGCAGACACCCGTCTCGTCCTCCATCCTGCAAATCCCTGCCCGTAAAACCGAGAAAACAACACGGAAATGATCTGGGTGGGTAATTGGAAAAGAGAGAAAATAAAGCCGTGAAAATGCTGGGGAGGTTTCTCACTCCATGGAGAATCTTTTAAAACCGAGGTTTTTTATAAAGATCGTTATATTATTAGTTTGTTGATTGATCATGATGATATTTTGATTTTTGATTTTATTGATTTATCTCAAGATTAAGTTGATTAGTCCATTCGCCGCTACCTTTCAAATGTCTCTCTTTCCCTCACCGACGAGGTCAGAGAAACATGAAAATAGCATGTCAACGTGAGAGGGTCACTGAGAAACGAGGAGGGCGCAGAGAGAAAAAAAAAGGATAAAAGAGCCTTAAAACCCCGGAAAACGCGCTCCATTGATAATTTAAGCTTTCTGAGAATAAAAAGTTCAAATAAAGGCTTGAAAATTAGTGAATACAAGAATCATGATAAAGAAACACCTGAGAAAACTTTAAAAAAAAATCGGATCCTTGAAAATAATATTTCTACAGGCAGTGGACCCTTTAGGAGTTTGAAAAAAAAATCAAAATTAAAAATCATAAAAAAATCAGCTAAAAAAGAGAAAGTGCGCTCTACGGATAAATTGAACTAATTCGCTTATGAAATCTAAAAATCCTAAAAAATCGGGAAAGTTTATTTCATCAGAAAAAAAAGCTGCGAAAAATCGGTATCCTACAGAGAATGTGCGCTCCACAGCTAAAATTGAGTGAAATTCGAAATTTCCCCAATATTATTCAAATTTTTTTCGCTTTTTTTGAATTTCAATGAAACAATGAAACTTCTGAGAATTCAAAAAAAGAAAAATAAATTAAAAAAGAAAACTGAGAGCCTTTTCAGAAAAGCTGACATGCTCAGAAAGGTTAGGCCAAAATTTTCGAGGTGAACCTTTAGAGGACCTTTTTCCGACGTTCCAAGCATCAAAATAACAAAATAACATTAGTTAGAAGCTCAAAACACGACTAAAAACTTGTGGTCAACTAAAAAGAACAAACAAAATTTGATATGCAGGTTCCTTCTTCTAGAGGCTTCACACGATGATTTCAATAATCCGCTCTAAATCGTGCAAAATTTCGCTCAAAGCTCAAAAAACATGGCGGACAAAGTCTTTGTCGGGAAGGGTTTCATTCTTTTCGAACAGGAAATGAACTCAAAAATCAGAAAAATTGTCGAATTATCTAGTAAATTTCAAAATTGGTCCACAACTAAAGAAAAACTGAACTCTGGCTCTATCCAAAGGGCGAAAATTAGGCTATATTCGTCTAATTTGAAATTCTGAGGTCCCTTTTGAAAGAGCAGCTGAAACGTTTAGTTGATGATCTTTTGAATGAAGGTCGAGTTGAGTCAGAAAACCCCGATATTATAATAAATGACCGCCATTGGAATAGATGGATTTTTTGTGATGCACCCGACCTGAAACGACTTGCGCGAGAGGACATTTGTCGTTTTTAGAAGATGCTTCAAACCATTCCAAATGCGACCAAAAAAAACGAGAACTTTTTTTAGAACTATTGGAAAGAATGAGAGGAAAGGGCTGGTTATTTTTGGATGCACCCGACCTTAAACGGCTTGCGCCTTAGGGCATCAAGAAGCATGGAAGCTGGACTACTTGGGGTTTTTGAAAGATGCTTTAAGACCTTCCAAATGCGACCAGGAAAATTCAAAAAGACATCTTCAATTATAAAAAATTCTGACGCTGCAATTGGAATGGCTCATTGCTTTTAGACGCGCCCGACCTTAAACGACTTACGCGAGAGGGTATCCAGAAGCTTTAAAGCAAGCTACTCAATCAATTGTGGTTTTCAAAAAAGCGATTAGAAACTTCAAAAATACGTCTTCAGTCCAGAACGATTTTAAAAAACGACCAAAAAAGCTCATCTCAAATAAGGATACTTATATTTTTTTGTAAGACGTCATTTCGATGACGTAAATTTAGAAAAAAAAATAAATAAATAAACGAATGCGGGAAGTTACTTCCGCTGCCAATTACGGGCCTGAAGAAAAACAGCTGGACCTCAGGAAAACTTGATTTTTTATTCATTTATTCATTTTTGAGGTCGAAATATTTTTTTGTCTTGAAAAGTTCAACTAATCCCGTTAAAAGGTGTATTTGAAAATAAACCTTTAAAAAATAAATTTTAGTGTAACTTTTTTTTCATCAAATACTGGAGGAAATTAAAGGAAATAGGAAATTGGGACAGAAAAAAGAGAGCTTTGATTATTGTCTAGGATCTGGGCGCATTTTTGAAAACCACGAGTATTGGGAAAATTTTAAGTGAACACTTTAGGGTTATGAAGTAAAAACCACTGTAGTATTTAGTAGCCTTAAGAGGCTGAAAATTAGTGACCTCTTCAGAAGTCTAATTGGTACTTCTAGATCACTCAAATACTATAGTGGCCACTAAGAGCCAAATAGTGGCTTCTAGAGAAATGGTTTAAGTGGCCTCTCTAGTAACCTCTTCAAGTAGCCCTTGAGGAACCTCTTAAGTGGCTACTAAAGTTTTTTCTAGTAGGTCAGCATTTTTTCTTTTGCTTTTTGATCCCTTCTTGCGCAAGTCGTTTCAGGTCGGGAGCATTTTTTTCAAATTTAAAGCGATTATTCAAACTCCATCATTAACAAAATGAAACTACAGTTTCAAAAATGGCTTATTTTAAATGTTTTTCCATTTTCAGCCAGTAAATTTGAACTTCTCTCATTAGGAAAAAGGTAAAAAGTTTCATGAATTTGGAAAAATAAATGGTTGAAACCATGAGAAAGTACGTGCAAAATGAAGAATAAAAAAATAATTTTTCTTGCTTATTTAGTTAAATTTTTTTAATTAATTTTAATTTAAAAAAAGTTAGATCATAGTGAAAAAGGATATTAAAAAGGAAGCTGGATGTTTAGTGCAGGATAATATGAATTAGAAATTGCTCTCTGAGCTTTTTGGCTCGTCTTTGAAAAATAGAAAAAAATGCGCCGAAACAGCCAGAAATTAGAAGTTTCCAAGTAAAATATAAGTATTCAAGCGTTCCCAAATGGCTTCTTGAACATAAAAAAAATAAGTTATGAAGTTTTTCGAGTTCAAAAAATTATTTCAGAGCAATTTTAGTTGTTTTAAGCAGAATTTATGACCAAAATGGTTGTTTTTTACAAACTTTCAAGCCTAAATATCAAACCAGATAAGTTCAAAAACCGTGGCCGCACTGGGAATGGCTGGTTCGATTCAGTTCTACAGCTCTTATGATTTTCAGTGCCCTAGGGCGAAAGTCGTTTTAGGTCGGATGCACCTAACCAGTCGGCGTGAATAGGCGAGTTAAATGTGATTTTTCGCAGAATGAGAGTTAGAATAATCAAAACCAAGCTTCAAATCCAATTTTCAATCGGTTTTTTTTTTCCAATTTGCCATTCTATAGAGTTAGAAAAGATAAATCTCTTTCCCATTGATCAAAAATCTCTCGAAATCGGATTTTTGGAATATCTACGGATTTGGTTTATGATAAAAAATGATGCGATTCCCGAAAAAAAAGGAGGAAAACTTCATTGAATGCAGTTTTTGATTTAAATCAAGGTAAATTGATACTTCCTTTTTATGGAGTTTCATGTTATTTTTTGAGTAAAATGAATATTCAGGACATCTAGTACATACTAGACTCTAGTGACCGAGACGAGGCTAATTTATACGCCAAAAAGTTTCCTTTTTCTACTGAATGAAAGCTATAGTATTACTAACTATATGACTGGGATTAATATAGTTATTCTCTGCGCCCTCCTCGTCTCTCGGCCACCCTCTCATGTTGCCGTGCTATTTTCTTGGTGTTCTGACCTCGCCGGTGAGAGAGCAGAGAGACGCAGACACACGAATACTTTCCGCACGACAGACCACATTTTTTTCATAAAAAAATATTTCAAGAAGATAAGTTTAAGAACGATTTGATGAAATTTGAATACTGGGGGAATAAAAAATGAAGAAGAACTAAATGCTTTGAAAAACTTGTAACATGGGATTTTCAATAAATGAGGTTAAAATTTCAAAAAAATACCTTGTTTAATAACTGAAAAATTTAACTTTTTTTAGAGAAAAAAAGTTTTTCCAGCTGAAAAAAATGAAGTTTTATCTTTTATTTTCGATATTTTTTTCAAATTCTCATAGAGAAACTTGTTCAGAAGTCCTTAAGAATTCCAATAAAATGAAAACAAGAAAAATTTCAATTACAGCTAGACCTTGAAAAAGTATAATTACTCCTCAAAGATGTTCTCTACTTTTTTCTATCGCTTTTCAAAAATCTCGAGAATCTCAAATAGCCGTTCATTTCTCCGGAAGCTGACCTTCGTCACGTGTTTCCGCGTTTTAAGAGCCACTTGAGACGTTTCAAACTTTTTAATCCTGTTGAAAAGGAGGAGATTCTAGTTTGGCTGTGGCCCGTTGGCAGGGACTTTGGAGTCTGCGTCTCTCTTTCCCTCGCTGACGAGGTCAGAGAAACATCAAAATAGCACGTCAACATGAGAGGGTCGTCGAGAGACGAGGAGGGCTCAGAGGAATTTCATGTCACCAAAATGGACTTAGAAACGTCAGAGTGGTCCCTAGAGGGGTTAGGGAAAAAAGTCTTTTTAGTTATAGTGCCCCCTAGAGGGCTGAAATTTATGTGGTCTCTATAGGAGTTTAAGATCAGACCCCTCAAGGGGTCCCTAGTGGTCTGGTTCGAAAGTTGAAAAGACGTATATGGACCACTGGGATGCTTCCCTAGAGTGGCTTTTCTTGCAAAATTTAGTGCCCCCTATAGGAAGCGGTACCAGGAAAAGTTTAAGTGGCCACTTTAGGGTTTTTACGTTATGATGGTCACTCTAGTAGTCGACTTAGCGGCCACTGAAGTGACTAAAATTTAGAGACCCTTTTTAGAAATTTAAGCGTACTACTAGGCCCCTGAAAAATACTATAATGTCCACTAGGACGCAAAATAGTGACCTCTATAGTGATAGTT